CTATTTAATATTTCAATTTGTCAATTAGGTCACTAAAACATCATCATGTATGTTTCTCCGTAGGGGACTTTAAAAACATTCAGGTCTTTTATAGGTAAAATGATAAAAAAAAGTAAAATCCTTATAATTAAGCTATCATGAGAACTAGGGACCAATAAACTTTTCTGAGCTGGAGATATTGGGGCCTATCTGTGGAGGCTGGACTGGGGCAGAAGCTCATCGGTGAACAGCGTGTGGCCAGGCCTCCACCCATGGGGTCTGCAGGCTGCAGGACCCACAACCTGCAGGAGACTCTGTACGGGACCGGTGCTCTGGGGATTGGGTTTTAGAGGTGAAGGCCTTAGCGGTCTGATTCTTTGTTGCTGAAAGTGATTTCAGGAACATTACTTCAATGTTTGAGAAAGAACCTGACATTGTGTGACAGGTTAAAATTAGCCAGTTAGCTAAAACTGGACTCTCTTCTGCCCACAGCATTGGTGCTGGACTGTACTGGTGTCACACTGGGAAAACGACATTGAGCAGTCTTTCCTGAGTAAATTAGGGGAGGGTCTTCTTTCACCTTTGGGTGGGGGAGAGTGTCCCAACAGCTCTCTTCATATATGAGCCTTGGCGTATATGAAACAAGAACGTTCCTCTGGCTGAAGCCTTAAGTCAACGAGATCTTCTGCTCCCCCCACCATCAGGGCTTTTCCAACTATCTGAGGTAGATGGGGGATACTTTGAACACATACAATACAGGCCTCCATTGTTGTCGAAGCGGCAAATAAATGCAGCTGTAAGGTTGGTGCTTTTTGTGGCAGTAATCATTAAACTTGGTAGTAGACACCTGAGGTGGCATGAATTAAACTGAAGAGCTCAAGCAAGATGCTTGATTGGCCTTAAAACATCTTGGGTAAGCCTCCAGGGTAGGAGGTAAAGGGAAATGAGCTAAACCTGTAGACCTCTACAGAAGGCAAGCATGCTAACGGGCTGAAGCCTGGATGGTGCTGAAGGTTAATTGATATGGAGGATGGACGCTGTTGAAAGCCTGCCTAGAAATCTAGATGGAGAGTTGCCAAAATGAAATTATTTTGCTCTGCACCTGCATGTCTGTTTGGTCATGCTTCATGGAGCCTCAGCAGGCCTACCATTGGCCTGAGCAGTGTTGTGGTATGCCAATCACAGCACTCTACTGCTTTGGTGGGCCAGTCATAGCGCTCTGTCAGTTTGGTAATAATAATAATAATAATACATGTTATTTCAAGCGCCTTTCAAAGCTCTCAAGGTCACTGTACAAGACAAAATATAAGGAACAGCAGGCAATACAAACAACAAGAAATAAATGCTAAGAGTAATTCCCAAGGGTAGAGTCGGAGCAGTACAATGGACAATAGACTAAAAAGAGTAGATGGAAGGAGGACAGTTACAATGAGTAAAGCCGGGCGTACACTGTGCGACTTTTTCACTCGTAGCTCTCAGCTTCAGCTCAAACTGTACGACTTCCTCGCAGAGCAGATCTCACGAGCCAGGTGCTCACACTGCACGACCCAGTTCTCGGATGCAACCTGACTGCTCACACTGTACGTCTGGTAGCAACACGTCGGCCATAAAAATATGCTAAAAATAGCAGTTTTTACTCAACACGTCAGACTTTTTTGTCTTGTTTTGCCTGTTGTCCTTCGGGAGTGCTGCAGGAGGACACACAGGGATTTATGGGGGTTGGATGAGGAAAACGAAATAAAGAAAGTAAATCTGTGTTTTGTGATCAGTTTAATTTGACATGAACACGACAAACACGCTTTCTTGACAATCTTTGTGAGTAAAAAAAAACGTGTAGAAACAAAAACGAACAGCGTGTGTTATTAGCGAAATAGCGAGCGACCTGCGTTGATGCAGGATTACGCGCGCATGCGCCGTGAGCGGTTCTGATACTTTTTTGGATCGTAGCTGCTCGCAGCGCCGCTTCAACAGTGCGATACCCTCACGAGGGACGTGCGAAATATTAAACATGCCAGAAGTCCGTGCGAGCTCACGACTACTGATCGGTAGCTGGTCACGTGGTGTTAATCACCTCTCGTAACCCCCGGTACACTACACGACGCTCGGCGCAAAACTCGCCCCAATCTCGTGGATTCTCGCACAAGTGGAAAATCGGCTCAAAAAAGTGAAAAAGTCGCACAGTGTACGCCCGGCTTTAGCCAGGCGGAACATGTGAGGTTTGAGTTGAGACTTGAAGGTTGAGAAGGAGTTTATTTTGCGGAGGTCAGGCGGTAGAGTGTTCCAGAGTTTTTGGAGCTGAGTGGTGTGCAGGATGATGTGACAGAGCGAAACAAGATGGCGACAGCTCATTTGAAACAGCTTTGGCATCAACTTTGGAGTATTTAGATTTGGGCTTTTCTTTGAGTCAAGAGCAGATAGATGTACTTAGCTAATTACTGCTAGACACCAGCACCCCATGACCTTACTGAGGAAAAAATGTTTGGAAAATTGATAGAGAAGTAGAGCACACACACACACGCGCAGGTATGGGTCATAACACGCGAACACACACACACACACAGAGAGAGAGAGAGAGAGAGAACATCTTTTTCTACTTGTAAGGTGTCATTTCCATGAGCAGACCTGCATCTTCCAGGGATTCCCAAAGTGTGGTGCGCGCACCCCTGGGGGTGCGCGAGCTGCCGCTAGGGGGTGCGCGAGGTGAAAAGTGTAATGGCTGCGGAGCTCAGAGAAGTCTGTCCTATGTCACCATTAGCGTAGAAACTCATTTGTGGGTGGGCCAAAGAATAAGTAAGTGGGCACAATAAATGTAATTGAAAACAAGTATATTTTTGCGCGCGCGTGTCCTCCACGTGTGCCCTAACTTCATAATAATAACAATGCGCCGAGCTTCAGCACTCTGGCCTGCGCACGCCGATATGTTCCGTATTTGATCATTTTTAATGATGTTGGAGGAATCTGAAGGTGGCGAGTCATTCTGGCAGATTGTAATTAACACCCTGTCTCATGCAGGTGTTCTGACATTGTAAACCTCACACACAGAACATTGTGGATGTTACAAAATAACAAGAAATGATTCCCATTCAGGCTATTAACAGCGCGCTGAAGATCTAAAGATCTGAAGTTCAGAGTGCGTCTGTCAGAGGTCAGACGCGTTCCGGCTGAACCACGGCTCACGGGTGCACAAGTGAGCACATCTGGGCTGGGCAGAAGTCATTTTACAACATTGGTTTAAATAGCGCGAGACGCGGTGACTTGAGCGGCTGCGCGCGCGCACACACACACGCACACAGATTCAATAAGCGCACACGCTGCTTTAACTCCGGCGCCTATTCAGACTGAAGGCAGAAATGAACGCTGCCTCCACCACGATAAAAACTTTTAAGAGGTTATTTTTCATTCAAGGTCAAATTAAGATATTAGCTTCTGGGATGAGTCGGGTCCGCTACAGCCAGTGACTCCTCATGAACCTGACCACAAGTCCTGTTACTGCAACATTTGTCATTCCAGTCCGCATGACAGCGGATCGCAGATTCAGCCACACCATAAAACAGCAATAAGTCGGTCTGAGGTAAAAGTGAACATCATGGCTATATCTTGTCCCCTACAGACATTTGATTACGCACAAGTAGGTGATCAGCTCAGGTTTACGCAGAGCAGAAGGAAGGAGAGCGCTCTGGCCGCACAGGTTAAACGTTCCTACTTTAACCCTTTGATGCATAACGGTCAGTACAGTGGACAGGTACTCAAAATTGTTATTTCTTTATTTTTGCTATTAAGCACAGCTGTTGAAGACTTTATTGCATGTGAGCCCCTCCATTTGGACTTCAGTAAGTCAAGCCACCATATTTCATGTTCAGATTGCACGTTGTCCACTGAGATGGACATGTAATAAAGTATTTGTAAATTAACAAAATGGTACAAAAATATTTGTTGAAATTTGTTTCATTCACACCTAAAGATGAATGAAAAAAATTGTTTAAAAAATCATGGTTGAAGATTTCATAATTCATGCATCAGAGGGTTAAGAAAACCGTTAAATTGCATTGTTTATGGGCTACCTGGGCACTCTAAATATTTATTTAAAATGAAATCAAAGTAAATTGTAATGGTATCAAATGCTTATTAATTACTATTTAAAAAATGCAAGTGATGGGGAATTTTTTTAACCCTGTCTGTTTAGCTTGACATCTGATATATATATATATATATATATATATATATATATAGAGAGAGAGAGAGAGAGAGAGAGAGAGAGAGAGAGAGAGAGAGAGAGAGAGAGAGAGAGCCATGCCCCGATGTGGGGACGGGGGACGGGGGGACGGGGACGGGGGGGGTGCGTCGACATGGTCGGGACATAGAAGGGGGTGCGCAGCTAAATAAGTTTGGGAACCACTGTTCTAAGAAATCCAACAGGTCTCTATGGAATGTGAACCTTCACAGATGCTTCTGTTTGAGTTTCTATTTCTTTCCATTTTAGCCTCCATCTCTGTTCCTGGCTTTGTCTCTGTCATGACTCTGTCTCTGTCTCTCTCCCGGAGGAGAGGACAGAAAGGAGTGAGCTCTGTCAGTAGGTACTCAGTCTGGCTGCACTACAAAGCCTCAGTCTCACATCTGACTGTCAATAACAGAGTGCATGTGTGTATCTTAGTTTGTGTGTGGAGGTGGGTGGGTATGGGGGGCATGAAGGTGAGATGGGGAGAGAGGGAGGGAGGATGCTTTGAGAGAAAGAGATACTTTGATATTTCGGAATGTTAGAAGGGTGAATGTGGAGAACAGGAGGTTGGGGATCTAATTACCGGGCCATAATTGGGGGCTGGGGACTCGGCTGCCGTCCTCTCAACTCGCTGCAGATCAATTATGTTAAGAGAACATCTGTAAGTAGTCCTTAATGAGGTCCATTAGAGCAACATGCGCTGCCTTCCCTAACGGTGCTGTCAGCTCCTTGGATGAGCTGGAGTGTGGAGCCGACTGGGGACCTGCTAAAGGGCTTTAAATAGAAGAGGAGGCTCCACATTGAGTCAGAAAACCAAAGAAGCTCACAGAGAGGAAGAGAGGAAGAAGGTGAGGAAGGAACCAGACCTGTAGGGCTGCAGGGTCAATTCAAAGATCTGCTTCTATTACATCAGCAGTTCGTTAGTTCTGACATGTCCTAGAGGACAGTTTGGTCTGAAGAAAGATCCTGTAGGTTTGGGCACACCTGTTTCCCCTCTACCTTGTGTTCTGTGGAGGACACCACCTGACTCAGAAAGAAGGATTCTACCGATCCATTGTTCACTGAACCTGCAGCAAGAGACTCTTGTTCTGAGACTGCTGGGTCGAGTCATGGAACCTACAGCTGAAGGAGCCTAGAACCACCTTCTCAGGCCGGAGCTGGACCAAAGCAAGGTGGAGTCTTTGTGTCCCATACACCTTCTGCCTCCATCCTTCATTCACAAATAAGCTGACAGAGGTTAGCCGCAGTGAGGGTAAGGTGTGTGTGCGTGTGTGTGTGTGTGTGTGTGTGTGTGTGTGTGTGTGTGTGTGTGTGTGTGTGTGTGTGTGTGTGTGTGTGTGTGTGTGTGTGTGTGTGTGTGTGTGTGTGTGATTAGATTACCAGGACAGACAGCCTTGAACTAATTCAATTCCTGCCAAACCTAATTACTGGCAGGTGATTGGCTGTCAGCTTTAATGCGCCGTGCGCTGAGCGTTTTATGGTCCGTGTTATTACTGCTTCATTGTGTCTCCTCCTCATCCTCCATTCCTCTTTCAGTCCCAGAACCAACACAGGGCAGAAACCAGTCAGTAGAGCATCATGGAGACAGAATCAGCTTGGTTTTCTATGATGCAGAATTCAGCTCATCAGTCAGTTTAGCTCACTGTGTCAGCTAGTGTGTCCTGTTGGGTGGGCATGTGTCAGTCCAACTGTTAATTAGTAACATGTTTGAATCTTTTGGTGCTTCTAGTTAGTGAACACTCATCCAGCTCCAGACAATCCACCACTAGTTCAAGAGAATTTTTTTTTGATTGACTGTTTTTTTTTCCGTAGAGGTTCCTGAGCTTGGGTCTGCAAACGAAATTATCTAAACTTGGCTGTAACTCTCAGCTCTTAGGAACACAGTCTCACACTGAACTGCAACTGATCAGACCAGTAAAATCAAGATCTGGTCATGTGATGGCTCCATGAGAAAATAGGCAGTTTGTTTGCCTTCATCTGCTTACTTGTCTATAGGCTAAATGTTGTTTAAATAAACTAAAGCTGGTGAGGTTCCACAGGGAGCCTGACTGGGTCCTGACCAGGTGCTGACATGTTTTATGGACTGAGCCTCAGAATCATTCTGAGTTTTATAAGGTAAAGTTTCATCTGTGATGGAGTATAAAATCTGTTATTGTATTATTACAAAGAAAGTTTCTGTGGGCAGGTGATCTGTGCTGCCTGACGAGCTAGCCAGGTCTTCCGCTCAGGGTCAAAGTTCAGCTTTTGGGTGGATCAGTTAGAACCTGGGCCAGGGACTTATCATTAATGTCTATTTAATCCAGTAGGTTTGATGTGTAAATGGTACTGATGTGCTTACGTCAAGCGCACGGTGCAGTAGCGTGTGCGGCAACGGCGCGTGCGCAGCAGCCCGTGCGGCAGCAGCAGCGCAGAAGCTGCTGTGTGCACTGGTGGGGGGAGCCGCTCTTTGTCATCCCGTCAGTCCTGCCAGCACCTCTCCGCTCACACACCGGATGTCTGATCCATGAGCACCGAGCTCTGTCGCACCACGTGACACCAGAAGACACCTTTCCGTGTTTGCATTCATCCGCCGCAGCTTTTGTTCCGATGTTTCCTCCGTCTGCCCACTCCTCTCCGGTCTCCGTGTTGGATCGCTGCCTGCCTAACAAAGCCTGATCTGAGTCCGCCTGCAGAACGCGGTGGCTCCGGGTTCCGTGGCGGTGCTTCGGCTGCTCAGCGGCTCAACAAATGCAGAAAAGGGAGCAAAGTTTCGGTAAGACGCGTCTTCATGCTACGGAATCAAAAGGCTCTGCTTTTTATTTTCATCGGGAGCATTTTTTTCCCTCAGATGAACTTCCAGCGTTTCTGTGACCTGCTGCTCAGTCCTCCAGGTTCTAACTGGACCGAGGACATCATTAGGTGGCTGTGGTTCTGATCCGTGGACCGCTGGTCCTTGTATACCGTGGATGGTGTTGATTCGTTCGGAATTAATAAAATCGGAGACAAATGGCTTTAAATATCGGGTTTCTTGCAGCTGCGCGCTGCCATGGCAACAGTAATTAAAGTGATGGTGTGAAATGTCAGCGTTTTCTAGCTGATGGGACCCGAATTAACGAGGTAGGTGTGTGTGTGTGTGTGTGTGTGTGTGTGTGTGTGTGTGTGTGTGTGTGTGTGTGTGTGTGTGTGTGTGTGTGTGTGTGTGTGTGTGTGTGTGTGTGTGTGTGTGTGTGTGTGTGAGAGAGAGAGAGAGAGAGAGAGAGAGAGAGAGAGAGAGAGAGAGAGAGAGAGAGAGAGAGAGAGTAAAAAGAAAAAAATGATGCCGTTATATTAACAGGTACATTAGCAGAATTTCCAGGACTCTGACCTTTGGTCTCATATCTTCTTGACCCTGGTCTCATATCTTCTTGACCCTGGAGGCAGAGTTGGGGTTTTACTCATGCAGGTTCTCTGACTTCACACTCTCACCCCTGTTGAGACCATGTCTTCTCACCCACCTTCCAAATTGAATAAATCTTTAATCAGAGAAATATCACTAAATCATAAAAACCATAAACAAGCACCTGCTACAAAGATACATTGTGCAGTTCATTTAACCAAAGATCTGTCCCATCTAAATCTTTCATAGTTAACAAATTGATAATTTATCATCAGATGTTGATTTGTTTTGTTTATCAGAAACCTCACATAGCCAGGAGGATCTATTGAATTAACTCCTGACTAAATATTTACATTCTTGGAGTATCACTCTGATCAGGTTTAGACACAAGCAGATCAGGTCCTTCAGTGCTTCATTAAGGAGCTAAAATCTGGCCGGTAGATCATTTGATCTTCACTCTTTTTGTAAAATACCCTCACAAATGTTTTATATGATCGTAAAGAAGCTTCCCTTTTTGAAATAAAAACCCATGATATATTAAATCAAAAATCACATATTATAAAATATAATGTAAAACTATTGTATGATTTATAAAATGTATATATACTGATATGCCTTTTTATCTTCACAGGAAGTCCTGCTGTGTAGCTTTCAGCTGCAACACTAACTTGACTGAATTAATTTTTTTTGTGCAGCACTTAGCCTAAAAAAATACAATTAAAATCTTAATCCACAAAAATTCTTTATTAAACCGTGTCTATTTCTGTTGATGATCTTCCACGTGGAAAGTAGCTGAAACCGAGATTGACACTATTTTTTGTGTTTGTATCGATGCACTTTTTTCTTGTGTTCCCTGTTAGACCTATTCCAGCGAAACTTTTTGAAAAGTTGTTCACCAAATTCGTAAACCATGTTTGAATGTTCTGATTTCACCATTGTGTTTTGCATTAACTGTATTTGGTGTGAGAAGCCTGACTAAGCTCACTCTGAGTATCCTCCTGTTTCTGCTGTTTCTGTCCTCATGCAACTCCTTCCAACACCCACACACACACACACACACACAGACAGAGAGAGAGAGAGAGAATTTAACCCATACTTATCAAAATTTAACCTATATGTTTTATAAAGCTAAATTTGTGTATTTTGAGGTGCATTTTTTAAATAATCCTGGCTGTGATTGTGCCCCAGAAACAGTAAGGTATGCTTTTCTATGCATTTAGGGATTTTAGAGTCTGTATCCTGACTATGTGAGATGTTTTTTTAATGCTGAGACTGTTAACTAGAAAATCTGAACCATAGACTCTCATTAAAAAATTAACCTGTAACTTTGCATTTCTCTAAAGAAACTTCATTAAGTTTTATAGTTTATGCTGGTGTGTTCGTATGTGTCTTCAGATAATTTGGCTGCAAATTCTTTGCACCTCTAATTCTCTCCTGACACACACACACACACACACACACACACACACACACACACACACAAATTGACAAGTGGTGGTAAAAGTTCTGAAGGGTCAAACAAAGACTTTACAACATCAACATGATCCCAGAGCCTCATAATATTTATTTAGTGTAGCGACTGATTCAAAAATACAAACAGGGTTGATAAGGCAGAAGTTCTGTTTATGCAGATGCGGCTGCTCTAAATTTTACGTACCAGAAGAGTACATGTCTACATCACCAACAAATCCTGCACCCACTTCAGCTCACTGCTTGTTCTTCAGCTTGCTGGATGTGAGTGCACCCAGTTTATTATTATTATTATAAATTTGTAAGCCTCAGTGAATAATAGCAACATTTATTACAGCATTCATAAAATAAACATCACCATCTAGTGAGAAGGGAAAGATGTGTGTGGGTCTTATGCCCATCAGTTTCCAGCTGTCAAATGTCGTGATAGTGTTATTTTCCATCATTAAGACACAATTTCATCACAGTAAATGTTTATCAAAGAACTCTTTAACTATATTTAAAGGATCTAATCCATAGTTCCTTCACTCCCACTGAGCAGGGTAAGAAAAGACAGTAACCTAAATCTGACTTCTTCACAAATTTGTTATCTTGATTTGTTATGTGCATCACTAGAATCTGCTGCTCTGTAGAAGGTAATCTGTCAGATGAATCTGGTTCTTTGTTTTTTGATTCAGAGTTACAGATGTTATAACAGACTTTAAAACCTTTAGAAAGCAAATGATTATTTATTATGTAGGCTGGAGGAATGGCCTAGCATATAGAAAAGCCCTCTCCGTAGCTAGAGCCGAAGTCTCAGTAAGAGGAAGAAAAAACCAAGGTTTGTTCTGCTGTGACCCTCGTCAGGGACCCTCGGGACTGAGGAGTTCATGGAACTCTTTTAAATCAAGTCATCTCAGTTATAGAGAAAATTCCCACTATTGGGTCATTAGCAAAGCAGACGCGACAGTAGGTCCTGGTTTGTATCTAGACGGTTTCTGTCCTGTTGATGTTTCTGTGTTATCAGAAATGAGACCTTCATCTGAACGTGTCTGTTAGATCCCGTCCCAACCAGGTGATTTCTTCGATTTAACACCTCCATATCTGGATATGCAGCCTGGGCTTTTCAGGTTACTGTAATTAAACCTTTACTTTAGAAAACTGATCTTGACCTGGGAGCTTCAGATTCCAGCCCTCAGAATTAAATAAATACACCAAATGTTTTAGGCAGAAACATAAGCAGATTCAAAACCTTCTGACTGAAAAATGCACTCAAACGATCAGATATCATCAAACTCAGACTGTTTCCTTCAAACTATAATAGTTAAACCCTTTTGCTCTTCAAACCTTCTGTTTTAAGTCTTCAGACTTACACTTACAGATTGAAACCTTGACGCTCAAACTTTATAACCACAACCTTCTGACTCGAATCTTTAGACTGACTGAAACTTTCAGATTCTCTTCTGGCTCAAAACGTCCGACTAAAGTTTACTCAAGCCACTTGCTCAGCTGTTTGGAGCTGGACTCAAACATTCAGTCCTATTTTTCCCATCAGAATCAATTTTTCAGACTCAACATTTTCTGACTGAAGCTCAGCAGTCAGAAATGCCAAGTGGCTAAATTCCCTTTCCGTGCTTCCTTGTTGGTTGCTCAGTGAAATGGGAGTGGAAACTCTTTCTTCTCTTTGTTTGGTAATGAGTAGTAGGGACTTTGTAGTGCAAACGAGGTTGGACGGATCAGCTGTGCTTACCGGGCCTGTTGGACAGCAGTTGTGGCGCACTGCTCTCTAAATCCAGCCAATTAGGTAGAGAGCCTCGACACACTCCAACAAATGAGGTGGAAATCCTACTGAGCCCTCGTCTCTGTGAGTCAGAACATGATTCTGGATCAAAACCTTGTTGTGAGATGAAGCTGTAGCCCACACCAGCTTTTAACTGCTGATTCAGGTCACCTCAGGTTACAACCTGTTTTAAATTAAACACGTTAGGAATTTTGTTTAGTCAACTTATCAAGAATGTGCAATTACATCTGTGTGAGTGTAAGTCAGAGAGAACAACCTTTAGCTTCCTGCAGTGAGAAAGGAAGAACATCTCACCTCAAGGAAAAAGGAAATTAACACCAGCAAGAAAAGTAAAGCACATGAAAGGAATGAGCCGATACACACCGACCCAGAAGAGGGTCTTCACTTCAACACCACCTCAACTAAAACTATAGGCCTTGATTTAAGTGTGTGTGTGTGTGTGTGTGTGTGTGTGCGCGCGCGTGCGTGCGTGTGTGTGTGTGTGTGTGTGTGTGTGTGTGTGTGTGTGTGTGTGTGTGTGTGTGTGTGTGTGTGTGTGTGTGTGTGTGTGTGGTGAATGGGGGACAAAGAAATGCTGGCTGTGCCTCTCGTTAGGGGATGGAAGGAGAATACTAATTTGAAGCCTCATTGTGAGCCACCTCCTCAGACCCAGAGGGCCAACAAAGCCTCTCACCAGAGAGCTCAGGCCAAACAATACCCCTGAGGCCACACCCCCTCCTTCTGACACACACACCAGTTAAACCCAGCCCTGTGTGTTTCATTTAAATAATTGTTGCTAAATCTGGATACCAAAAACCGTCTTAAACACAAATGCTACCAAGTCAGACATGAAGGAATCATTTGCTTCATTATAAGTCGTTATAAGGTTAAATCACACCAAACACAGCTGTGTTTGAGTCTCATTAGTTTAGTTGAAACAGGTGTTAAATGATTCATTACATGTGTACACAAGTTTTCTGTAATTCCACTAAACTCGGTTGTTTACTCCATCATTCCCTTCTGAAAGACCTTTTGTTTCTCACATCACAGCACTTTGCAATGAGTGTGTAACAAGAGTGTGTGTGTGTGTGTGTGTGTGTGTGTGTGTGTGTGCGCGCGCGCGTGCGTGCGCGTGTGTGTGTGTGTGTGTGTGTGTGTGTGTGTGTGTGTGTGTGTGTGTGTGTGTGTGTGTGTGTGTGTTTTCTTCCAGGTATCCAGATGCTCACCGTCCAGCCGGACACCAAGCCCAAAGGCTGTGCCGGCTGCAACCGGAAGATCAAGGACCGCTACCTGCTGAAGGCTCTGGATAAGTACTGGCATGAGGACTGCCTGAAGTGTGCCTGCTGTGAATGCAGGCTGGGCGAGGTGGGCTCCACTCTCTACACTAAGGCCAACCTGATCCTGTGCCGGAGAGACTACCTTAGGTAAGGCAGGCCAAACCCCGTCCAGTTCCAGGAGGTTCTAGTCTAACGTTAGAGGGAGGGAAGGCGAGGGTCAGCTGCTCTGTTTGAGAGTTACATTTGTAAGAAACATTAGAAACATTTCAAAAATATTATGTGTAATTACAACAATGTAATAACAGCAATATAGTTACAGGTACTTTAGTTTTATTAGTTTTTCAATAAGTTTTAAAATATAAATAATTTGGAAAAAATACTTTTGTTATCTTCATCATCAGTGACAACATGAAAATATTTGTCTAAGCGTCTCCTTTTAACTTCAGATAAATTCATTCACACACTTTAGTTCCACATCTCGCATTAGGCTAAATTATCACTAAAAAATTTCTAACTTAGGATGCTCAGGCACCTCCCTCAGCAGGGGGGGGCACAGGGGGTTCAACCTTGCTGTGAGGGTGGCACTGCCCCACCATGGACCCCCCCCCCCCCCCCAAAGGACTGCCCCTGAAAGTGTGAGCACACACATGCAGGCTGCTGACAAAAAGTCCATTTAGACTCATTTTATCTGGGCGTCTCATGTCACCATTTACTGAGGATCATCGAAGTGAAGCGCCAACAGTCAGACAAATTATAAATTAATTGATTTTGCCTCCTTTTGTTTTTACTGTAATTCTAATTCATGTTTTGCCTTCTTATTTAAATGGAGTGTAACCAATAAACAGTTTTATTATATCTCAAGGGAAGACAAGAATCTGGGCATTTGTCACAAGACGGATAAAAAAACAGATAATTTGTTTTCCATTTTAAAAATATCTTCAGGCCTTGACATGAACCAAGGTTTAAGTCTATCACCACCTATGACCACTTCCTGCATGGTCTTTTGGTTGCCGCAGCAACTGGCACCAGTGACTTTCAGGCTTCAGCCCCACAGACTCTGAACAAGGCCCATTCAGATTCCACGCCCCCACGTTTTACCGGAAAAGACTATCCTGCAGGTGTAAAGTGAAGATCTTTATCAAACTTTCCCTGTTCACCCTCATAGATCTGATTGTACGATTACAAAACGTGGGTGGTGTGCCCACATGGAGCTTTATGTAGCTATTTTAGGCCAAGAACCAAGGCATGGTCACTATGCTCCTACAAGCTCATCAGTATATTGGGCAGTATTTGATCATTTAAATAAGAGGTGCCACATAAATGCTGTCAGTTTAGAAAAAAGCAGATCCCAGGACTGTCTGGGAATGGTGTGGCTGCTTAGTGGCTCATGTTCAGGATGATGATCAAGAGGTAGTTGCATGTTGTGTCTGAGTGCTCTGAGTCTGAAGGACCACTTCCCAACTGCTTGTTCAAATAGAACCAGAACTCCACCCTTACTGTGTTTCTCACTGGGCAGCATCAGAACCACAAGATGTTAAACAGCTTAAAGTTTGTCCCACGCTGATGAAATACATTTGTACTTTACGTAAACAGAATACATGAATGTAATAAAGCTGTGTTATTTGGTCTAGTTGTCTCACAGATGTGCTGTAATGGTGAGCCTGCTCTTCAAGGAGGTTCTGACAGGAACAGATTCGTTGATCACGGTCCCAGATTGAATCTGCTCTTTGTAGCCAGTCATTACATTAAAGCACTTGGCATGCACAGAGGCCTCTCCTGCTCAGGCTCCTGACGGGACTTGAACAAGGACGACACTACGCTCGGTCCCGTCAGCCTTTTAGTCTTTCATTATCACAAACACTCATCCCTCGTTTCTCCTTTCCTTCTAAACTCTCAACCCTCTTGGCTTCCTTTGATGCTGCTAATTAGGCATTCTGTAGCTTTGGAGGCCGTGCACACACACACACACACACACACACACACGCGCACACACACACACACACACACACACACACACACACACACACACACACACACACACACACACACACACATGGAATCCTTTTCTTCTCCTGCCGACTTGTCAGCATGATGATATTACACCAGGGTGAGTTCTAAGTGATAACTGACTCAGAAGTGTGTTTTAGAGTAAATAACCATCATCACCATATTCATCATCATCATCATGTCACACCCTGTCCTGTCTCCCCATTCTGTTCAGTCCTGTGTCCATGTTAATTGCTCCCACCTGCCTCTCGTCTCCCAATCACCCAAGGTCCCAGCTCCTCCTGTATTTAAACCCTGTTAGTCCATGTTGTCTGGTTGGTTCATTGTTTCATTGTCCTGCGTGTTCCTGATTAAAATCCCCGTTTTAATGTTCCTGTCTGCCTGCCTGCCTCCTTCTTCACCCACGTGTGGATCCTCACCTCCGTTTCACTCACCAGCACGCCTGACACATCACACCTGGAGCCAACTGGGGGTTGAAAAAGTGCTTACTAAACATCTTTTTTGTTCCTGTTTCGTTTTGCCCTTAAAACACACGGTTCCAGATGAATCCAGAAGAAATGTCGCGTTTGTGCAAAAACTTAAAACTGTGAAACCTGAGAAACGATCTGAGTTACTTGGGAAACAGTCTCAAAGCGATGATATTTTCAGGTAGTCTGGTACCTATTTGATGACTTGCCACCAGTCTATCCCATTAAAATAAACTACAGTGGGGCTGCACGGTGAAGAAGAAGAATAGATCTTTTCTATAGCGCCTCTCAAGATAAAAATCACAAGGCGCTTCACAAAAACAAAAATTGTAAAAATATAAAAAAGAATTTAGAAAATGATTAACTATATTTTTTAAATGAGCAACAAATAAACAATTGTGATTTTAAAAATGTTAAGAAAGAGAGAGAGTGAATAGGAAAGAGGGAAATCAGAGGATCCTGAGGAAGGTGGAATAGGTGGGGAGAGCAGAATAAAGAGAGAGTGGTGAAGAAGGTCATACAAAAGCCAGCTTGAACAGGTGAGTCTTCAGCTGCTTTTTGAAGGAGACCACTGAGTCCACTGATCTCAGGCTCAGGGGGAGAGAGTTCCAGAGTCTGGGGGCCACAGCAGCAAATGATCTGTCACCTTTGGTCTTTAGCCTGGTGCTGCACAACCAGTAGGCTTTGATCACTGGACCTCAGGGACCTGCTGGGGGTATAGGGACTAAGAAGATCGCCAATGTAAGATGGTGCTTGTCCATGTAAGGCCCTATAGACCAGAACCAGGATCTTGAAATGAACCCTGAAGTTGACTGGCAGCCAGTGAAGCTGGAGGAGAAGCGGGGTGATGTGGGTGTGTTTGGAGGACTTGGTCAGAAGCCGAGCACAGGCATTCTGAACCACCTGTAGACGGTTCAGGGAGGTTCTGCTCAGACACGTGAAAAGAGAGTTACAGTAGTCTAATCGTGAGGAGATGAAGGTGTGGAGAACTGTCTCAAGTTCAGAGCGGGACAGAATGGGACTCAGCTTAGCAATGTTCCTGAGATGGAAGAAGGAAGAGCGAACAAGAGAACTGACATGAGAATCCAGGGTGAGAGCTGGGTCAAAGGTCACGCCAAGATTCCTGACAGAAGGTTTGGTGTGGGAAGCAAGCTGACCAAGAGAGTCTCTGACTTTGGGAACCAGCTTATCTGGGGCACAGATGAGGATCTCAGTCTTATCTTCATTCAGCTGAAGAAAGCTCCCAGCCATCCAGGTTTTGATACAGTCTAAGCAGGTGTGTAACAGCTGCAGCTTAGACATCTCATGGGGCTTAAAGGAGATGTACAGTTGGATGTCATCTGCATAAAGATGGTAGGAGATTCCTTTGAAGGAGCTCAGGATGTGCTGAAGAGGAAGCAGATAGAGGAGGAAGAGCAGAGGCCCCAGCACAGAACCTTGTGGGACACCATGGGTAAGGGAGGTGGTGGAGGACCTAAACTTGGAGACGACCACAGAAAAGGAGCTCTCAGAGAGATAAGAGGAGAACCACTCCAGAGCAGTTCCTGATAGGCCTACCCAGTCTCTCAGCCTCTCCAGTAGCAGGTGATGGTCAACAGTGTCAAAGGCTGCAGTCAGGTCCAGCAGGACCAGAACAGAACAGTCCCCTGCATCACAGTGAGTCAGAAGGTCATTAGAGACCCTAAGAAGAGCTGTTTCAGTAGAATGAGCTCTACGAAAACCTGACTGGAAGCTATCATAGATGTTATGTTCATCAAGAGCAGCTGTAAGTTGTTAAGCCACAACCTTTTCCAAGATCTTGGAGATGTACGGAAGTTTAGAGATGGGTCTGAAGCTGCTATGGAGAGAGGGGTCGAGACTCGGGTTTTAAGAAGCGGGTGGATTACAGCGTTCTTAACGTAAGCAGGGACCTGACCAGAAACCAGAGAAGCATTAATTATAGAGAGCACGCTGGGACCGATGGACTGAAAAGCACTCTTAAACAAAGATGAGGGTAAGATGTCGAGGGGGCATGCAGAGGTCTTCATAGAGTTAACTAGTTTGGTTAACTCAGGCAAAGAAACAGGAGCAAAGCTATCTAGGATGATGGGCCTGGTTGGAGTCGGGAGAGGCAGCGATAAAGCTGAGGGAGAGATGCAGTCGGTAGCTCTGTTGCCTCGCAGAAAGAAGGTCACAGGTTTGAATCCTGGCCATGTCCTTTCTACGTGGAGATACCATTTTCTCCCCATGCATGTGTGGGAGTTCTCTGGTTTCCTCCCACAGATCAAAAACATGCATGTCAGGCTGTTTGGAAAATAAATAGTCCCTACGCGTGGGTGCGAATGGTTGTTTGTTTCCATTTGGCCTTGTGATGGACTGGAGACCTGTCTAGGGTGTACCTGGTGTGTGTGTTCTCGATGTCCACTGGAATTAGACAATAACTCCCCATGATCCTTCTAAGGAGTATGGAGGGACACATTAGTTTGTAAGCAAACCATGAACTTCACACTTCTAGGGTTTCCCATAGCAATAATAATCAGCCACGATAGTATAGGTATTACCTGGATAGACGACCACACTAAAAGTAGTAAGGCTGATGTGTACTAAAACATATTCATGTGTACTGCAGGGTGTATTTTCCTGCACTGTGACGTGCAATCAGCCAATCAGTCTGCTCCCCGCTGAGCAGAAGCAGCTGATCAGTTAGAGAACGGCTCGTTCATCAGCCTGAATCAGCCTCACCATTCTGCTCTGTGGATCACATGATCTCCCACTCGCACACCATTCACTGTACGTGCAGCCTGTGACACACACACACACACACACACACACACACCCTTTGCTGATTCCTTATGTCCTTTTTCCTGAGCTTGGACAGTGAGAGTTTTCTCTGAGCATATATTTGCGAAAAACACTGCATAGCTTTAAACAAGGAGGCCACACCACTGGGCGTTTGGAGTCAGAATTGGAGGGTGTGTGTGTGTGTGTGTGTGTGTGTGTGTGTGTGTGTGTGTGTGTGTGTGTGTGTGTGTGTGTGTGACATATCTACACCCTCATCTGGATCAGTGATGATGAACATGTGTGTTCCTTATTTAACTTTAGTTTTTTTAACCATAGTCCAGCATTCTGTTTCCAGCCAGCGCCGATCATCAGGCAGACCAGAGGAACCCGTTCAAATGTTCGTGCTGAGACTCAACAACTCGTTTGTCTGTTATTAACCCTGAGCTGGTAATTATGCAGACTGCCATAGATTTTCCCCTGATGCCCCACCGTGTGATCCGAGGTTGTTCGCTGCATGCCAGACAGATGAGAAAACAGTCAGGCGTTACTGGAGCTGCCACATCCATCATGTTGACTGATGGCGCAGGAGTCAGTCCCCAGGTCCCGCTGGTTAATGTAGTGGGTAATTAACTGTCATTTGCCTGGTAATAGGCCAGTGATCAATGGTTTGTGAGGAAACAAATTCTGATGCAAAAGCTGATGAATGCAGGCTGAAGCTGGAGCAATTTATGAGGCGAGTGGGACGAGATGAAGGTTGGACAGAGGAAATGAAGCAGAAAGCTCCTACCACAGAAGCACCCCCCGCCCCCCATAAATGCAGTCAATTTAGCTTTTTTAAAAAGTCACAAAAACATGTAGATGTACACACACACACACACACACACACACACACACGGAGTAGTGAGATGATTTTATCCCAGTGTAAGCCTTTACTTCACCATCAGATTTTTATCTTGAACCCCAATGTTGCTACACATGGTGCGTTCAGATAATTTCATACACCTAACATAGCTGTTTATCTAAAATGTATTAACAATAAACATAACTATGCATTTGGTTAAATTTCATCGCTGAAACATCTGATTATCCAGCTCTGGAGCTTTAGACCTCAGAGCTGATGTTTAGGTTTTAATTCTCCACAGCAGAGATGTCGTTTCCTAGGCTTTGTGTATATTTATGTGTCTTAGGGTGAAATAATGTGCTGTCGTGTGTTGTTTGTGTGTGATTCAGGTTATTTGGAGTAACGGGGAACTGTGCAGCCTGCAGCAAGCTTATTCCAGCCTTTGAGATGGTCATGAGAGCGAAGGAGAACGTCTATCACTTGGACTGCTTTGCTTGCCAGCTCTGCAATCAAAGGTACATTTTTGGACTGGACCTGTGTTTCTGTTTCATACACTAACCCTGTGATCATGCAGACTGATTATAAAGAATAACAACAACCATGTGAGGCAGTCATTATCAGTCAGCATGACAGCAGGAAGCGAAACGGCTTCACTGGACGGACCTCTGAGGTGCTGTAGGTGGTGGTGTGAACAAGTCCAAGCAGTTCCAACCAGGTTCTCAGACTGTGGTTCTGGTTCCACAGATGCTCCCGGGGCTCTCTCTAGTGGTATAAAAGAGAAATGATCCGTTTACAAAATATTCAGCCATTGTAAAGTCAGCTGTGATGTAAAGTAACGGGATAGAAACAGCCAAAGGGTGGAGTAGTAGGAGTTTAAACTATCCGAGGAAGGAGGTTTATTTATTTGTTTGTTTATTTTTAATCAAAATGTATTAAAGATGTCAGCAATCAGGATGTAGTAATACATGGCATCAAGATAAAAAATCACACAGAATTAATTTGTGAATGAAAACTGGCACATATTTTTAGCTTGAATATTATTTTGTTTTAATTTATTTTTTTGTTGATTTTTTAGAATACAACCATAAATCTCCCGACAGCTCCAGGTTCTGATAACTACTTCCCTCCAAATGATGAAAAACTCTTTTTTTAGAATTAGATTATTAATAACATATCAGTGTTTCATAACAATGTAGTAACATGTTACAACCCCGACATGTGCTGTTAAAATGTGAAGGAGGGGGTAACATAAAAAACATGACAGTGGATTAAAATGGGTTTAATTGCTATAAAAGGTTTTAAAACAAGTGAGCAAACTGATGGAGAGCTTTATAAAAATAATGCAAAACGAATATTTCTCTATAAGGTTAATAGTTAAAAGACAATTTGACAACAACATAAAATACCTGGCTGGTTAAAACTTTATTAAAGGTTTCACTGAACTGAGGGTGTTTTAAAACACAACGAAGTTGATAAAAGTCTAAAAACCAAAACAGAGTTAACCTTAAAACACAGTCAGCTAAGTTGGCATGAACAAAAGATCCTGGGATCTCACAGAGTTAAAACTATAAAAGTTAAAACTCAAAATCTGAGGCCTGGAGGACAGCAGAACCCCTGCACTGCTGTCTCCCAGACTTCTTCTTCTTCTTTAGTTTAAATGGCGGGTGGCATCCAACTTAAGGTGCATTTCCGCCACCCACTGTGTAGGAGTGTGAGTCAGAGTGAGGAATACTAAAAAAAAAATAAAAAACTATATTCTGTTAACTAAACTACTTTTCCTAAGGAATTCCAACACTAAGCTGTAAATTATGTTATCCCCACTCAACAAAGTCCACTCAGTTCTCCATATCCTCTAACTTTTAATTTTTCTTTTAACATTTTTCTACACACCACATATTTACTACAATAACAGAAAACATGCTCTGCCATTTCTCTATCTTTCCCACATTCACATAAACCTGTAGGATGTTTCCCCATTAAATGAAGAGTGCTATTTAAACCTGTGTGTCCCATCCTTAACCTCGATATTATTGTTTGTTCCCTATTATTAAGTTCCATAATTTTCATCACACCCACCTTTCCCTGTATATTAAATAAATGCCTTAGCTTTTCTCCCCTCCCTCAACCCCTCTGTGTGCTGGGACCCACATAAATCTAATTTCTATTTCCAATCTATGCAATCTAAATAAACATTCAAATACTTCTAAAAGAATATCAGGTCTACCATCAGCTGACAATGACTTAATTGACATTAGAGCCGAAAGAGAATTCGTACACTTTTTTTTCTATTCTGTTCTATCCAAAGTAAGCTAAATGAGATTGCTAACAATTCCACCGTAAAAACTGATGACATATTAGAAGTTCTGAATTTTATACACTTTTCCAAAACTGGAAAACAAAAAGAGAAACCCGTGTTCTCACTTCCTGGGTCTTTTGAGCCGTCTGTAAATATTGGAATAAATGTTTTATGAATACTATCCAATCTATCAACAATATTCTCCCAGTTTCCTTTACCTTTATTCTGCTCCATTTTAATCTTAACATGAAAATCAGTATTAGAATGAGGAAAAATCTACTTTGGAGAAACTGAATATAAAAATTCTTTACAAAAGCATTCAATTTAAATATTACAGCTAATCTATTTGCTTTCCCAGTCACACTCACATACTTTTCATTTCCATTTTCCCAACATAAAAACATTTCTCTCTGGACCAAATGTTCTTCCTCTGTACACACCTGTAGGCTAGTCCAACAATTTAATTAAATCTGCTTCAATCTCAAACATATCGGCATTTCTCCCATTTCCACTTGTAAAGATGCTACTGGTGTTGATTTTATTGCCCCACTACATATTCTTAAAGCCTGATTTTGTATATGCTCTATCCTTTTTATTAAAGTCTTACAAGCTAAACAATACATAATACTACCATAATACTACCATAATCTATCACTGACCTAATCATGGATATGTAAATCTGCTTCAATGCCTGTGCACTATGTTTATGTTTATGTTTATTCGTTTAGCAGACGCTTTTATCCAAAGCGACTTACATTTCATAACCTATAGGGCATGTTGTGAACTGTGGGGGAAACCGGAGTACCCGGAGCAAACCCACGCATGCATGGGGAGAACATGCAACTCCACGCAGAAAGGCAGCTGCCGAGTTTCAAACCTGCGACCTTTGTGCTGCGAGGCAACAGTGCTAACCACTGGGCCACCAGGCAGCCCAGACTGCTGAAGGCACAGCCTTTTTATCCCAGGTGTGGGTCGTCAGAGGGAATTCATCTCAGCTGTGCTCCTCGGCAGCCTGGAGGAGAGGAGGAGGAGCAGTGTGGGGCTGATCACCGGGGCTGGGTGGTCCTGGCTCCCGCATCCAAATGGCCAGGCTGGTGCCCATAACATAACAACATATTTAGCAAATTTAAAATACTAATTTTGACTAGCACACACTGTTTTGGTTGTTGGGAAAAAGTTTCTTTCTCACACAAACAGAAGTGATGTAAAATAAACCAGACTCCAGGTTACACAGGTTCGGTTATGCGCGAGTTCCTTTCTTTATAAAACTGTCTCAGTGGTGGAGGAGGCGGAGCTTATGCTTGAGGTTAAGCTATACCAAATGGATGTAGTTGGACTGCACAGCTAGGGTCGCCTACTCCAGTTCTTCAGGGCTACCACCTTGCAAATATTTCCTTCTCTATCAAACCAAAATATTTAATGATTTCCTGATCATGCTGACGTCTGCTTAAGCATGTTGCTCATTCATTTGGGTTGGAGCAGGAAACAGGTAATATTTGCAGGATAGCAGCTCTGGAGTTGGGCTGACCCTTGAGCCCAACTACTGGAGAAGGGCTGGAGCATCTCCCACCATGGAGTTGTTCAGGTGGAGAGGTGTCTAGACCGATTCATAAGCCAACAGCAGGGTAGTTTAGCGTGTAGAGTTAAAATGACTTTTCTGGTTCTGTAAATGCTGTCCTGTTTTGTGTTGTGCAGGTTTTGTGTAGGAGACAAGTTTTTTCTGAAGAACAACATGATTCTGTGTCAGACTGACTATGAAGAAGGGCTGATGAAGGAGGGCTACGCTCCACAGGTTCGCTGAAGGAGGATGAAGAGCATGCCTGAAGGAGAGCATGCAATCACACAACAAAATGCACTAATGCCTCCTGTCCAGCTCCAGTCCAGCTCCTGGGTCCAACGTGTACAGAAATGAAAAGCTTTTGTAAATGCGGAAACTCTCTGCTGTACAGAACAGAGACGATGTGTCAGGGACGAACTCTGAGACCAACAACAGATCTTGTTTTCTATTTTTAGTTCTTTGTTTTTGACAGACAGAACCTTACTGATCAGAACTCAGACAGGTTTCTTATCAAGTGCTACTTTAGGTTAAAAACTCTGAAAAACCAGCTTGCCTCATCTTTTCAGACTACGTGACCCAAAACTCTGACCTAAAACACACGTTCAAATCAACAAACTCATGTCTAATATACATCTCATGTAAAAATTACAAGGTGGTGAGAAAAGCTGTGTAAGTGTGTGTGTGTGACTTTTTGTTACCACATTCATGTCAAAGCGTAAGAAACTGAAACGAGCCATCAGCTGGTTCTGATTTAAACATCAATAATTTGTGTTGAATAGTCAGAGAAGACCAGTCTGCTGTGGGTGACTCTGAACCAACGCTACTGCACTGCTGGATGGTTAAGGTTTAGTAGCAATAAAAAACTTGACTCTGACATACTGATCAGAACTAAAAGGCTGAACAACTTCACAGATGTGTGGCGGACATTAGTCAAATGTCTGACAGATGTTCTCTGATTGTTCTGGAGCAGGAACAGGAACCTTCACAAACCTGTCATCGTCCTGCGGTTTAAGTCATCTCAGTTCCTTCAAATAAATGAATTCTATCAAAGCTTTCTGCTCTGCCATCTTGGATTTGGATCCAGACGTTTTCATGTGATGACTAGTTTTTAATTTTGATGCAAAAAGTCCTCGTCTTTATTAAACCGCCCCCGACACGCTGAAACACTCATGGAGACACTGTACAGGGTGTGTGTGTGGGGTGGCTTTTTCTACAGTATTTATTAAATGAGGCTCCAGACCACCTTCTGAACATGTTAATGACTTTTCCAGGTACTGTACAGTTTTCAGCTGTGAGTTCTGACGTGGTTCAGCTCCGGCCTCGTGCTGATCAGAACCACGACCTGCTGCGGATGAGTCGGACCTTTTAGCCTTCAGAGCTCAACTTCAGCAGCAGTTTTTCTGCTATCTGTAAACTGTGAATCTAACAGGAAAACTCATTCTTTGACAACTCTTTATTTCATCCAGCATGATATGTTTATTTTTAGGATGTGTGTAAATATTAAAATTGTAACAACTGAAAGCAGAAATGGTGTTTTGTCCTCGACTTTTCTTCTGACTGAATGTGAGGAAACGTTAAAACTGTTTTACACATCGGTGTGGTTTGGGTTCCGACCTTTTCATTACAAAACAGTTATATTTTTTAGAGACAAGTGCATTTTTTTCTTTTTAATTCCAACATTAGATTTTGATGATGAGTTCAGTCAAAAAGTAGGAATAGTAAATTAGATTATTTGTCTTTAACTGCAGTCAGACTGAAACAGATTAGATTTGTTTTACATGTGAGCTTGAATAATAATAAAAAACTAAGCAATGGTTAAACAGCCTCATATTAAATAAGATCAGACTTGAAATGTCTTCACCTGCTACAACAGCAACATGAGAACACAATTAGAAGAAAAAATAAACCTAAAGCCAGTGATCTTCTGCATATTTGGCACAGAAAAAAAAGATGTGGATTTAAATGATCTGATTTGACTGGAAACTTTGTGCTCTGCTTGGTGGATCCAGTGGCAAAAAGTCCAAACAGCATCACACAAGACAAGGGGAATGCAAGAGGTTATCCTCATCTCACCCATCTGCTCCATGGGCTTCAGGAGCGGTCCAGGATGGAGTAAGACCTTTCAGAACCATCAATGCCCCAACAGAACGGACAGCTTAAACTACGGCAGGGTCAATGTTCTGTACACGCTAAAGGACCCTGGTCTTCTTAGAAGGAAACCGTACCCTTTGTGCTAGATGGTTCTGGCCCAGTCCAGTTTATACAACAAAATAACTAAATGACCTTCCAGTATCTCAGGTCATTCCTTTGTTTTGGTTCTTCACTAATGCAGAGTAAGCAAGCTTGTTTTTACCTTTTTGCTGGTAGAGCTGAAGCATGTCTAAAGGTTCTAAAGGACTATGATTAAACCTCCCTCAAATGTAGAAAAACAAGAATCCACAACATCATGGGTGACTTAAAATGCAACAATAAATAAATTGTTTCATTTTATTATTTTTAAACTGAGTGGAAACATCATCCTCCTTCTGCGACAGCTCAGGCTGGTAAAGCCAGAGGTCTTTGTCCCAAAGAGGAGGTGTTTACCCATAATGCAACAGCTATTATAAACCAAGTGCCTCTGTTCAGTAATGACTGAACCCAAAGTAACATGTTGATAAAACTCACTTCTGTACATTATCCATTCTCTATGACTCTATATCAGAAACAATCTTTTACACTACAGACACTTACAACCTCATTTAACCAGTGACAACCCCTTTAGATGCTATTCATAAGAACTAGAAGTCAGATGAAATACAGAACATTTAGCTGTTTTTATTTCAAACTTAGTTAAAAACGAGAAAAGGATAACGATTAGACATTATTTTAAGCAAACAACTAAAGATGTTTTACTGACTGTTGCTGACGTGGATGACTCAAGGAAGAGAGAGGCATTAAAACTTGGGTCAGTCTTTATTTATCTTCTGTAATTATGATTAAATCATTAAGTCAACATGACATCAGATCTTTGTGATCATCAGAAGATGTTACTCTTCAGCCGGAGCCATCTGGTAGTCGGTGTGAATCTGGATTCAGCAGTGGAACTCTAAACCACACAGAGATGAGCTTTAGACCCATATGGACGTCCCAGCATTGGTACTGGTCAGCAGAAAGGTGCAAAGCTGAGTCTGAAACACCTGATTTGTGAGTCGTGTGCTGATCTTCTTCATCTCAAATCATCTTGAATCCCAGCTTGGTTCTTCTAAACTCAATAAACCAAATTTGGGTCTTTTTCTGTTTATGCTGTACCAAGGACACGTGGATGAAAAAAAGTCCTGGTCAGAAGCCCCCGGTGGGATGTAGAGGACCAAACACATCCAGGACTCTAATTAACAAAATGTGACTATAGACATTATGCTTACTGATTAGTTAACCAGGTGTGTCTGAGGTTCTGATTAGAACTGGATCAGGACGTGTGTGGGTTCAGGCCATAGGCAGCTCATGAAAGGCTGCATACCGTCCAGTCACATAATGGTAGATCTGTGTGAGTACAAACAGAGAATGAGATGCAGCAGTGTGTGTGTGTGTGTGTGTGTGTGTGTGTGTGTGTGTGTGTGTGTGTGTGTGTGTGTGTGTGTGTGTGTGTGTGTGTGTGTGTGTGTGTACGTGTGTGCGTGCGTGCATGTGTGTGTGTGTGTGTGTGAAAGAAAGACTGAATCCTCACCTGCCTCTCTATATCAGCCAATAGGCTGCTGGCTCCAAGGCGAAACAGGTGAGGACAGAGCCAATCAGGGCCCAATTCCTCTTTGATTAAAGTCAGCCACACCAGAGCCTCGTGGGCCGTCCGGATCCCCCCAGCCGGCTTGAAGCCCACCTGTAGAGACAGGAAGCAGGTGGACTCTTTTACCTTGAAACGGGACACGAGATACTGGTCTGTACTCAAGTATGACCAGAGAGAAACAACCCTATAAACCCCTGATCCTGAGGGCTCAGACTTGCACCGGTGGTAACACAACTCGGGAGACAAGTTATTGGAAAACCCTAAGTGACTTCTCACAACAAGTTTAAAACCTGTCTATCCATCCACCCATCCATCCATCCATTTTCATGCACTTATCCAGAGTCGGGTCGCAGGGGCAGTAGCCTAAGGTGAGAGGCCCAGACTTCCCTCTCCCCAGCCACTTGGGCCAGCTCCTCCGGGGGAATCCCAAGGTGTTCCCTGGCCAGGTGAGAGACATAGTCCCTCCACCGTGTCCTGGGTCGACCTTTAGGTCTCCTCCCGGTTGGACGTTCCCAGAAAACCTCACCAGGGAGGCATCCAGGAGGCATTCTGACCAGATGCCCGAGCCACCTCAACTGGCTCCTCTCGATGTGGAGGAGCAGCGGGTCTACTCCGAGCCCCTCCTGGATGACTGAGCTTCTCATTTTATCTCTAAGGGAGAGCCCAGCCACTCTTCGGAGAAAACTCATTTCGGCCGATTGTATCCGCAATTTCATTCTTTCGGTCACTACCCAAAGCTCATGACCATAGGTGAGGGAAGGAACGTAGATCGACCGGTAAATCGAGAGCTTCGCCTTCTGACTCAGCTCTCTCATGACCATGACAGACCGGTACAGCGCCCACATCAGGGCAGCACCAATCCGCCTATCGATCTCACGCTCCAGTTTTCCTTCACTCATGAACAAGACCCCGAGATACTTAAACTCCTCCACTTGGGGCAGGACCTCATCCCTGACCCGGAGAAGGCATTCTACCCTTTTCCGAATCAAGACCATGGTCTCAGAGGAGCTGATTCTCATCCCAGCTGCTTCACACTCGGCTATGAACCGCTCCAGCGAAAGCTGAAGATCACGTTCTGATGAAGCCAACAGGACCACATCATCTGCAAAAAGCAGAGACCTGATCATCAGGCCACCAAAATGGATCCCCTCCACACCTTGGCTGCGCCTAGAAATCCTGTCCATAAAGGTTATGAACAGAATCGGTGACAAAGGGCAGCCTTGGCGGCGTCCAACTCTCACTGGGAACGAGCCCGACTTACTGCCAGCAATGCGGACCAAGCTCTGACACCGGTCATACAGGGACCTAACAGCCCGTATCAGAGGGCCTGGTACCCCATACTCCTGGAGTACCCCCCCCACAGGGCCCCCCAGAGGGACACGGTCAAACGCCTTCTCCAAATCCACAAAACACATGTAGACTGGTTGGGCAAATTCCCACGCTCCCTCCAGGATCCCCCTAAGGGTATAGAGCTGGTCCAGTGTTCCACGGACAGGATGAAAACCACATTGCTCCTCCTGAATCTGAGGTTCAACAATCCGACGGACCCTCCTCTCCAGAACCTCGGAATAGACCTTACCAGGAAGGCTCAGGAGTGTGATCCCCCTGTAGTTGGAACACACCCTGCGGTCCCCCGTTTTAAATAAGGGGACCACCACGCCGGTCTGCCAGTCCAGTAGGACTGCCCCCAATGTTCACGCAATATTGCAGAGCCACGTCAGTCAACACAACCCCACAACATCCAGAGCTTTAAGGAACTCCGGGCGGATCTCATCCACCCCCGGAGCCTTGCCACAGAGGAGCTTTTTAACCATCTCAGTGACCCCAGCACCAGAGATTTGAGAGGCCAACCCAAAGTCCCCAGACTCTGCTTCCTCACTGGAAGACGTGTTGTTTGACTTTAAATCAGCTTTTCTAAATAGGGATATAGGCTGATGTGATGTATAAAAAATGGTAAATATCATCCCAATATATCAGCTGACTCTGAAACACACACACACACACACACACACACACACACACACACACACACACACACACACACACACACACACACACACACACACACACACACACACACACACACACACACACAGGAATAATGATTTTACAAGTTAAAATGATGGGATCCAGTACCTTGTATCCTGTAGAAAGGTAGTAGTCACGGATAGCTCTAGCCATCACTATGGCAACAGGATAAGTAGCATTGATGGGCTCCTTTCCTGTAGAGGTCTTAATGAAGTCTGAACCTGTTGGGTTAACACAACAAAGTGTTGCGTCGAGATGTGCCGAGTGTTCTCAGAGAAACGAGTCATCATGTAAAACATGTAGGAAATCAGGTGAAAACAGGAGTTTGGGGCTCTGTGAGCAGGGATGAGCTACTGGATCAGATTAACTGAGCAGGACCAGAATAAAACCTCTACCTTTCCCTGTTTCATCTTTTACCTAAAATTGTGTTTAAGAAGCTTTCTGATCACATGAAGCTCTTTAAAAACTTCCAAACTGAACAAAAAAAAAAACAACAACAAAGAGAACATTTGTGCCTTGTTAAAGATGAGTTAATGTCCTGCTTCTCAAAGTGGCAACATGTTAAAGATCCATCATGGATGGTTTTAATTAGCAGATAATGGATACCAGTTAATAAATGTGGGCGGAGATAATGAAGCTCCATTTGTTAGGGGGAGTGCAGAGCAGTAAAATAGCATCACAGACTAATAGGTGAAATTATCCTTCAGTTTTAGGAATCTCATCTGCAATTTATAGGAGCAGAAAGAGATTAAGGAGTGAGTGTGGAGACCAATGCAATCTGTTACGATAATGACCTCTAACGAGGTCCTGGTTCTGAAACCGGTCCATTATCTGATGCTATTTAAACACATTCAGTGTGTGTGTGAGACCAGAACACTCTGCAGCTTAGACTGCAGCCACGTCTGATTTACTCCACAGAGACCTCATTCATCACCAAGAGGAACGGCGAAACTTGTTTTCTCAGTTTTGAAGATGTTTCGGTTCAAACTGAGTTCCAAGCATTAAACTGAGCAACTTCTCATGGAAATCAACTTACAATAATAGAGAACTCACTACGGTTTAAAACGTGTGTTCTTCTTAGATGAATGTCTTTAAAAGTAAAAAAAAAAAACTGAAATACAGATGAGTTCAGGTTGATTCATCCCCAGAAACAGGTTTCTGATCAGCTGATGGCGATACAGGATGGCGAATGTGACCCCAAACAAACGCCAGATGGGACCTGAACTGGAAGTGAGTTTCTGGAGACTCAAGCTAACAAACCCAACAGCGACACACATGAAGTCCATCACTGACCTGCCATCATGGAGACGATGCTGGCTTTGTAGATGTTTGTGAACGTTCCCAGCTCTCCAGTAGCCAGGATGGTCTTCATGTGGGCATCGCCACACGCCTCTCGGAACTGGTGAAGCTCCCGATACATAGCTGCAGAGACACGTGGTCACACGTTTCCTTACTGAAATGGGCCAGTTCGTCTCAATAGAAGTAACAGACTTGGAGCTAAAACAGCAAATAAACTAATTATTTTGTGTGATGTTTGCAAGAAGTGTTTAAAATAAAAAACGATGGTTGTTTAATGGTTTCCACTCAGGAGCAGCTGCAGATTCTCAGTCTCGTTAGTTAAACTAGAACTCCACCAACGCTCGGGTTCTAGAACTTTCCAAACCTTCCCACTGCCCGCTCAGAGCCAGAGTACGATTGATGACAACATCGATCTCTGCTGCACCGTCTCTCACAGCCAATCGGACCTCCTGCAGACGGGTCTCCAGTGGGGTCTGGCCTGCTGGGAAACCGGTGGCAACTGGGAAGGCAAAAACCCACACAGAAACTGTATAAAGCTACACACACACACACACACACACACACACACACACACCTGCTCTCTATTATTACAGTGGTGTGTGTAAGCTACAGTTACGTGTAGTGTCAGGCGGCTCACCTGAGGCAACAGGTAGGTCAGAGTGGGCTGCCTTCAGGGACCTGACAGCATCGGCCACACGTGATGGATACACACAGACTGCTGCTGTTGTTATTCCTGACACACACACACACACACATAAAGGTTCTGTTCTAATACAGACATACACCCTGACGGGGTCGGGTTCTGCGGAGCAGACAGGTGTTTCTGATGTTCTGTGTTTATTGGAAAGTAAAAAATGTTGCATTGAATTTCTTCACAATGTCAGATCCCGAACATCTGATTCCATGGTACAGCAGTTCATGAAGCTCTGCAGAACCTGTTAATCACCACTGATTAAAATCAGGTGTGTTGACGCAGACCAAATAGCTAAAACATACAGGATGGTGACCCTGGAGGACCAGAGTTGGAGACCACTCAAGTTAAAGAATCATCAGCTAAAGCTAGTTCAAGCTGCTCACCAGAACCTGGTTCTGAAGTTAGACTGAGCCTGAGATGGCAGCTGAGTTCATGTTTAAAGAACAAGTTCAATGCTTTAAAAACAACCTTTGTCATGCATGTCCATGTTCTTAAGGAGGTCCAGTCGGACTGGCTGGATGGCTTTGAGGCAGAGCCGATGAACGTTTGATGGCGTGTCATCTCCTGCCAGGGTAGTCAGGTCGATGCAGGTCACGGCCTTCAGCAGCCAGGCGGCCTACAGGACAATATACAGAACCATAGAACTGCATCAGAATTCAGGCTGCAGCGTAAACGGGTCCAAACAGAACTTTTTGACTGGTCCACAGGTGAGCTTTTCCACCAAACAGGTTTGAGGTATAAAGTTTATCTAGATCTCACCTGCCACTGCTTCTTGGAGACCTTCAGACTCTGAATGTACTGAGCCCGTTTCAGGACCGCCTGATGATTCACCCTGACTCTGGATATCCAGTCCAGGTCTGCTTGTTGCACACAGAGGTGGAGTTAATAGGTTTTATTTACATTGACAGTTCAGAATCAAAGTTTACCCTATGGAACAGCATCAACCAGGGGTCATCAAGGAATAACGTGACATCCTGCAAATTTTAGCTGATTTAAACAAACAAGTAAAGTACAGGCTTCTGCAGAACTCCACATGGTGATGAGATGATTAAAATGTTGATTTAGATGTGCTGGGCCAGGAAACACACAAAATGTGCAGGATGGTAGCCCTCAATAGGACAGGAGATGGTGACCCCTGGTGGATGTGAACCCTTGGAAAGGTTTACTGAGCAGGCCCAAGACATTACTGAACTAAGGGAAAGTTAAGGAGCCCCCAAACCTGTATGGACCAATGTCTCGATTTCCCACAGACTACCACTGATATTTACCTTTGTAAATGAAACCCAACTTGTGATCATACAAAAAACTAAACATTTAAAACAAATAACAAAGAGCCAAGTTGTTGAGGGGATCTGTTTTGGTGGCCTAAGGATCAGGTCTCTGCTTTTTGCAGATGATGTGGTCCTGTTGGCTTCATCAGAACGTGATCTCCGGCTTACACTGGAGCGGTTCACAGCCGAGTGTGAAGCAGCTGGGATGAGAATCAGCTCCTCTAAATGCAAGACCATGGTCGGAAAAGGGTAGAATGCCTTCACCGGGTCAGGGATGAGGTCCTGCCTCAAGTGGAGGAGTTTTAAGTATCTCAGGGCCTTGTTCACGAGTGAGGAAGAAATGGAGCATGAGATCGATAGGCGGATTGGTGCTGCATCTGCAGTGATGCAGGCGTTGTACTGGTCTGTCGTGAATGGAGAGCTGAGCCGGAAGGCAACGCTCTCGATTTACTGGTCGATCTACGTTCCTACCATCACCTATTTGTCACGAGCTTTGGGTAGTGACCAAAAGAATTACATCGCGGATACAAGTGGCCAAAATGAGTTTTCTCCGCAGGGTGTCTGGTTTCTCCCTTTGAGATAGGGTGAGAAGCTCTGTCATCTGGGAGGGGCTCGGAGTAGACCTGCTGCTCCTCCACATGGAGAGAAGCCCGTTGAGGTGGCTCGGGCATCTGGTCAGGATGCCTTCTTAACACCTCCCTGGTGACGTTTTTCCTGGTACGTCCAACTGGGAGGAACACACTTTTTTTAAAGAGCTTCATGTGATGTGATATACGAAGTAAGATTTTCAGCTTTAGCCTGAAGGAACCAGGAAAACCTTGAGCTAAACTCAGTTTTCCCATCACCATGGAGACTACGTTCTCTATGTAACTCTTCATGCTTATTTCTGTTGTTTTTCTGACGTCTGATGTTTGTCTGGGATTTTTTTGCATTATACATTTGTAGTGAGCTTCAGTCCCGTCTAGTCTCAACAGTCAATGGTTCTGATGAGACCCTCATGGTGTTACATACAACATGCTGTGTTTGCAGAAGTAATCATGATGCTACAAATGACAGAGTGTAATCTCACTGCTTCCTGCCTCCTCCACAGCAGACCAGGCTGCATTGTTGTTAAAGTCTGCTTAAATAGGATCTGAATCTGATTTAGAACCACATATGAAAGTGACCTGGATTTGTTCCATTCAGACTCTCGTCTAGGTCACATGTGGGCAGAAAGGTCCGGTTTAGGCCATTAATACATTGAGTGTAAACTGAGCCTGAGACTGATATTGTCGCCATAGTGATAGGAGGCTGATTTGAATTTAGAATTACAGTTTAACTGTGTGTAAACTCTCCGGCCCTTCTGTTTCTGTTCCATTAGATCCCAGGTAGGCTGAAACATCCTCTGTGTGTCAGTTCTGACAGATCTTGGGACGTAAATGCAATCCCAAATAACTAATTTAAAAGAAAAGTTTTGGTTCATTAACAAACCTTCAAATAAACTAAACCTATTCAATCTCTCAGAAGGACCAGAACTTACTCTGCATGTTAAATCAAATTTATTCTGAAGTTCAATAAACTTTAGAATCAGAGCCTGAACACTACTTGACTGATCAAAAACCCTTAGAAAAGTACTGATCATGTACCATGGGGTTAGAGCCTGGTGATTGTTTAACACGAGCCTGTCATTAACCTTTAGTGTGTCAACAAGAGACACGTGGGTCTGGAGTTCGGATGGGTCACATGATGCATAGGTCGCCATAGTTGTTCGATCAGAACCGAACCGCAGCTGAACGGGGCCAGATCAGTGATCATATCTACCTCATCATGAACGGACCTGGTCCTAATGGAGCTCTGATCCATAATCACCTAAACATCATGCCTTTATAGCGTTCAAGAGGAGACACGTGCACTCAAACATGGCGGCTTGATATGAAACCACAAACTGGACACTTACCGAGAACTGAACCGGCGTTCCTGGCTGACATATTACCGACAGATGGAAATTTACCCGGAAAACCAGAGTCTCATCAGGTTTGCTGGCTGGCCACCCACTCCACCCACTGGCCCGCTGGATGTGTGACTGGCTGGGACTGGCTTGCTGTTTCTCCTCCTATGGGTCTAGCGAGGGCTTTAGCGCTTTACCGCCACCTGGTGGAGATGTACGGTACTTATAAAAACAAAGTCCACACCACTCATTCAAATGTTTTTGTATAGGTTCCAAACTAAACTAACCTGAGGCACAAATGATGTGGTTGGACTTTCAGATAACCGCATGTCTGCTATTTTTTTAATATATTTTTTATTATTTTATTTTCACATCAATAAAAAGCATAAACAACATAAACCCTTGGCTCCCTTTCCTCGCATATATACAAGTTAATATTCAGGTGTCAGTTCGCACAACGGTGTCCCTACACCAAAGCTCTAGCAAAGAATGCAGAGACATCCAGTCCAACGTGCAGTGGAAAACGTTTCCACGTCCTGGCGAAGGCTTCATCCTTGCAGTGCAGTCGACAGGACAGTCAAAAGAGGCATAACTGAGCACAACCCTCTGCCACTGTGTTTTGGAGGGGATCTTGTCAGCTATCCAGTTCAAGAGAAGACACTTTCTAGCACAGAAAGTCAATATGCTGTAGAGTCTCCTTTCATATTTACCACTGACAACTGGATCAACCACTCCCTGTATGTCTGCAATTTGCAAACATCAGTGAACTGATGCAGCTCTGGATAGAGAGAGTGGACCAGAACTCCCCCAGAACCAGACTGATTAAGTCAAACACTGTTTCTGGTGTTAAAATATTCCCAGAAAAGGGAAGATATAAACCCCTCAGAGGGTTCTGGCTCTGCCCCAGGATCTCCTAGTGCCCAGAAAATCTCCAGAGGACAAAGACCAGGGGAAGTACTGATCAAGACCCATTCAGGCTCAGCTGATGAGAAGAAGAAGAAGAAGAAGAAGAAGAAGAAGAAGAAGAAGAAGCTATGTCTGGATGACAGAACCCCTCGCCTTATCTCTAGAGCTGAGCCTGGCCACCCTACGGAGGAAACCTTTTTCAGCTGCTCAAATTCATGATTTTATTCTTTGTTCAAAAATTGATACTTCATAAAAGAAAGGAAATTGTGGACAACCCTGAGCATTCTCTCCAAAAGACCATCATTCAACATCCGAATGTCTTCAACCAAAGGGTTCTACAAATCTGCTGTAATACAGACGTCCTCCAGCATCTACAACAACTCTAAGAAGAAACTTGAATAAAATGAGACTATTAATATTATTATCATTATTGTTTTGTTGTTAATAATATCGTAAATTGATAGCATGAGTTACATCACAAATACTTTTCATGATCTAATATCAAAGCACTTCTTCATTTAATGAAATATAATTTAAATCCTGACCCACATCTTTATATATATATATATATATATATATATATATATATATATATATATATATATATATATATATATATATATATATACTTTTTTTTCTTGAATATGCTTTATTGACAAAGCACATAATACAACTACAAAGAAATAACAAGCACAATGTCATGGGTTTCTGAGGGGAAACAAAACAGTCTAACAAAGAATCACGTGATATTGAACAGGGAACATAAGTTTATGGTTTTGACAGCTTTCAAATTTTGAGAATGTTGTATGGTTTTTATATATTGTCTGGTTTTATTTAAATATACATTATATTCTTCCTCCCCAATATGGTGGTGTCACTGACGTACACTCAGCTAGAAGTGCGTCATTTACGTCTGGTCTACAGGCTGTGTGTAACTTTAAAACATGCTATCTAAACTGTTTTCCAGCGTTTCCAGAAGTTAAAAAAGTAATTTTTAATATTCATTCTGAGCTCAATTTTAAGTTATGTTTGATTTAGTTAGTTAAACCCCGCTTTTTAAGTTTCTGTTTATTTTTTATGACTAACTGTTTCGTTTATTAACACACCTGTGCGTTCATTTGTGTGCGAATGTGTGTACTTTAGTCCAAAAGTTTGTTTTGTTAAAGCTAAAGCTAAGCGCTACTACAGCAGGGCGGAAACCAAGTGAATTCATGTCCATATTAGGAGATGTGCTGGTGCCCCGTCATTCTAGCCTTCTAGTGGTCAAATACAAACAGGCCCGGTGTCGGTATCAGGTCCATGTCCATTTCATGTGCTGGACCGGGGAATCAACACGACGTTTAGCCGCTGGTACCGTGTTCCTGGTTCCGTTTCGGTATGTCAGAGTTTTATTCTAACGGATTTGTGTAGAACCTACGTGGTCTGGTTTCGGTTCCAGAAAGTTCTCCTGTCGAGCCCAATAAGGTAGAGCGGGTAAGAACGGGTTAAATTCAGGTCAGGATGGAGAGACAACACTGTGTGTGTGTGTGTGTGTGTGTGTGTGTGTGTGTGTGTGTGTGTGTGTGTGATAAGTAAATGAATTATTAACCACTTGTTAACAGGGGAGCAGCACCAGGAGGACATCAGTTATTAGTTGAGCTGAATTTCAGACTGAAATATTATTTACATTTAACCAGTGATACAAAATAAACACTTAAGAATTACAAAGTAACAATTAAAATGTTGGCATCGATCTTTTGATAATGGACACTTATGTTAAACAACAGAGATGGGTTATGGACTTTAACAAGTAAAATGAACGATTATGGAAAATATTTACTAAAACAGAAATATGGATTTTACTGATGAGGAAACCGAGATTAGCTTTAATTGTAGATTCCTGGTCAAATTAAGGTGATTTGGGTGAGAAATAACCAGTAATCCTAAAATGACCTAATTTATCATCAGAGTTCAGTCAGAAGGAACATTTTCACTAAGTTTGGCCTCCAAAATTCCTCTTTCCTAAAAATCCCTGCAGGTGGATTTCCAAACGGAGCCCATAGGAGGGTTGGACACCTCAGAGGTTTCAGTGGAGGTTCTCACAGAGTTCAGATGGTTCAGATAGCACAATGACATCAGGAGGATCTTTATCATCTGGTGGAATGGCAGATCAGATCTGACTGTCTGACCCAAAATAAATTCCAAAGTTCAGCCAAAATGACTTTCAAGAACAATAGTTTTTTTGGCTGGTTTCAAATATTAGTACTTTTTACTGGAAAATAATTAGAGACAAAAAAACAATAATTCCTTTATACTGTTTTATTTTTCTTAAGACAGAGAATACTCTTAATTCTGCTAAACTTGGATCTCACAGGAGGGGCTTGGTCAAATCTCATTGGTCAGGGTGAAACCAAACACACTTTCAGTGTTTTTATGTTTTTTATTAAGTGACTGAGGCTGTTTATTTAAAACCAACTGATTTCATTAGTGATGTTAAATGTTTTGCCGGGCGGTGCCAGAGTCTGAGGTCTGTGGTTGGTAAGGTTTCTGGTTCTGAGGACAGATCAGTGTCTCCCTGGAGCAAAGAGCTCGGATCAACAACAGGAGCTGCTTCTCGTACGACAAACTACTAAATGAGAGCTGAAAATAAGAATTCTGGACCATCAGGGACTGGGAAGGACGAAACGGGGTCCATTATGGTCCCAGTGAGAACTTGTTTCATCTGTTTGATGTTTTTCTTGTCCTAACCCATATTCCTGCAGCTAAGGTGTTACAGCTGTTTCTCTGCTGTTTCCCCTTTACCTTCATCCAGCCCAGACCTTGTGGCGGTCCTTCTCAAGGGGGTGGAGTCCTTTCTCCAGCAGTCATGTCAGGCTTCAACCTGCTGCACCTAATAACCAAGAGTCAGCCGGTGTCCCTGAGGTCCTGCAGCCTTCCTTCAGGTTCTCGCCCTGCCAGCTGAGCTGTGTGTGCCTGGTTTGCTCTGCCTCTCTAACACATTAACTCACTACTTGTGTGGCATCATGTGTTCTTATCTTTGCTTATTCTTTTCTGTTTGGTCTTCCTGCGAACAAACAATCACTATAAATCTAAAAATCTAAGCAGCCAGTTTTTTTTTTTATATCTAATGTTTTTATTAAAGAATAAAACTAGGAGCAGCTTACAAGTGTGGTGGAACTTTGACATCTGTCTGCTCTTTAGGGATGTTGTTATTTTGTAATTATCAAAAGTAACAATCAGAAGCCATCCAAGGTGACCATGTTCTCAGGCAATATTTTGGGAGTTTAGATGGTAAACAGGTTTTCTCTGATGTTCCAGGGGATGCTGACAGTTGCCGTCATCCACAAATAAACAAGAGCAGATGTTTGTTTCTCCATCAAATGTTTGTAATTCCTTCGTTAATTAATCCTAAGTGAACATTTTGGTTGCAAAGGGGAACAAAGATAAAAAAAATATCTTTAAAAATAAAATATGATCTGTTTTGAAGCCAGTTGTGGTTCTGGATTCTGGTTGGCAGTTCCATAACAATGTTGCAGCAATGTTTTGTGTGCTTGGAGACGAGCCCTGTAAAGTTACAACAGCGCCCGCTGACCTCTCCATACAAAGGAATTGTTCCGCTACAAAAACACTTTTCATTCATGTTTAATTGATGAGCTGACTGGGCTGTGATCCAATAACGTGGATGTTTGTTCTAATCCTACTGCTTACATAACTTGCCCTGATCATTTCTAGCTGAAATGTGATGTATATAGTGAGAACATCATTAAATATCTCCCTACCTACCATCCTACTTACCTACCTTCCTACCTCCCTACCATCCTACTTACTTACCTACAGACTTACCTTCCTAACTACCTACCATCCTACCGACTTATCTACCTTCAAACCCAAAATCCTACTTACTTACCTGTGTACCTACCTACCTACCATCCTACTTACTTACATCACATTTACATACCTACTATATTACTTCCTACCTTCTATCCTATGTATCCACCACCCCAGCAGCAGTCTATTTACATGTTTTGTGTAAATTAGCAGATAGCATTAGCGTTAGCATGAATTTAAAAGTAAATACTTAAAACATCACTAACTACTAACTAATATCACTATCTTTGATGACTGAAGCTAACAATGCTTAGAAGTAAAATTTGTCCTTGCATATTAAATAAAAATATTAATGTTACTGGTTCACAGATTAAAAGATGAAACCTAAACATCATTTTGCTATTAAAATGTTTTTAAACTTTTTCGTTGGAGCCTTTCTAAACTTCCTTGGTGCTGTTCTTCTAAAGCACCAATTTTGTGATGCCACTGATTCAATCTTTTTATCTGGTTGTTAGATTTAAATATCAGATTTTGGATGTGAACATGTTGATAGTTTCTTCCTGCTGAATTCTGCACTTATTAAATTTGTTTCTAATCTAATAACTGCCTCCATTTCCTGCAGCTTGCATGCACTGAGTGGCTTTGTTATGCAGCTTGATACACATCTGGTGGGTAAAGCAGATGCCAGTATAGAAGCTTTATAGTAGAAGCAGGTTGTTGGAATCATAAATCTGAGCTTCAAACTGTAACATGTCCTATCTGAAGAAGTCAGGTGTGAGTTACACATGCCATACCAACACACACACACACACACACACACACACACACACACACACACACACACCTGTATAGATCTAATAATTATTTCAGACACATGCCGTTGACGGTTCCCTTGATCCACCAGAATAACTTTCCTTAGAAGGACACATTTCCCACCTGCAGCTCACTTTACCCACAGCAGGTCACCTACCTTCAGCAGGTCACAGGACACCTCAGAGCACAAGTTCGAGCAATCTGTGCAGGAAGTTAAACGAGGCAGTTTGGATGCTGCTCAGCTCCTGCTTTGATGCTTGATGCATAGACATAATATGTTTCTGTTTTTGGAGAACTTGATAACATATGAGTAATGTGACTTTCTTTTGTCTCAGGAGCACGCAGGACCAAGAAAACCTGGCCAGTGAGTTTCTCCCAGGAGGAACTGAAGAAACGCCTCACCCCGCTGCAGTACCGTGTTACCCAGGACAGAGAGACAGAGAGGTGGGACGACTTCATTTGACTTTTTTTTTAGGATTTAATCACTTATATTTATTCTTTTTCCATCAAGAATCTGCATCTGTTCTTAGTGGCTTCAAACTAAACATCATACTTGGGAATTTTAATATGCAGGCTATGGAGTGTCTTTAGAAGATGTTGCTGAACCTGTTAATGTAGTCTGCTGAATGAGGAAAAGGTTCAAACCGAATCAACCTGTGGCTTTAACATGGCCTAGAGTCGTCTTCCATGCTCCAGCGAAGTTCTTTATCAAAGCTCCTACTATTCTGTAGATGTACAGTTCCAAGCACACTTGTGTGTTGTACAAGGAATGTGGGACACCTTGTCAACCCAGTGATGTCCTAGACTGTCCTAGTGCTGTCCATCCTTTACAAGCTCGTATTGTGGGATGTGTGATTATGGACAACCAGAGGCAGTGTTTAGTAAAAGAGAGTTGTTGTTAAAGGTGGAACATGGAACATTTTAATAAAAAGTCAGATAAAAAAAAATACTACCTCCACAGGGCATTTAGAGGTGTGCAGGATTGATGTACATTTTCTCCTATAAAAGCTATATTTAAAAAAGTAAATAATAAAAATTGCATTTTGACGGGTAAAATGGTGGACTCGTTAAGTCAAGCAGCTGATTCTGAGCCCAGAAAATGATCTAACAGTAAATACTGTTGTAAAATAAACGTATTAGTAAAAGTATCTGATAGGTAATTAATTTTATCCCATATTACCTTAAAGGACGACACACAGAGAGAGAGAGAGAGTAGATTGATTATTTGTAATTTCCATTACCCTGAATCGTCATGCGAGAGCTGGGCGCTGAAAGTCCGTCCATGGAGCCAACCGGAAACCTCCCCCAATCAGCTCCAGACAAAGCCTTCAGCTCACCAGCTCTGCATGCCCGCATTCTCCATCAAAATGTTGGGTAATTTTTACTTCTCCATAACCCTTGAACCTGAAATAAACACACACATAAAAGAGGATTTCATTGTACCCCGAGTCCCCAAAATAATGGAGAGTCGACACAGGGGAAACCCCCTCCGAGGCTGGCCCCACGTCACTCCCCCGAGTCCTCCTCAGTTTCCCAGGGGTTTTATTGACCAACAGGATGGAGAAGGCATGCCTTCTCAAGTTACATGCAGGTGCAGACCGATGGTACAGACCCATCTCCTAGGGTTACCACGGTTACCACATTCCAGAGATCTTGTCTCAGGCATTACAAATTTCACAGGAGCTCGTCACCCCACACAAAGAAAGATTCACAGACCAACCAACATGAACATTTAATAAAAATACCTAACAGTACCCTTATCCTCTATGATTTGTCACTGGACATGGTGCTGGCTGGTCAGTGAACCAACACTGAGAAAGCTGGTGTTCTGTTGTTGCACTACCACCTTTAAACACTGGATGCCGCTATAGCGCCCGTGTTCCATATTCAACTTTTATCTAGTTTGATAAAACACAAGAAGTAAACACAAAGACTGAATGCACGCATGGAGCTGTGACAGAAGGCGAAGAAACAAAACAATGTTCAGCTCAATCTGGAGATTCACATCCTTTTTGTTTTTACACTTTCACGTTTTTCATTTGTTCTTTATATTGAGACATTGTGTTTCACTAATACAGCCTCTCCTATAGTGCCTTTACAGGAGAGTTTACGCATCATAAAGATGAGGGGACCTACACCTGTGTTGTCTGTGGGACCCGCCTTTTTAGGTAAGAAGCTTTGTTATTAATAAGCCGCGTTGGTAGCACGCGGTCCTGCTTACCGAGGAAATGTTGTCAGTAGCCACGTTTACATGCGCATATTTAATCGGATTGAGGAAATTAGGCACATGAAAACGCAGCTAGTGATGCTTTTATTAGTTTGAATAATCAAATATTGATGCCTGATGAGTATTTTGCAAATGAAAATAATTGAACATTTTATTTAGTCCTGATGGGACTTCAGCAGCCATTTTGTAGGAATTCTGGTTGTTTCTGTTTCTGGTTGATTTAGTGGATTTATATCTTCTCCTATGTCAGACACAACATGCCTGAGATGAGAGGTTTCTCACAAAGCAGGGTCTTTCCTCACATGCCTCTTTGAAAACATACTTTAAAACAGCAGTGAGACACTGGTGTCTTCCTGTTGCTGCTGGAGAGAGATGTCTCTCCTCCAATCCTCAGAGCTTCATGTAATAAAACTCATTAGAGTCTGTATGAGAGAGCTATCACTATTCATCCAGCTGGAGCCATATAGAACACCCACAGGCCATTTCTCCAAATAGCACAAGTCTAACACAAATAAATAGCCATTAATCACAAATGCATTAATATAGATTTAAAAACAAGACATTTCTTTAAAAAATAACATTAAAATATGTTTATTAAGCATTAAGTTTAGTTTGGTTTCATGGTGGCTCAGAGGAAGTTGGTTGTTGTGGGGCCAAGGAATAATTTCTCCTGATCTCAAGGCTGTATCTCAAGTTTCCTTCAGACTGAGACCATCCATGGCTTCCTACCTGATAATACCTGAAGTTATAAAATCGACTGTGTTCAATTTTCTATCTATCATCAGCTGATGGAGCAAAGCAAAATAGAAACTGTATATTTTCCTGACTTGTTTTTGTTTCTGTTTACAGCTCCAAGTCTAAGTTTGACTCAGGCTCAGGTACATTAACCCTCTGTTACTCGTTCCTTTTCTCTGTTTAACCATTTTTAGTCTTTTAAATGCAATATATTTACAGTCTGATCACGTTTACTTCAGATTCTAGATTATGTACCCGATGACTCTAAATTTATATTTTCTGTCTTAGCTTAAGTTTCTTTAGGATGAACTTACAGGTGAAACTCAAAAGATTATAAAATGGGATAAAAGTTTGTTGGATTCAACTTAAAAGGAGATGGACTAATTACATGCAAAGCCAGATATTTCAAGCCTTTTTTTTTTTGTTATAACTGTGATGATTACGGCTTACAGCTGATGAAAATTCCACAATCAGGATCTCAGACTATTAGAATATTGTGAAAATGGTCAATATTCTAGATTAAGTGTCACACTCTAATCAGCGAATGCATCCAGAACACCTGCAAAGGGTTCCTGAGTCTTTAGATGGTCTCAGTATAAGGTTAATTACTGAAATAAATGGACCTTTGCTCCATATTCTAAATTTTAAACTTTCACTTGTATGAACGCACATGAAGACAAACTAGAACTTTCAGTTGGACGCCAGACTGATAACCGGTCCAACTGTAACTAGTTGCTGTGAACAGAAAACCCAGCTGTCAGACTCTCACTCTGTTTCTGTCTCACAACAAATCAAGAAAGTTACTGCACTAAAATCAAAGAAACATGTGGGCTGCTTTTTCTCTCAATAAATTAACTTTTTAGCTGTAACAACAAAAAAACTGAAAACCCCTGGGCTTATAGATGCATCACCTGTGTGTACAATTATACATAAATAGGTTAAAAAGACAAGAAGCCCACCAAGCTAAGAGCCATAGTTATAAACAGGTGCTGTGAGGTGCTCTCTCTGATATCTTCACTAATTTATTCCTAAATAATGGTCCAGGTTGGCCTTCGTTCTCTGACCTGATGAATGGAGAGTCCATCACTCTGTCAGATGACTTCTCCCATGGGATGCACCGAGTGGAGACGACCTGCAGCCAGGTATGCCTGACAGATATCAGCGCTGAGAAAATCATTCCTAAAGCGTTGAACTCAAATTTCACTTCAAGCAGTCCTGGGAAAATAAGTCAACAGTTGTGCTTTATCATTTTCGAAGTATAAAGAGCAAATTGCAGGTTACATTTTTTCTAATTCCTATAAAATGCTGTCCTAAAAATACTATTTGAAAAGCGTATTGTGGATATTTCGTTTTAAATTACACAACAGCAGAGGTTTTCTAGTAAAAAGTGGACTTTCTCAGAAAAGCTTCTAAAAAGGCTCTTTTTTCTAAATGTAAACCTCTGACGTAACCAAAGGGAGTTGGAAGCTAGGCTGCCTCAGCTCAGTGTGGAGAGTGGCTAGTTTTAGAGTAGAGAGGTCATGTTATCCAGTCAGTGTGTGTGTTTACTAGTGTTGGGTTGTGTTCATGTTGATAAACTGTAGTTTGTGAAGGCTGTACCAACTCCAGCCTGTCTGGACATTGAGTCCACGGGTTTCCAGATAAGAGAAACAACGCCTCTATCTCCGTGCCTGAGGGCGTTTTGTGCAGCTGAAAAGACGGGACTTCTGTAGCCCGGGTCGGTATCGGGTCAGTACCAGGACAGGGAGGTCCGCGCTGGGCTCCGGAGACTTGTGGCGGGGTTTAAAAAATTATATGCGGATTTCTGGAATTCAGATCATCATCTGAACCAGGTCAGAACCGACCACAAGAAAAGACGCGGGCCAGCTGGCTTCTGGGTCGGAACCGGATCAGAACTGCTGCGGGCCTCCAGGAGAGGATACTTTTAAAAATACCAGCTGGACTGGCTCGCTGGTGTCTGGGTCACATCCAGCTCACAGAAACCTGCTTGAGCTCCAGAACCGGATGACAGACGTCTCTCTCCCTCTCTCTAAGCGCTAAACTACATTGAACGGATATTAACGAGTATGAGACAGCTGACCGACGCTCATTAGTATTAATATTACATATATTAACTGACCGATACAATTTTAATTGTCTGGTACATGATAGTAATCTGTACAATATTTTGATGTTAGCACACGAGTTTAAACAAACTTTGTTACCTCACAAGCTGCTCCCCCGCTGCTTCTCCTCACATCGCAGCACAATCTCTGCTTTGGCCGATCGTTTCTCCCTCTGGTTTGTTTTTGCTCTCTGGGGCGTGCAGCAAACTCATAACTTTATGGTTTTGGTCCATCATGGGTATAATTGTAAACATTTAAAGTTTCCTCCGTGTCAGCGCCAGCATTATAATCTATATTTTTCACTGGATTAAGCTAACAGGACTCCCTCAGCTGATGTCTTGGTTTGGCCAAAAAAATAAATAAAAAAATTTTCTTACAAAAATGACTCTAAAAGCCTACATATTGTATGTTTGTGTAAAAAAATGTTTAAAATGAGTTTCTATTATGTTTCTCTAAACATTGGTTCATGGGAGTCTCTAACCTACAATTTGCTGTTTTCATATTAAACTTTATTTAATGACCTGCTTGGAGTATTTCTCGCAGAAGGCCCTCTGATTTGTGACTAGATGATCAGTTAGGGATCATTGGTATTATGGAAGGGTTAGTTAGGACTGTACAGGGCTTCCTGTTTTTATATGAACTACACTGTGTGTATGTGTGATTTCTTATTGTCACTTTACTGCTAAATATTGAACTAAAATCTAGTTTAAAGGTGAATTAAGTTTCTTTTTTTAGTCATATTGCAATGATTGTTATACTGTTCTTGTGAAATATTATTTGGGACCCAGTTTTGTTATTCCTTTTGATGGTTTGATTTTCAGAATCAGGTTACTAGGCTTTAATGACAACGGGTCAGGACCAAAGCCTGTTAAAGTGTCTGTGTTACAGTGTGGAGCACACCTGGGACACCTGTTCGATGATGGTCCAAGGCCCACAGGAAAACGTTACTGCATTAACTCAGCTTCACTGGCTTTTCAGCACGAAGACGACTGCTGTTCCTCCTCCCCCTTCCCTGAGGGTAAAGCAGCCAGTAGCTCTGAGAATGATGGAAAGACTGAACCCTGAACGAAAGCAGCACAGACCCATCATCAAGTCACTGGTCATGTGTGCTTTGGATGTGTAGTTTCATACCAGAAACCAAAAACAATTAAACCAGTGACATATTCTGTGTAAATAACTTTATTTGTGCTTTCCTCCATCAAAGCATCACTGGGAGTCAGTGGATCTTGTAATGAATCAAATAGAGGGTAAATTGGATTAAATAAATTGCTTAAGAGCTATTTATTTCTATTATCATTACTTGTGACCACTAGCTGTAATACTCTCTTAATTATAGAACATCACCTTGCTTGGTCTTAGGATGATTAATTAGAAGGTTCTAGGATTTTTTAATTATTAAGGGATCGTTCACACTTCGTTTATGATTCAAGAACCAGTCAGTGTTTGCAAACAAATAATCATTTATTTTACAAACAATTAAGACTTGACAGATTGTTTAAACTATTATGTGAGTGGATGCAAACTAAAAGATGGGTGTCTGGAAACTGTGTGAATATAGTGTTAGAGTCGAAATCTCCGTATCCCAGATAGGGGTGCGTTCTGGTTATAAAAGAATTTGGTTTGCAGATAAGCTATAAGCTGTTATTTATCAAACTGCATACAGATGCTATCTGTGTGTCTATATTACCGTAGATGCACCCTCTTGGTGAATCCGAAGGTCAGAGTGGTGGGATGACCGCTGGCACCGGAGGGCTGTAGAGTACTGAGGTGCCGTCCTTTCAGCCCTAGAGATGTGTCTCGGGTCACGACAGATGGATGGAAACCACACGTCTTAAAATAACTCTGAAGGAGTTTTGCAAAATCAGCTTTGTTCTGCAGGAAAACTATCTTGTTGTTCAGCTTCGCAGGTGAAAAAAGCTTTAAGGTTTTGACAGCGTGTCAAAATCTTTCTGAGCTAGAGATTTGCTAAGAGATGGCCAGTCTCCAGCTTTCTCTCCCGACTGACGAGAAAGCAGAGCGGCTGGTCTATATACCCGCTGTTATTTATAACCAAACTTACCAAGAATCTCAGAAACACACGCTCTGAGACGCAGAGTCTCTGAGTCTAGGGACAAGGTTAGTTATGTGTCATGCGTTCTTATCTTAACCTTACTGTCTGGTGTGAGCAGATGGTGATGACCTAATCCAGTAAACATACTTAAACAATCCTTGAGTACAGATTCATGAACCTTTTATTGCTTAATTATACGTGACAATATGTAATGGTTTTTAATCATAAAATCTTCTTTCTTCCATGACTATTTTGAAATATAAAGTTACTTTTCATTATGAAATCTTCTTTCTTCTGGGAATAAAGATTTATCTAAAACAATTCTCTTGTGAACGGCGTTGGCTGCTACTGTTCATATGAAACTGTGCTCAGCTGATGAAGTCATCTGATTAAAATGCTGAGTTGTGCAGACTCACGGACTCCTGACAAGGGAAGATACAGCAAAACATGTAGTAGCCAGGGTTATTTGCTCTGGCTGCATATGACCTGTGGGATCTTTAAAATCAGGCCATTTGGTGACGTTACATCTCAACTCTGCGTTTCTAGTCTAAAATTTCCTTACAAAAGGCAATGAACCCCCTGAGACTGCCTTATGCTGACATGTGTGAAATGATGAAAACTGTAAAGGCATTTGGTTTACAGTGAAGATGTTCCATACCGCGACCTGTGTGCAGACCATGTGTTTTCAGGTTCCCACTAATAAACGACTCCGAGCCACCACAAGCCTTGGTTAGTGATGCAGTGGCTGGGATCTGTTCAAAGGGTTTCAAACAAACACATTTGTTGTGTTTATGAATAGTCACTTTGCATTCATACATTTGTATACATTGTATTCTCCCCAAATAGATGCAAAAATCAAAACAACCACTAGTGGCTCATTAAGGTTACCGTGGTAACGTTCAGAAATAGCCTTTATTGAACTTTATCAATTGATGCTGCTGTGAACAACCCTCAGGAAACCCACTTAGGGATGTTTTACCCAGACAGAAACAGTGATCTGTTCATGTCAAAGTTTTCCTAGAGGGAGCAGCCATCAGCAAGCCCACATGACCAGAGCCTCTGTATGTGTGTGCTTCACAGATAATTATGAACTTAAGTGCACACGATAAAGGCTATGACTTTTAGGGGATTTCTGCTTGCAGGAGCTGTATCATGTTTAGATGGGAGCTTTTGTGTGTGTGTGTGTGTTTTCTTAAGTTATTCTGCAGCCCAATGGGGTGAGGCAATGTTTGTATTTGTAATATTCACTTAATAAAATATTTAAAAAGATAAAAAAAATAGCTTCTTTTTTTGCCACACTAAATCCATTTGGGTGCACACTTCCTAACTATAATGCAGCTGCATTTCCTGATAGAAAACAAAATTTGTCCTGTAGTTTAAAATCTAGTGTATAATTTAACACTAACTGGTGTTTGCAGCTCAAATTACTTAGGAAATGAAGCTTCACACAGCAATGACATACCAATGGACAGCAGCACTGGACTTTTAGAAATGTGTAAGTCCTGTTGGTCATGTGTTAATTACATAGTCAGGTTGATGCTGGTTTTCAGACAAGGTTCATGTCAGCAAAGATTTTACTTTTATTTTGTCTTACATATCCTGACAATTCTTACAAAGCAAGTCAATCATTGATGAAAAATGCTGAGAAACATTATATAACAGGTCTAGTGACATTAAAATAGCACAGAACCCTTGTTAAAAATAAATAGGTTTTGGTTTAATATCAGAACTGCTACAAAACTCTTAAAATGTCAAACTAAGAACTAGATCCCTCACCCTTTAGACGGTTTCTATATTCATTACATTCTCCAACGCAGTGCCAGTTAAAACAAGGGAGCGGGAAAAAAGCATAAATTTAAGGCACAGTTGGATCATCCGCTGCAAACTGCAGCCATCGAACACAAGAAATGTGCACCATCTGTACAATTTTACACAGCAAAACCTAAATCCAGGTTTTTATTCACTGCATTAAAATAACTCAAGTTGCTGTTTCACAAGCTCAAACACAAACAGGAAGTTATTTATGCCTCCAGTCCTTGCCCTGGATTTATTAATAAAACTTTCTTTTTAATAAAAGTGGGAACTGATCACAGCAGCAGCGGAGACCGACTCAGGTGGCGTCATGATGAATAAGAACTTATGGGTGAGGATTCCTGCAACCTGGAGGTCACATGCACACACACGAAAGTAAAAACATCACATTTAAGATGAACAACTCAAGGAAAGAGGGTAAGTTACATAAATCCTGGACAATAGAACTTGGAATTACATTAGAATTAGTTTAAAGGCTTCATGTGACTGGAAAACATGAGCTCTGTAGGATCTCAATCGGTGTTCAAAGAAAGCTGGAATAAAGGAAATAAAACGAAAACAAGGTTGAGTCTTCCAGCTTCAGTGGTTGTTCTGATTTTAGTGTGTGTGTGTGTGTGTGTGTGTGTGTGTGTGTGTGTTCTGATAAAGCTTGTGCTTCTAACTGCATTAAGAGCAGAAAGTTTTGATTTTAACAGTTTAAAAACAACTTCCACGTGAGACCGATGTGTCTGACTCTGTAACTAACAGAAGCAAACCCAGTGGGTTGAACTGTGGAAGAGGAGAGAGGATTGGTCTACAAACACATAAAATACTCAAAGATTTTATTCTGACACTTGAAATATACAGTTTATATGTTATAACAGAACGTGCTCCACTCTGCTGCATCTCTTTCGTATCCGCAGTGTGGAATAAAAATAATAATAATAATCCAATAGCAGGAGCAAAAGTCCTGAAGGTATTAAAATAGTGAGTGGGCCCAGCAGCAGAGTTCTGGGAGGAAAAAAGCAGAACAGCAGATGTCTCAGGAGAAGCTGGAAGAGCTGACTGACTCGTGCTGTTGATGGTAAGCTGCAGCGTTCGTGCTGTTCTGGTGGAGGCTGGAGGCCTTCAGGGGCGTGCTGCAGCCCTGGGCCTGTGGGAAGCGCTGGTGGTACCGGTCCAGACGCAGGTATTTAACCGTCACCAGCTTACCTGTGGAGCAAAAGCAGAACTCTTGAGAAAACTGAGCTGCCTCACAAAGATCAAATATCTCAACCAGAACACGTTCTGCCAAAACAGTTTCACTCTGCAGGAAATAAAAAGCAACTAAAATAAATAATTAAATCTAAATAAAGTCTAATGTGACACCAAGATGGAGAAATATATTCAAATGTTAAAACCAGAAAAACCAGCTACATATTCACACAGGTGTGCTTATAGATGTGGGAGGGGCTTAATCCCTGCTGATTGTTTTTATTTTCATAGTTATACTTTGAATCAATCTCACAGGAACGGTTTTAAACCAGACCGGAGCTAAAGAACAGAGCCTGAAGAGTTTCCAACAAGTCACCAAGCATCCTGACCAGAGACCTCCGGGCCTAGGTTTGAGGTTTGCTCATAGCTTCCGTTTCAACATCCTACAGTAAACCTTTCCAGAGAGGATGAGTGTTATGATCCTCTGTCTGATCCCTGATTAGTGAGCAGGTTTGATCAGGTTCAACCTAAAAAAACTACAGGAACTCAGGTGGCAGAAGAGGGCGGGAGTCTGGGTGTGTTGATCCCCAGAGATATAAAGTGGCTTTAAGTGAGCAGATCACCAGTCTCTTACTGGTGATCTGCTGGTCCTTGGGTATAGATTTATCAGCCTGTGCATCAAATATTATGTGGTGGCAGCATTTTAACACACCAGCCCAGAAACGAGCTGAAAGGATCAATGAGGCCAGTGAGACTAGAGAACCCCCCCCCCCCCCCCCCCCCCCCAAATCCTCTTAAGTCAGATTGATAACCCTACATGTGATATCTAAATAGAACATCAGACGCGTTTGGTTTACCATCAAACCAGGAGCCGTGGAGAGCTTTGAAGGCTTTCCCTGAGTGTTCTGGAGATAGACACTTCATATACACACACCCCTGTGGAGACAAGAGCATCGCATTACTATATGTGGAGCCAAACGGGTGTCTTCAGGACATTTCAGGTGGACCACATGAGCCTGTATAAGAAATGTTGGGAGACGTAGGGCCCATCGGACCTCTTTAGGACATTAGGAATGACTGTGTCTCACTCATACCTCACGTGAGTTCTTGTCAACAGCAACATGAACAATACCATCGTTGTCACTGCACTTCTCCAGGATGGCTTCTTGAATGGCTAAATCCCAGTGATCTCCAACCTCGCTGAACACAGTAAAATGAAATAATTATGAATTAAAACCACGTGTGAGAATCCAAAGTCAAAACAAGAACAAAGTGAAGGTGGAAATGAACTCACATGACCGGGTCAAACATATTCCTTATCTTCAGACATGGAGTGAGGCTGTTGGGAGGGGAATTCCTCCGGTCCAAAGGGAAAGCTGGAAACAAGGAAGAGCTTTAACAACACACAACGATCTTCCGATTATCTCAGCTGCTCATGTTGCCCTGAGCTGAGGCTCTCGGGTCTGCTGCATCGAGCAGACTATGGCATCAGTAACAAACATGGTTCCTGCAGGAAACAACCAAAGAACAAGAACCAGAACCAACCCAAAGTGCTGCTCACCCCCAAACACATGACAACATAGAGATGTAACCAAAGGAACCACCATTAGGATTTGAATGAGTCACCTTTTCCCTGCCATCCTTTGGATTTGTCACAACTGAGAGAAGGCTGGATCCACCTCCACACCAGGAAATCTGCTCCATCAATCCTCTGATTCTCCGTTCGAATCCTCGACTCATTGGCTGAAAGAAATCTCACGGCCCGCTCCCAGACCTTCTTCATCCTCTTCCTGTAAAGCAAACACATTCCTGACACATCCTCCAAAAGGTCAACGCACCGTTTCTGCTGCTCAGCAGGACCTAAATGTTCTGTAGTTATTCAGTTTTTTCCCCCGTCATTCAGGGGTCCGCTCCAGCAGAAAGTTCTTGAACGTGGTCCCGTTGGGTCATACAAAAAGTGAAACAGGAAACTTGTCTAAGCGCTTCATGTTCAGGTCGCCTGGTTGAACAGGAGCTGGTTCTACTGGTCCTCCTCTCCTCCCTTCTGTTGGGCCTGGTCTGAACCAAAAGACCCAAAGCCTTTTCACACAAGAGTTCTGAGATATGACTGAAATGGGTCCTGCTCCTCTTGGAGCGGTAGGACTGGATTGGGCCACAGAACCAGTCCCTAGTTTCTAAAATGGTTTTAATGTTCAGAACTCAGCAAGATGTTCAGAAAGTTAATAAAAAAAGATGATCTCTCTTACATCTGATTAAATGAGGTGTATTGTGAACGGGTTTGAACTTTAACAGGTGGGTCCAACAAAACCAGAGTCTAGGAAACCCTGACCAGGACCAGATCTACTGGACCACCTGGTTCTGAGGGTTTAAAATAATTATTTTTATCATTATTAATAATAAAAACGGAACCAGGTAGATGAGCTCAGTCTGCTGAGTGAGAACAAACATGACGACACAGGGGACACAAGGAGGTACGGCTGGTACTCACCGGTCCTGAGGAAGAACCAGGGAGTCCCTGACATGTGGGATGGGAAGGTACGGCTGCAGCTCCTGGTTCTCCTGACAGGACTCACCACGAGTCCTCAAAACATCTGAACAAAAACAGCAGAATTAGGAGATTTAAGGGTCTTTATCAAATTTTATCCTGAAACATCAGCATGAGACGTGTCCTCACCAATGATCCGCTCTACCAGGTCATACATCTGCCTCGTTTCCTCCTCCTGCCTTCTCCACCGATACTTCACCAGGGCTACCACACTCAACACACAGCCTGCCACTACACACACACAGAGAGAATAATGAAAAAGATCAATTATGTACAGGAACAAAACCACACACTGAGGACTAATGCTAATGCTAACACAATGAGGGGAAAAAAACGCTCCCATATATATATATAAAAAAAAAAGACAGACAACTTAGCTTCAGGCTAACACCACCCTGAGCTAACGGTGGTGTTAGCTGGGGGGCATAATTAGCTTTTGGGCTAACACCTGTGAACTCCTCAGACCTCCTGCTGTGACACTGTCCACTCACCAACAACCAACAGGAGGAGTTTTACGGTCACCGTCAGCAGAGCTCGATGAAAGCGGCACATGAATGGCATCATGGGATGTGTGGACTCTAACCAGGAGATCTCAGACACGTCAGTCACTGGTTCATCAGCCACATCCCCGCTCAGCCTGGGCACACACAGGGTTAGACAGGGAACCACAATCAGGTGAAAAGTTACTTATTTAGATTAAAATAACTATTGATCTAATTCTCTCATGCATGCTTACATGCACGTTCACACCACGCAAACCCTTGAGAGAGCAAAGTGAATCAAGTGCTGAATGCTTAGCGTGTATTGTCTGCGTTGTTTTATATGACTACTGGATTATTTTGCTGGTTTTGTTAGAGGAACTGGTTCTGTTTGAAGCAGCCGATAAAGACTCAGACTGGTATCACGACTTACCTTATACCAACATCCTGACCCGCCTTGATGATCCACTCCAGAGAGCTGTAAATCATACCTTCAAAGTCCCGATTCTGGGCCTGAAAAACACACACGGTAAACGGAAAAGTGGTCAGAACCCAGACAGACTCGTTCTCCTTCACAGGGTCAGAAGAGCTTCAGTATTTAATGAAATATTTCTACTCTGGTCCAAAAAAAAAACAACCAAAGCACAAAGGTCCACCTGGTTCAGATAATTCTTTGTTCTTTAGTCTCCAACATAATCAGAACCTTAAAATGAAGAAAGTTCTAAAGAATCTTCAGATAAATAAACCTGCGTGTTCTTCTGAACTGCCCGACCCAGATATATGGAATACCTCAGAGACCTGATCAAACTCAGGTCCAATAGCTGATCAACGTACCAATAAAAACTCTGAGGCCTCTGCTAGGGTCAGGTTCCTCCTGGGATACCGCTGGTCTCCACAGTCATGGTGGCCTGTGAGGACAATCAAAAACCCAACGATGACCCGGTTTAGATCCGACACACTTGTGTTCACTAATGTTGGTGTTTATGGAACCCGTCAGCTCTTCATAGTGTTAAGGCGTGAAGTTAAACCAACATAGGGAATAACATGTAAATTACCTAAGCTTAACAGTTCTCTCCTGCTGGTTTATCCACTACAGTACTACAGATCTACGGGCTGCAAGGTGGCACAGCTGGTAGCATTGCTGACTGAAAGCAAAAAGGCTGCAGGTTAAAAACCTTGAAAAAGTGTTCATGTTCTCCTTAAGCATGCGTGGAGTTTCCCAGGTTGTTTTTGAGAAAAGCTTTTGCTAAACGAATAAATATTTATTGACACAGGTCCTGAGTGAAACCTGGCCCAATCTAGTATTTCTCTCTTTTAATGGCGCTTACACATTAGGGTCAGTACGGCCGAGTACCGGACCAGAATTTGGTTTTACACCAGGGTCAAAAATGCATTTTCCATTCTGAGGTGACTTTTTTCCAGACTTCTTCATCAGAGGTCCGACTGGGACTAAGGTGACACTACGGATTGATTGGCCGGCTATAATTCACTCCTACCACCTCTGATTGGCAAGTAGAATCAGCCAGCAGGGGGTTCCCGCATGCGTGATACATTTTCATCCAGGATACTGTCGAGCTGAGATCGGTCTGTAGCACAGAGCTCCCGCCCAGTGGTACAGGGAAAAAGAAGAGCTGCATATGTCCTCTGAGCAGCGAACATCTCTGCACACGGAGATCTCGCCACAGCTGCTCAATGGGAGGAGAGAGCAGCGAGTGTGTGTGTGTGTAAGAACGTGTGTGTGTGTAAGAACGGAGTCAGAGGACATGCACAGCAGTAAGTACTGGGAGCAAATTAATAAAATAATGTGGTTCAGAATCTCCAAAAGCAGCACAGCTCATGACCGCCTTTGTTTACCTTATTATGGTGGACACCATGGATTTTCCCGCGCACCCTAAACGCCACCTTGGGGCTCGGGAACTTCCGCATTTCTTAGAAAGCCTTTGGATTACACGGGAACACTACAATGTCCGTATGAGACCGAAATTATGCTATCCTCCCCCAACCGTACCGACTCTAATTTTTAAGTGCCTATAGTGTCTTAATGTGATGTGTGTGCGTATGTGTGTGTGTGTGTGAATAACAGCTACCAGCAACAACAGCCAGGTGGTCATGAAGCCTGAGCAGCAGGTTAAGGACAACATCTTTCTCTGCATCATCCTGGAAGCAGAAACACCTGGTTAGCATTCAGCTAACAGAGTAGCATCCTTATCAGAACCTCCAGTTCACAGATTACAGATGCAGCTCAATTAGTTTATTGCATCATAAAAATAAATAATGGCTCTAATGACAAGGTTTATAAAACAACTATTAGGTTTTCAGAAGATGGATGGGGTCTAGGACAAATACTTACATATGAAGAGTCAAAGTCACTGCCAAATGGGTGGCTCTTCACTACAATGAAAAAAAAAGAAGAAGAGAGATGGATTAAAGATGTAAACATCGGTCCACCTCCATAGAAACAAATAACTAACAAGTTAATGATACAAAACAAACTAAAAAAGTGGATGTGTTGTTTTAATGAAAAAGTTATCATTTAATAACGTATAAAATAGACAGATTCCGACCAATCAGAATAAAAGCTCTGATAATAAGACATTCTGAAGAAGCTCTGATGGGTTTCACTCACTCCAGCTTCCCCCTGGCTGCAAGACGTGTTACAAATCTGCGTGATTAATTTAATTTGCATTTAAATGTAGATTTCAATGCCTGACAACAATTCAACATAAAAACTCTTATTAAAATGATGTCATCACATTCCATTTTACAGGCGTGCTTTTATTTTGTGTTTCCTCCTAAATGAAGAGCACTTCCTCCCCTTCAGATGACTGAAATTCACGTGCATCTTTTGGGGTTTTAAAAGGTGAGAGCAACAACGAAGACACACCAGCAGATGCATGTCTGGGCTTCTGTAGCAGCTTTCCTCTGGTTTATAGCATAAAACAGAGAATCGGTTATATCGGTCTTAAAACAAAATCTCTGGATAGAGCTGCACAACTGGGACATCCCTCCTGAATAATGCAATGCAAATATAAAATCATTAAATTGTGAAGCACAACCTCTGGACACTTTTGGATTAATCAGCAAACTTTGAAGACAATCATTAATTCTGGGCTCGATCAGCTGTGTGAAAAAGGATCTCTATTCTGTCAAAAAAGTTTCACCAATAAATAACTCAAGATATAAACAGTACCAGAATCCATATTTTAAAATAACCAATATCATCACACAGCTCAAGGGCTTGGATCACTTAGCTGATTGAGAACTGTTGCAAAACAAAGCCCCCTAATTACCTAAACCAGATGGTAAATTGCCTGTATTTGATATAGTAACTTCTAGAGACCTAGAACCCCCAAGGCACATTCATGCACATACATTCGTTCCCTGGTGGTGATGAGTGGCACAGATAGAGGCAAGGCTGCCCAAGGACAGCAGAATTCTCTGTCAGGAGCCAGGATCGAACCTGCAACCTTCCGATTACTGGACAACCCGCTCAACCTGTTGAGCTACTGCTGCCCCCTACCAATGACTGCAAAAAAAAAACCTGAAGCCCATTTCAAACAGCCTGTGGTCCCACAAACAAAACGATGGTTCCTGTAAACAGAATCTTGCTGGTTTAGGGCAACTGGACGTCTTTGTTCTCTTGAAGATGTTGTGCTTCTCATCCAAGAAGCTTTGTCGATTTTCACTGGAATAAAAAGTGAAGCTAGCTGTTGGTACTCGACAAGCTGAACTAACATGTGAAACACCCTCCTCTCTACCCCTTGAGAAAGATTTGATGTTGTTAGGACTGTATTGGACCTGTCCACTTGCCAGGTGTTTTGGTCAAATGAAGGAAGGGTCAGACTGTTAAACACCAGCAGCTCGCCACAGTTTATAAGCGTGAAAATCTGTTTATTCCTGTTAGAACTGACAAAGCTCATTAGATGAGAAGTGAAACATCTTCAAGACACCAAGTCCAGTTGCCTTCATTTGTATCTATGACCTGGATGTCAGAGTCCTCACCAGCAGATCTCACAGATCATTATTGACCCTAATGGACAGAAGATTAACAAAGTTTTTCTAATGATGATCTGGGGGTGATTTACAATCATCTAAACATTAGAAACACCAGATCTGGTACAGTCTGGCCACCCATAAAGCTAGACTGAGTCAACTGGGATAGACTTCTGCTGTAGATCACACCAGAGCCTACCTTCAATAGTTAGGACCAAACGTTCCGCCTCAAAAAGTGGACTGAATCAGCCCGTCTTGTTGGACACTCACCAACACCATCCCTTGGGGGGGACCCCGAACCGCCCATCCGGATGTACATGAGACCCAGCAGCAGGAAGAAGAGGCAGGCCGCCGTGAGAAGGATCATGGACAGGTAGTGGGCGCTGAAGGTCCCGGAGGACACTGGTTCTTCTCTCCTGAACTGAAGAAGCAGTTCGTCCTCTGGTACAGATAGCTTCTTCTTCGGAACCGCCTGGCTGCAGGAGTGGTTCTGAATGGAGTTGTGGTTAGAATGGTTCCCCCTGTGGGTCCGGGTCTGGGTCTGGCTGCTGAAGAAGCGCGGTCTCAGGCCTACTGCGTTACTTCTGGCTTCTCCGTCCTCGCTGTGAACGTGATTGTTCTTGTTGGTGTTTCCTTTGTGGTCCTCGTCCAGGAACACGCATCTCCTCTTCCTGTGGCTCCGTGGACCTCCTAATGGGTTCAAATAACCCTCAGTCTCTTCTGCGCCTTCCATTTCTGGATTCCCTGGTAGATCAGGAGTAGAGTTCTTTCCTCCGACCTGAGACGCCCTATGGAAGGAAAATGGCACGGTTGTGTGGCTCTGTCGAAGTTCCAGGCTGCTCTGGCCCCGGTCTCGGACTCCAGGGCTCCCAATCTCCTCCTCGTCGGAGTCCGAGTACTCTCCAGCTAGATTACTGGGCCGGGATACCCCGCGACCATTAACGGGATGAGAACTCTGAAGTTCTTCATCTAGATCCTCGTCTCTCAGTTCATGGAAATGCCTGGATCCCTTACCGAGATCTCGGTCCAACGGGGCGCCCCTCTGTCTGTCTGGTAGCTGGGATGAGGACTCGGTAGTCCCACCGTCATGTTGCCGCTGAATGGTCTCGGTTCGCGGTGAAACTAGTTTGATTTTGGGCTGTAGACTGGTTGCGACCCGATTTCCCCTCCGGCTGTGATCCAGGGCCTTCCGTCTCAGAGGAGTTTCAGCGTCAGACTCGTCTGAGCTGAAGCCGAGGACTGAAGACTTTGGGCCCGGTCTCGACTGCGTGACGTCATGTCTAGCTGGCCTAGATGCCGCCGAGCTGCTGATACTGGTTCCGCTGCCACGGACTTTACCCGACCTGGAGCCACGCTGTTGCTGCTCTTCGCGAAGCTTCTTCAGTTTCTTCAGGTACACCGGACGCGTGTTCTCCGTGACCGGACCGGGGGTGAAACCAAAACACTTCAATTGAGAAAAAAGCTCTTCATCCGTTAACTGCGTGGTCGCCATCTTGGGGAAAAAATGTCGTCAATAGAAGGTGGTGGTTCTTCTTCTGCTACTTCTTCTCATTCGGTGGTGTTTACTGTTGGTTGGCAGCTAGCTTACATGTGCGTTATTGCCACCTGCTGGTGTGGCTTGGTACCTCCCCAAATAACGAATCTGTCCACCAGATGTGGAACCTTTGTCTATAAATACTGTATAACTTGGTATGCTGCTCAGTAAGCAGGTTTAACAAAGTCATGAAAGCTATTCTTCTGGCAATGAGTCACTTGTATAAAGGAGTTTTAATTTATTCTCATTATTAGCTACAGAAAACCCTTTAATAAGGAAGGATGTCAATTTGTGGACATGAATTCTAAAAATAAATGTTTAAGAACATGCCTTACTAAACATAACTTCCCATCTCAACTGAAAAGAAAAAAAACGTTTGCCAAGTCAAACTCCCTAACTCATCTTTCTTTTCCAGTCCCAATAAAGTTAAAGAAATACATTTTTAGACCTATTAAATGTCGTTTACTAATCTCAAGATTGTCTACATACCAGAGTTAACATCAGCATAAATACATGCACATTATGTGATTCGGAAATCAATTTTAACACTTTTTAACTTTTGCAAAATGAGATTTTTTAAAATCAATTTCCTGCTAAAAGGCAAACTGTTCCAAATTTAACCAGTCAGAAAAAAATATTTTTTGCACTTGAAAAATTATTGGGAGTAAACACTTTGACTATATTGACAAAATATTTATTTCAATAATTTAATTTCCTAATTATTTCCCAATTTATTCAAACTTTTAATGATTCAGTGACAGTCTTTTATGAAACTCCAAAAAACAATGTTGACACAGCTTAGCTCATGCATTACTGGAATATGAGTTAATGTTGCACATGGACAAACAATTCAAAATCAGAAAATGTGCATATTTAGTTTATTATGATTGCTCAGTCCCTTTCTGTGTAAGAAAACTGGGACAGTTTTAATTGTAGTTTTTTTGAATTTTCAGTAAAAATGAAAAAATTATCTGTGTTGCTGCTTCTACGCTAGGTTGTGTCTGTCAGCATTAGTGAACACAGGACTATCTCCACTCTAACATTTGTTATGATGAATTATTTCTACATGTGCATCATCTGATGAAAACAGAATCATCTAACAGACAGCTTAGAGTAATAGGATTTTATTCATGTTCTGACTGTAAAACCATCAGCTACACGAGGAACATGTCAGGACACATGAAGACAGTCACACACTACTAAAATGTAATGCTGCTACAGAGCAGTTATTAGATTTCTGGTAGAGAGGCTCTGAGGTTGAGGAGAATAAGCACGTCACATGGTGACAAACAGTAAACTCCCAACTCATTCAGGGTGGACTCTGGTGGAGAATCCTTAGGACCTTCCCAGTCTTTGTTATCCTGGTCTGACTGTTTCAGGACAGACTTCAATAGAACTGCAGAACCCACGCTTAGACACAAGATGATGCAAGCCTCCTTCACACTGCAGACACACAGAGCAGAGGTACAAATCAGAAATAAAGGTCACCTTTTGATTACATCCTTCATGATAGCAAGGGTGACGTTTTTAAAATGATACTACATGTTATAGAGGATGATGCTGAAGGAGGTTGTGGTGGACCATCAGGTGGACACCGTTTCTACCTTTTGGTGAAACCTTTGTTAGATTTTCTGAAATGGGTCAAGTAAGAAGTTCATTCAGTTTATTCACCACCGATACAAGAAAATGATTCTTTAAAATTAGGGCTGCACGATATTAGAAAAGCCTGCGATATGCGATAATATTGATTAATATTGCGATGACGATATTATTAGTGATAAATAAAAACTTAATTCAGGAACAAAAATAATAAAAAACAAAGAAATAAAAAATAAGGATTAAATAAATCATAAAAATAAGAAAAGCAAAAGATGTGAGGAAATGGAAAAAGAAAATGAACAAGAAAAGGTAATCAGTGGATCCCGGAAAAAGCAGAATCAGCAGAAAGACCAGAACAAAGCTAACTCAGGTGTTTGCTAACCATCAAAATTAAGTGTCGGGGCGGGCATCTAACCTATGAGAACCCACCTAATTGGCCAAATGGGTAAAGAGCTCATTTTGATTTGTTAAAAAAAACATCATGCTTACGTCTGATTGACAGAATGCATTATGTGTAGCAAACATTTGAGCTGACCATTCATTGCGATATGCATATTGTACATGCTGATATCGTGATAACGATATATTTGTGATATATCGTGCAACCCTATTTAAAATGGAACTGTTCAGTGTTTTTCCATCCGTAAAACGTACAGAGAGCTGTTTGGCCTTAAGGATTAACGTCTCCTGTTCCAGCGTGTGAAACTGGATGAGTCAGACCATGTTTAGGTTTTGTCACAGACAAATGGGCTTCAGCCCGGACCTCCACTAGCTTCAGTCTGAATGTCTCCAGGCTACAGCTTGGACCCGATTCAGAGACATTACAGGTGTTTCTGCAAAAGGCCACCTGAACAGGTTTTACATCATCAACCTGCTGTTGAACACTTACTGTTTAAAGAAGTTCTCTGGTCTTCTGCAGTGGTGACCAAACAGAGGAAACAAGTTTCTGCTCATGTCAAACTGAAGCTGAGCTGCTCCACCGTCACTGAAGTGGTTCGACAAGATCACCTGACAGAAACACAAATATACGACAGGTCAGATGTTTGGAAGCAAATCCTTCAACAGAAGATGCCGAGGAGCTACAATGATGGTGTTGGATGGTGTTTGTTTGGGAAGTTGGAACGTCCGTTCTGAACCTACCCCTTTTTTCAGAAACCTGGGTCAACCCCCAGAAAGCCTCTCATGTAGGATGATCAGTCTAAAGACACTCTAGTGCTAGAACCGCAGTTGGTGCTTGATCCAGTTCTACAAAAACTGGGTCTCCACAACCAGAGCGCCAACTCAGAGGCCCGGCATCAGATCACACAAAACACGTCTCAGTAAACGTTTGATCCTCCCTTCGTTCTTTTGGTCTCATGATTACAGGTGAGGGTTTGAATGTCCACAGGTCAGTTAATGAAGAGCTTCGCCTTTTCACTCAGGTTTTTCTTTACCCCGACAAATCAGAGAAGACAAAGCCGCCATCATCCATGACCCTCATACGACACGCTGGGATGCCTGAACTCTTCTCTATAAGGTGGACTTATTGTTATCCCAGAGGAAGCGCTTCACCCTTTTTGGGTGGAGAACCACCCCCGTGCATGCAGAAGTAGATCATCTGAAAAGATGATGACACAGATGAGACCATGAGGTTTCCAGCCAAAACCAACCCCTCCCAGACATCCAGCTCATCCACCCACACATCTAGTCTCTCAGCTAGCTGAGTGCTAATCTGGACTTCATTCTGTTGAAGATGACCCAGTAACCTCTTTTAACGGCCTTCCTTGGACACCAGAGGGGAATTCAAAGCACAGGAATAATTATCTGATCTAAGCTGATCAAAATTTGCTGCTTCTGGATCAAATGAGACTCTCAAATGTTTCGCCTGTGTAGCGTAATGGAATGACCTGTTTTCTGACCTAAAGGTCATGCCTGCACTCTGCTCAAGCTGGGGAGACAGTCTCCCTCAACAACCTAATCTCTCAAGGTCTCATGCCTCTGCATCTAAACGGTCACTTCCTTTCCAGCTCAAGACCAAGACAGAAGACTCTACTCTTCTTCTTTTTAATAAATAATTAAATAACGTCTGTTAGTCCCAATAATGATGTGAGCCCAACGTAAATCAATCTGTGAAATGACGATGTTAATTACTTGATTACTTATAATACTGTAATCAGTAGTATTTGTATAAGAATTAACTTGGTACAGATGCACTAGACACTCCTCCTATGACACAAGTAATGTTAAAATCACATGACACATTCCTTTTGTCTGTCCAATCAGAGCTTTCCTTTCTGACACGTGGCGTGGTCTGTGCGGTGTTTATACAAACCCCTTTTTGGATGTCAAATTCTGATTAAAGCATAAATCAAAACATCTGAATTATAAAACTAACTCCCACGTCGCCCTTAACTCAGTTCAAACGTTCTAGAGTTGAGAGCCGGCCACTCGTAACTTTTTAACCACAAAGAACCTTGACAAGCTGGATAATAAAACCAGTTGCAAGCTCCACCTGAATGCAACGCTCCTTCAGAGTAAAAGCTGAACTCACTGACCCTTCAGGGTCCCGCTGTCCAATAACAGTTGTTTACCTGGAGGCATTCCAAGACTAGTCTGTCGTACCGTACACTGTTTAATCGGCTCTGGTACCAAAGGGGGGTCCGAGGACCTGGCATTCTGGATCGAACGCGGAGGTCTCTGCAAGGGTATGTAGAGCGGCAATATGGCGTCTGAATGTGGTTTTGAAACTCCAACTATAGTTTAGAGCAAAACATTTGCTCCCGTACAGAACTAACGCTTCTCCGGAAACGAGAGTTCTGATAACAACATTCCACATTACACCATCCACGTTGCCTGATTCACACCTAGATCCATTCATCACACAGAGTGTTTAGAGTTAGCCTTGTTTTGAATTGTTTAGAAATAAATCTTAAACCTTAAAACTCGTCTCTCTCTCTCTCGTCTCAGGGTTAATACAAAGTGTTATCTAATCCCTGCAATAAAAAGTTCCGATCTTCTAGTTAAAGTAATATTCCAAGATCCATCAGATTGATATTTCATATTCCTATGGAATCTCACATTTTATGGTTCATTACATAAGAAGTAACTAATGAATCATTACACCTGGTTGTTTGATCTGAACTCCGAAATCACTGCTGAGCCCCGACACCAGCCCTGGCCCCTACAAGCTGCACCAGGGTGCACTTCTATCTGGTCTTGTTCTAGACTCAAACCTAAAACCTCAGCAGGGTTTCACATCTTACATCTCGGTACAGAAACTTGTCCAGTCGATCTGCCAGACCCTGCCAAGCAAGCTGGAAAAGAGGACAACTCAAGGACTGATGGAGGCCCGACAATCTGTCCCTCACACACAGCATCATGGGACATGCTGAGCTGGACAGAGACATGGTGGACTGGTCCTGCTGAGATGGAACAGAAAGCCACCTAAAGTAAGGACAGAGGAAAGAAGGCAATTATTTACTTTCTCACCATCTTCTTTCTTTATCTCAGAAGCACCTGTTCCATGAAACTTCATGTTTAAAGTTGATTTATTGAGCCATTGTCTGTCTTCTGGAGAATTCCTCTAATACAAGTCAAGACACTTGATTAATCAGTCGCTAATATTTATTTGTATATTTGGGTGGAAGTCTAGTGAAAATTAAAGAAAACTCTTAAAATTGTAAGAATGAACAGACGTTTCATGTTTGATAAGTAACAAAGTTCCTTGATTTGTGTTTTTTTACTGAGGAGATGAATAAAGTTGGACCACAGGCCCCGTTTAATGCCCACAGGATTTATTTCACACAAAAACTCCATTTAACCAGCAGACGTCTCACCTCTCCTGACAGTAGGGTCTGGCCTTTTCTACAATGTCTCTCATAAGGAAATCCAGCAGTCTTCCCAACATCTCTCCCTTTAATCGATCCAGCAGAGACAGCAAACCATCAAAGAGCGATCCCTCCAGAGAAGCCAGGCGACCCATCTCCATAATTCCAAGCCCCCCCAGAACCTCCTGCTCACCAAGAGAAACGACGGCCTGCTGCAGCTGTAAGAAAAACTGAAAATAAAAATTAAAAAGTGAACACAAACTGAAAATCTGATGCATTCAACATTATTAGTTTACTTCCTCAAAGGTAAATGGTGATACAGAAACATTAGCACTGAAAAGTCTACATTTACTCTTTCACAGGAATGTGGACCCGAGTCACGTGGGGAGGATGACTTCAGACCTGATTGATGAAATCAGACTGGACTTTAACACAGTAACTTGTGGCTTCACTTAGACTTGAACTGTTTAACATGAAAATACATGAAATATGAAATCTTCCACAAGACAAAGTGTCACTAATTCGTGTGCACCATTTGTAGGAACTAGAAGTGAGCCTCACCAGAGTTGAGCTTCAGACGACAGGATTTGGAGTCTTATTTCCTGATATTTGGACATCTTAGCTCTGATTGGCTAACAACAACGTGACTCTACCACCGACTCCGTTTGCTCTGCCATGATGATGTTTTATCTCCACAAATAACACAAGCTCGGAGGAGCTTCTGCTGTGTGGTGGAGTTGCTAATGCTAACAGTTAACTTCTACTAGTCGAGACGTCCTCTGCTGTTTCCTGGACGCTAAAACAACAACAGCCTTCCCCGCCGTGAGTCAAGATGGGTGAGTCCGTGAATTCTAAGCGATAGTGGGACGTAGATTTGTCAGGATTTTCAAATCGTAGAGTTTCACAGTTTCATCAGAAGCTAATGCAGGACATTGGTAGAAACTTTATCACCTTCAGGTTAGATGGCACTCTGTAGCCCTCTGATGACCAGAAACCACATTTAACAGTTTTGAGGTATGAGTAGGTTCACCAGGTGGAGCTCTCTACCTGCTTTACAGCTGTTAGCTGTTTACTCTGCCTAATAAAAAGCATGATTCAAACAGCATAAAGTTAAATCAAACAGTAGAGCCCAAAGGATAACAAAAAAGTGTCAGTCAGGTAACAACATCACCATGGAAACCTGCTCTCACAGCTGATGGGCTTTAACAGCTCAGTCTGCTCTAGTTATTGACAGATTCAGGTAAAAACTTCCAGAAGTCTGACTGACAAGTAAAATAATCTCTCCTAATTAAACAAGTGCTTGAGCGATGGACCTTTTCCGCGTTCTGCTTCTGAGGCAAAGCTAAAGGACAACTCACCACGTTGTCTCCCCAGTCTCTCAGGATGGTGGAGATGTAGTTAACAGCATTAAGGATGGCACAATAGCGGGCACCCAGAGGGAAGCGAGACTCTTCTTTCATCACCTAAAATGAGGGGGAAAAAGAATTGGACTACGATTGCACAGTTTCAGAACATAAACATACAGCCGCAACATTAGATAAAAATTATATCTGCAGCGATAAACCCAGATTCTACTTATTCCTCTCTTTGTGTTCCATCGTCATCATCACAGCACTATTAGTGTTTTTGTTTTAGCTTCTATCATCTTAACCAGGCGAAGAGGTCTGAGAGTCCTTCAGGTCCATATGCAGAAGCAGGCCAGCCACAACATAACAGTGAGTCAGCAGTTCTTTGAGATCCTTACGCAGTTATGTAGCACTCGTTTGTTTGTTTGTTCTCGTTTGTCACAACTGATTTATATTCAAAATATGATTAAAAATTACACCAATATTGTCAGAATGAAGCAGGAATGAACCAAAGGGTTTTGAACATATCACAGTGGTGTCAGACCAACAACCTGAGGATGTAAGGTGGTGGACTACGGGAAGCAGGAAGGTGGCTCCTCCCCACTGAGGATCAATGGTCTCCTCCTTCAAACACCTCTAAACTCATTAGATGACCTCACACAAACCCTTCATCCTCAACTTACAGTTAGAAAAGCCAGAGAAAGTATTTCCTTTGGCTGCTGCTTCCTGCTGCACTTTTTTATCACACTCTAACCTGAGCGTCGTGATTACCTGTGTCAGTCGAATTCTGAAGTCATCAACCAGCTCCTTCTGCAGCTCCAGGAACTTCAGCTGTGCTGCAGGGCTGGGCAAAGCCTGGTACCGCTCTGGGTTTGACACCAGACAGAAACAAGTAAACATCAGCGTTACTTATCACAATGACCTAGGAAACGTAGTAAATAGCCTAAAATGATCAAATTAGCCCAGATTGGTAGTCTAGATTTTTACCAGGATCATCATATACCTGACTCACATAAGTAAAAGTAGACCATCAAGCAGTGTTTTCAAGTCAAGTGTGCATAATAATCCATATTGTATGAAAAAGAAATCTATCACACACACACACACACACACACACACACACACACACACACACACACACACACACACACACACACACACACACACACACACACACACACACACACACACACACACACACACACACACACACACACACACACACACACACACACACACACACACACTTTAGGTGGTAGTGAATTATCTCCCAGCTGAAAACCAGCAGTGCAGTAGCAAACAGCTGGTTAGACTGTAGCAATGAGAGCTGTAGGAACATCAGAGTTAGGCATGGCAGCAGAAAAATAAAGTGACTCCGGCTGACATAAGTGCAGTCATTTAGCAATGAAGAGACCCTCCCAACAACCAAACCCCCCCCCCCCACACACACACACACACACACACGTGTTCCATATGCATTTGTGAGCGAATTTAACTTTTATTCTTTTATGTTTTTTATTGAACAGCTTTGCTTTGAAAACATTAGTCCCAACTTACCTGTGATGACCTGCAGTAAAGTCATGAATGTCTCTGCACATTCTGGAGCGTTCAGTTCATCCATGTCACTGATATCTTTATACTGAGACGTCCACGCTCCCTCAGCAGACAACATGGCATCCATCTTCTCCACTGCCACTGCAAATAAAAACAGACCAGTACACATGCAGTTGGACCGTTTCATCCTCACCAATATCGATATCCGATATTATTACTGCTGTTACGCCTGATGATATTTGTCGATGTTTTGTATAAATTTCCCTACATTTCTTATTCCACGTAAAATCGACCATCGGCACGGCTTCTCAGCTTCAGTTAACCCCCCCACACACATACCTGCGTGGCATCACACGCCCAATCAAAGCCAAAAGATGCTAACACATGAGAACTCACTCTTCTTTTCCATGGAAAGCCACTTCTGAAGGACCGCATCCTCAAGCAGAATGTGAAAAAGACCCGGCAGCACTGCTGGATATGAATAATTACTCCGTAGCTCCTTCTCAAACTGCAGCACCTCCTCCACCAGGTGACAGAAGAGAACATCATCGTAAAGCATCCGAGAAGCATCACTGGCTACCTTCTCCTGGACTAAAGACATCAACCCACGACACAGCTCCACCTAGACACAGGAATAATTGGAGATAGCAGGCAGTCAGCAAACTACAAACATTCACATTTAAATATCATACCACTTATTTATAAAGCACATTTCAAACACAGCATGTCAGCTGACCAAAGTGCTGTACAAGGATAAAAACACTGAGGGTCAAACACAGCAAGAACAACAATAAAACAGTAAAACATCAGCAATAAGAGAAAGTCATATCATCAAAATAAGTCTTTAAAACCGATTTTAAATGAAAGAGGGAGGGAGCCTGCCTGATTGGGAGTGCATTCAATAAATTAGGGGCAGCAAACACCAAATCCCGCTCAACCCGCCATTTATATCTCATAGATGGTACACTGAGCAACAGATGGTCAGCTGACCTCAGAGCCCGATATGGCATGTAGGGACTGATCAAGTCAGAGAGATATCCTGGAGCAGAGCCATTCAAAATCTTAAAGACAACGGTCAGGAGCTTGAACTTGACTCGTAGGTTTACAGGTAACCAATGCAGATGTGTCAGAACGGGAGTAATGTGTGAACGCCTGTTAGTGTTTGTCAGGAACCTGGTTGCAGCGTTCTGAACCACCTGGAGTCGATTTAGAGCTGAAGCTGGAACACCAAAGAGGATAGAGTTGGCATAATCTAAACAGGAAGTAATAAAAGCATGAATGACAGATTCTAAGATTCTAATGTGCAAGATGTAGGAAATGAATAAGAATTGCATTCTGTGATCACGTTTGGTTACTGCAGCTCATTTTTCTAAACATAGAGCGACTCTCTCACCCCTGTACCGAGGATATCGAGGCTGTTTCCAGTTACGGCTCAGCACCAGAAATTCTAGATGACGAGCAAGGACGAGCCATACAGAGTAAGTTGGTAAGTATATAAATATATTCCACTGTATTATCGAGTTATTGGTAATTGAAAACATAGCTTGGGATATTTTTTGAGCAGACTATTTGCTTCCAATTCACCATTAGCAATGTTAGCTTAACGTTAGCCTATAAGCCTTCTTCACCTGATATTAGAGTAAAACAAAAATATGCTGTGGCTTCTTGGGAGTACAAGAAATAACTTCTGGGTCACTCCTGTTTACTGGCTCAGAAGGATCTTAAACAAAACACAGCAGCGCCGAATTGGTGCAGACTTGGCAGCCCAGCAAGCTCACAGACTGCCTCACAGAGAGCCACATATTGTGGCTACATCCCTTTGTCCAGTTTGAAAGGAGAAAAACTGACAACCCCCCAGCCAGCTTCAATGTAACCTTCCTTCCAACATGATTGAGACGTTTGGCTGATTTGTGATTATTTTACAGTAAGCGTTATAATCCCCTCAAGACAAATATTAAAAGATTGCAACAGAGCTCACATATTAACTCGACAACTGGCTTCGTCACCCAACAGATTCACAATGAAGGCAAAAGTTAAAGAGGAAAATGACACTTGGACTCATACAGCCAGTTTAATTACACAAATTTGAAGAACTGTTTTTAAACATTAGTGGTTATATTACATTCTGGGTCACAGGTCAGAAATCGGTTTTGTAATGGTATCATCAAATCAGCATCCACGTGTCTGTGACTACTGAGTGAGGAGGGGAGCTGAGCGGTCAGCTGATTACCACCTGGTGGTGAACTGACTCAGGTATGACGACAACACACTAAAACAACAAACCTGTGCACTGATGGCCACACCAGCCTGGTCCAAGGCAGGCTGAATCTTTTCCATCAAGAAGGGTGAGCTGTTTCTCATCCATATCAGAACTTGCGTTAGGTACCACTCTGGCTGTGAAAAAGGACATTTAGATTGATTCATGAAGCTTTGGAAGCAGCACATTTTTCATTACTGTAGCTAGTTTTTATGCTAATGGTGATATTTCTGATCATGCGTTTAATAGATATGTGTTGCTGAAAAGAGGTTAGGCTCGTGTTTACTGGCACCAGGTTGAGGTGAGAGGAATAATGGAATTTATGTAAGTGGTAAATTTTCAGGTTTCAAACTGATTTTATAACCCAAGAACTGACATGATTATATCATTCTGATTAGGAGAAAGGTGGAAATGACACCAGTCATCATTAGAAACAAGGGACTAAATCAGAGCAGGAGAATGCTGCTGAAAAACAACAATTCCACACCTCCATCCCACAGACAATCACCTCTGTAGCTCGGTGGAGCAAATGGGTCTCAACCAAAGCAAGTCTGTGAGACTGATCCTTATTAATTTATCTACCATGGAACTGAAATTACTGGAAATTATTTAGTCTCACAGTTAAATACAATTACTATACAATTAAATACATTCAAGCCTAACTTATAAGGCAAAATATTCAAAAGTAAACAAATGTGGGTGTTACTACCAGCTCTAATATCCCTCTGGGATTAATAAAGTATTGACTGATTGATTGATTAATTTAATACAGCATATTTATGTTAATTGCTACAAGCATTTTAATGATTTTATTTCTTTTCTTTTTTTTTAAACTAACAGATTAATTTTAATACTGCGAGCAGAAAACACCCTGACAAATTTAGAGTTAACACCTGCAGGGGTGTGTTAACTCTACTGTTGACAGACATATGATCAAATTTAAGCAAAAACACTAAATAGTAAAGTAATTTAAAACAAAACATTAAGCAAAATATAATTGTATCTTTTTGACAACAGGACATAAAGAATAAAACACACGGATAATAAATTTGCTGATATTATTATACCTGTTGTCAAAACACACATTTAACGGTCTCATCATCAGGTTTTGCTGTGAACAAAATGCTGCTTCAGCACACTTTGATAAGGTTTCTGTCCACCTGTTTAGGCCAAACAAACAGGAAGAGCTCCAGAACCATCCTGTACGGACCAGTGTTGTATGAGCCAAACCTTGCTTAGGGAGTTAGTCTGTCGATTTCCACAGAAATGGTATCGGAACCTCTTCTTGAGCGGCTGAAGCATGATTTGAATGGGCAGACAAAGGGGAGGAGCTTGAAGTGGAGGTGAAGGCTGACCTTGACCAGAAGCTGAGGCTCTCTGAGATATGAGGTCATCTCTATCATGGAGGTTAAGGAAACAAGCAGTGGAAGCTGACGGACCAGTTCCACAGTAAGGAAGGAAAACTTCAGCGTAGGAAAGACACATGTGTCAAGAAGAGCTTGTCATATTGGTTCAAGTCGAAATGTCTACTGTCGTAAGCTGCAGTACTGATGAGGACATATTCAGAAGGCCAATAATGAATGTGTCAGAACTTAAAATGACAGTGTGTATTTTCCCTGGCGATAGGGGCAGTAAATAACTAAATTGTTGCAAGCAAGCTGTATTTTTGTGTTGGAGTAAGACCTTACCAATGTATGCCCATTAGGGTCAAAAAGCCCTGGGGAGTGCATAATTTAGCAAAATAACAACCACATCAGACTCCCTTTCATCACTGGCAAGAAGTGGAGGTAACTGTGTAAAACAACATTTAAGAATGACCACAGTTTAACCGTTCGTTACAAATCAGTAAATGCATTTTGTCCTCATGGGCTCCCGTAGAAGGAAACATGGCATCTAATGCATTGTTCAGGTGTATTATTACCCGCTTCCATGTATTTTAGACCTGATTTTTACGGTTATATGTTTCAAAGCCGCTAATATTTTTCAACAAATGGGTATAATTTAATTCATTTTCAACAACATTTTGATAGATATTTCCAGAAATGAATGGTAAAAACTACACATAGTCTCTTTAAAGGGGAACTATGCAGTTTTGGCTTGCCTTTTAGCACCCTCTAGGGTTCGTGTGTAGAACCAAAAACTAAGTTTATCTCCTCGTTGTGCGTTCATCTTTTTAACGCCTTAATCTAACAGCTGAAATGTCTCCCAGCCTTAATTAGTGTCTGCAGGAGTGATTTGTCACTAATTAAAACAAATCAGATGTGTTCATGATCTAAAACATGCAGGAAATGTGCTGGAAGCAGACTACAGCACCAGCTGTGTCAGCTCAATATGTCAGTCCCAACTGAGCGGCCAGACAGTCTGAAGTTGCAAGTGGAATATTCTGGCCACAGGGGTCAATAGGGGCTGAGTGACCTTTCATTAACCCTGTAAAGGGTCATTTTAGCACATATTGACTCAAGAACATTATTTAAAAATTTGGAAATTTTACAAGTATCCCTTTAAGATCAGGAGCAGGCTGATCCAGGATCTGGGTATGAGGTCAAGTCTAGGTCTAATTCAGGTCTGTATCCACTGAAAACCTAATGTGATAGCATAAAGCTAAAGGTCACAGGAAAACCATTGGAGCTGCCATTATTGATACATTTCCGCTTCCGCTTCTGGTCGGCAACAAGATGGCGCCTATGCTTGGCTTAGCCGCAGTCACCGGCCACTTTTTCAAACTTTTCTTCACTAACCTCCTCTTTTTCACCTTGCTCCGGTCTGCGATTCTCTTCAGTAGTGTCCCTGCTACCATCTCCTATGATCGCCAGACTCTTTTGTCCTTCCGTTCGTTCACGATCGCCCAAGATGCATCAAGGACGTACCTCCCTGTTCGTTTATCTGAGTGACGCACTGGCCCGGAGCCAAACGACGGTCCTGAGCTGCGCGCCTCCGGCTATGTTTATCCAGTCCCGGGAAAACGTCGGAGGAAAAGAGGTAAACGGGCAGGAATCCAGGTGAGAATAAGACTTCTTTAAAGCATTGTTTATCTAGTAAACATCGGCGTGATCTTCTAGCTTCTTGTCCTTTGTTTGGTGACCTGTGCGCCACTTCTGCATTCCCGCCAGGCCGTGTTGCGACGTGGTTCATCCGTCCAAGTTTTTTAAGGTCGGTTTATCCTCATTCCTCAGTGGTTTCTCCTCCTGTTCCCTCTACAAGTGGTTTTTATAAACACCGTGGATCTAACCCCAGTAATTTATGTCCACTAACTCCAGCTGTTTCTGTAGTTTCTGATTCCTCCACCTCACTCAGCATGAATCTATTAAACACCTGCTCTGTTAACAATAAGTCCTTCCTGCTCAATGATCTAATTCTCTCTAAAAACCTGGATTTTATGTTTCTGACTGAAGTTTGGCAGCAAACATCTGATTATTCTGGTCTGATTGAACTCTGCCCGAGTGGTTATTCTTTTCTTAGCCAGCCCCGGGGTTCTGGTCGTGGTGGAGGCCTAGCTGTTGTTTTCAGAGACCATCTTCCATGTAGCATTACAACCTCTGGTCACTTTGCTTCCTTTGAACTGCAGCTGATTAAAGTCGGGCGTAAGGACCCGTTCTACTGTGCTGTGGTCTATCGTCCACCTGGTCCAAACAGCTCTTTCCTTCAGGAGTTTAGTGACTTTCTATCCTCCACTGTGAAGCTGTCCAGACTGGTGATTGTTGGTGACTTTAACATCCACTTTGATGATCCCTCTGATCACTCTGCCATGAATTTCTCCAGCCTTATGGACTCCTTCGGCTTTACCCAGCATGTTTCTGGCCCCACACACACCAGGGGACACACTCTAGACCTTGTTTTTACCCTGAGTCTAAATGCTGACAGTATTTGTCCTGAGGACGTTTATATTTCTGATCACCATTGCATTTTCTTAAACTTGTCAGTTTCTGCGTCCTCACCTCCTGCTCGCCGTCTGGTTAGTTCTCGTTTTCTTAATGAGAGCACAGCTAGCAATTTTTCTGCTGCTTTTTATCCACCCTGTTCTTCTGATAACGACCCAGATTCCTTAACTTCTCATTTTAACGAGTGCTGCCTCTCCATTCTGGACAACATCTGTCCTGTCAGAACCAGATCAGTTCCTGCAGTGAACCCGACTCCCTGGTTTAATGACAGCCATTGCAGCCTGAAGCGCCAATGCCGAAAAATTGAGCATTTGTGGAAGAAAACCCATCTCCACGTCCATCTGCTGCACCTAAAAGATCTTCTGACATCCTTTAACTCTGCAGTCAGAGATGCTAGGGTTTTCTATTTCTCCAACCTGGTGTCCCAGAGCAAAGGGAACCCCAAGGTGCTGTTTAACACCATCAGCAGCATCGTCTCTCCTGCCTCTCCTACAGCCTCCATCCACTCTGTTACAGACTGTGAGAACTTTCTGTCTTTGTGGACAAAGTCAATAAGGTTAGATCTAGCATCTCTCCTTCAGCCTTATCGCTGCCTCTCCCGACTCCAACCAGGCCCATCATCCTAGAAAGCTTTGCTCCTGTTTCTTTGCCTGAGTTAACCAAACTAGTTAACTCTATGAAGACCTCTGCATGCCCCCTCGACATCTTATCCTCATCTTTGTTTAAAAGTGCTTTTCAGTCCATCGGTCCCAGCGTGCTCTCTATAATTAATGCTTCTCTGGTCTCTGGTCAGGTCCCTGCTTACTTTAAGAATGCTGTAATCCACCCACTTCTTAAAAAACCGAGTCTCGACCCCTCTCTCCATAGCAGCTTCAGACCCATCTCTAAACTTCCGTACATCTCCACAATCTTGGAAAAGGTTGTGGCTAAACAACTCACAGCTGCTCTTGATGAACATAACATCTATGATAGCTTCCAGTCAGGTTTTCGTAGAGCTCATTCTACTGAAACAACTCTTCTTAGGGTCTCTTGAAACAACTCTTCTTAGGGTCTCTAATGACCTTCTGACACACAGTGATAAAGGGGACTGTTCTGGTCCTGCTGGACCTGACTGCAGCCTTTGACTCTGTTGACCATCACCTGCTAATGGAGAGGCTGAGAGACTGGGTAGGCCTATCAGGATCTGCTCTGGAGTGTTCTCTTATCTTTCTGAGCGCTCCTTTTCTGTGGTCGTCTCCAAGTTTAGGTCCTCCACCACCTCTCTTACCCATGGTGTCCCACAAGGTTCTGTGCTGGGGCCTCTGCTCTTCCTCCTCTATCTGCTTCCTCTTCAGCACATCCTGAGCTCCTTCAAAGGAATCTCCTACCATCTTTATGCAGATGACATCCAACTGTACATCTCCTTTAAGCCCCATGAGATGTCTAAGCTGCAGCTGTTACACACCTGCTTAGACTCCATCAAATCCTGGATGGCTGGGAGCTTTCTTCAGCTGAATGAAGATAAGACTGAGATCCTCATCTGTGCCCCAGACAAGCTGGTTCCCAAAGTCAGAGACTCTCTTGGTCAGCTTGCTTCTCACACCAAACCTTCTGTCAGGAATCTTGGCATGACCTTTGACCCAGCTCTCACCCTGGATTCTCATGTCAGTTCTCTTGTTCGCTCTTCCTTCTTCCATCTCAGGAACATTGCTAAGCTGAGTCCCATTCTGTCCCGCTCTGAACTTGAGACAGTTCTCCACACCTTCATCTCCTCACGCTTAGACTACTGTAACTCTCTTTTCACGTGTCTGAGCAGAACCTCCCTGAACCGTCTACAGGTGGTTCAGAATGCCTGTGCTCGGCTTCTGACCAAGTCCTCCAAATACACCCACATCACCCCGCTTCTCCTCCAGCTTCATTGGCTGCCAGTCAACTTCAGGGTTCATTTCAAGATCCTGGTTCTGGTCTATAGGGCCTTACATGGACAAGCACCATCTTACATTGGTGATCTTCTTAGTCCCTACACCCCCAGCAGGTCCCTGAGGTCCAGTGATCAAAGCCTACTGGTTGTGCAGCACCAGGCTAAAGACCAGAGGTGACAGATCATTTGCTGCTGTGGCCCCCAGACTCTGGAACTCTCTCCCCCTGAGCCTGAGATCAGTGGACTCAGTGAACTCCTTCAAAAAGCAGCTGAAGACTCACTTGTTCAAGCTGGCTTTTGTATGACCTTCTTCACCACTCTCTTTATTCTGCTCTCCCCACCTATTCCACCTTCCTCAGGATCCACTGATTTCCCTCTTTCCTATTCACTCTCTCTCTTTCTTAACATATTTGTGATCACAATTGTCTATTTTTTGCTCATTTTAAATATATTTTTAAACATTTTCTAAGTGCTTTTTTATATTTTTACATTTTTTGTTTTTGTGAAGCGCCTCGTGATTTTTATCTAGAGAGGCGCTATAGAAATTATATTTTCTTCTTCTTCCATCGTGATTAAACTGAATAAAAACAGTCATAACTAATGAAACAAACTGATGAAATATCAGGTGGTGTTTCTGACTGGGAAAGCAAAAAGAAACGCAAATAAAGTTGTAATTCCTGAAAGTGTTTCATTTCAATATTTATTTATAATTTAATGTTGTGTTATGTTTTAGCCTCACTAATAAAACAAGAATGATAATCAACCCTATTCGGATTGTACATTAATAAACTTATTTATACCTCATCTATGTCACTATATTCCTGTGTTTTTGCACCTTTTCAATGTGTTTTTATCATTTTCATCATGTTTTTCTATCCATTTATGTTTTACCCATATTTGTGGTTGGGGTGAGTGCACCCTTCATGTCACCGTCTCTTCAGGTGTAATGACAATAAAGGACTTTTCTATTTCTATTCTATATTAAACACGTTGGGTTTTCTACTAACTACAGTCAGATCAGTTTTGATCAGTCCCCTAGAGTTACCCTAAAATGTCAGAATTAAGTCACAAATTGTCTTATGTCTGGGTTTGTTTGCAATCTTGTCATTTCTCTATTTCTTTACTCACAGAAACATAACAGAAAAAGGTTCCAGATACCTATAAATAAATAAACTGAATTATTAACTAAAGTGTCTATCAGCTATCACCAGACGGCTAGAAGATAACTGTCTTCAGTTAAACTCTGAAAAGACTGAATGTCTGATCATTGCCCCTGAGAGCATGGTTCCCCTGATTAGTCAAAAACTTGGTCATTTATCTTCTCCTGGTATGACAAACTTAAGAAATTTGGGTGTTGTTTTGGACCAATCAATGTCTCTTGAAGGCCACTCAGAAACAATGGTTCGAAACTGTTTTTATCATTTAAGAAATATCTCCAAACTGCGAAGGTTGGTGTCAAAACATGAACTTGTAATGGTCATCCATGCCTTTATCTCCTCCCGACTAGATTACTTTAACACACTTTTCACATGTTTTAACAAGAAAAACCTTGACCGCCTTCAGTTGGGCCAGAACTCTGCAGTGAGGCTTCTAACTGGAGCAAACACAAGAGCTCACAACCCTAATGTCTCTCCACTGGTTACCCGTTAACTTTAGAGTTCATTTTAGTATACTGACTATAACTTTCAATGCTCTACATGGTCAAGCTCCTCCCTATATTACTGAACTGTTAAAGCCTTTTGCTCAAACCCGAGCCCTCAGGTCCACACACCAGAACCTTCTAGAAGTTCCAGACTGTTGCACCCCGACTCTGGAATGATCTTCCTTTATCCTTACACAGCATTGACAGTCTGGACACTTTTAAAAATCAGCTGAAGACCCTTTTATTTAAAGCTGCTTTTACCTAAATCTTTTATTTTCTTATTTTTAACTCAAATTTGTAATAATTTTTCATTTGTTTTATGGTGTTTTATTATTTTAGACTTTATTTTTCAGATTTTAATCCATTTCTGTTTTAAGATCATTATGATTTTATGACTTTATGATTTGTTTTGATCCATGTGAAGCACGTTGTGATTTTCTGTCTGAGATGAGTGCTATGTACTTAATTACAACGGCTGTGTTGGCTGAATTTGTCTTGAGAATTCTTTGAACATTTAAAAATTTCTAGGCACAGAGTCAGGCCCTGAGAATCACAAGAAGGAACCAAGAACACTTGAATGTTTGGATAACCTTCTGAAAACTCACTCTGAATGGTGATGCCAGTGTCTCGCTAACAGAGCCCAGTGAGATACTAACTAAATAAAAACTCATGAGCAAATGCAAAACTACAGATTAAAGGTTGTCTAGAGTTAGAAGCCTTGCTCTCTCACCACCAAAGACAAATGTCAGATCATTATGGTGTCCTGACATAATGCTAAACATCTCACCTGATGAAACTAAACACATTTACATGGTTAAAAAAACTGAGCACATGAATGTGTGGAGACAGTCCCCAAGATCCTATTGGATCTGTGTCCAGAAGGATACGAGGTCTGCAGGGCCAGCAGCTGAGTCACCAGCTCCTCCACATGGCTGCTGACCTCCTGACCTGCAGGAGGTGTCGCAGACTGAGATGTTGTTGAGACAATTGGCCAGTGTAGTTGAGTCAATGCGTTTTCAAAATCACTAAAGAGGTTTAAAAAGAAAGAATCAGCTTTTACAGTAGATGAAAGAAGACAAAAACATCCCAGTCTTGGTTGGGATTTGATGGAGCCATACCTGGACAGCTGTTCTTTGATGATATTGTGCCAGAAACAAAGCGTTTTCCTGAGAAACTCCACAAGGTGGGAACATCCTGACTGGTTGAGGCCAGAGTCCAGAGCCGCCATGCTCTCTACAGCTTTTATAGCTTCCCAGACACCGTTGGTCATCAGAAACTGCTGGACTGAAGCACTGTAGACACATAATATTAACATTATGCAGCAGAAATGAGGAGCAGTTTTAAACCTCAGTGATGCATCACTGTAACCTCAACCAACATGTCTCCAAGCCTCTAATCACCCTACCTGAGCTCTCCTATGTAGTGAAGGCACTTTAGATACTTCATGCTTTTCTCCATAGAGTCTACATGGTTAAATGTCTGCCCTAGGTCATCCATCAACTGCCGGGTGCCCTGCAGGTGCTGGAAGATCAGAATATTTAACAGCATCAGTAAAACATCCCTGGATTACAGTGGGGATTGTCACAGAACACCTTAAACAAGCATAGATGATTCAGCTCAGATCGTGTTTCAGATCTTGTATGGGATAGATCAAATACAACTCTGATGTTCGTTCTGCTACTTCAGATTGAAATCTGCTCTTTTGTTGAGCTTCTGCAGTTTCTACCTGCTGCAGCTGACTGGAGACAGATTGTTCTCTCTGCAGCACGTCCTCCAAGGAACACCGGACCTCCTCTGCAGCTGACAGGGATGCTGAGATTTTGGGAGGAACAGAACTGCACACACTCAGAACCTGGAAAGCAAAAACAATGCAATCCCATTCAGCCAGAACCTAAAGGACAAAACATTGTTCTAATCTTTCAGATTGCAAAAAAAACCACATTTTTATTTAATGTGGTTGAGTTCAGGTTGCAGAATAAATTAATAACCCGTGAGTTAGTGGCTATGAACCCTGACCTGTCAGCACAGTGGTCTTTGATTAAAATTGTATATGTATGCACAAGAGTTCCAGTTCTTTTAATGTTTAAAACTCTATCAAGTGAAATATAGATGATGAACTGTGAGGTCTCATCCACTGAAGCAGTTTTTATTTAGTTCATCTCCTTCATTGTGAAAACATTTGTTTAAATCTTATTTAATGTGCTTTAGGTTCACACCTAATCCACCAGAATGCCACCAAACAGCTGACTTTAACCACAACAGCTCGCTGTTACACACTAATTCGTTAACTTTAAAAACACCGTGTAGTAAATAAAGTTCAGGTTCGGTACCTGCTCCTCCACCAACGCTGTCTCTGTTTTCATTTTCTCCAGCAGCTCACTAACGGCTTCTAAAGACATCAGTTCGCTGCCAAACTCTTGCTCCAAAAAACCCAGTCCGTAGTCCAGCTGGGTCCCAGAACCATCACCGAAACAGTCCGGATCCTGATCCATGTCACGGACAGAATGCCGAAAAGACTCTACAGCTGGTACCGTCGCCATCTTTATTTTTGACAACACCGCCACGCTGCACAGTGAGGAACAACTCACCACTGCCCCCTGCTGTCGGGAAAGGGAAGGTACCAAAACAACACCAGGCCCCTATCCTCTTGTCTAAAAACACTAGATGTTTCGGGTTCTTTAACCAAACTTTATTTACAATGAAAACATTACAGAATTAAAGTATTTGCTTATAATGCAGTAAACAACAGATAACACAACATAAACAGTAATACCAACAATGAAAAGGTACATAAATAATAAAAATTCAAATTAATGACGCTGAGGTCACCAAGGCGATTCAAAAGCTGCTCAATGGCAATGTCTCACGATGGATAAGAATGAGATTCACCCAGAGTTCCTGGATATAGGGTTGCGTTGAAGTGGCTCTGCGATAAACCACCAAACGATTCCCGAGCACAGCTTTGTCTGCAGCTCACCACTCCCCCAGGGATGGGTGTCAAATGCAGAGAACAAATTTCACACACCAGTGTGACAACTAATGGGACTTTGATATTACATGTTTATGTTTATTCATTTAAGAGACGCTTTTATCCAAAGCGACTTACAATTTATAACCTATAGGGCATGTTGGGATCTGTTGAGGAAACCGGAGTACCTGGAGGAAACCCACGCATGCATGGGGAGAAGACGCAACTCCACGCAGAAAGGCCACAGCTGAGTTTCGAACCTGCAACCTTCATGCTGCGAGGCAACAGTGCTAACAACTGTGCCACCATGCAGCATGGACATCGGGGGCAGTCTCGTGGATTGGCAGACCAGGTCGGTGGTTCTTTCTATTTAAAAAGAGGGAGCACAGGGTGTGTTCCAACTAAAGGGGGATCACACTACTGGGCCTCCCTGGTAAAGTCTATTCAGGGGTTCTGGAGAGGAGGGTCCGTCAGATAGTTGAACTTTGGTTTCAGAAGGAACAATATGGTTTTGGTCCTGGCTGTTGAACACTGGACCAGCCCAATATGTTTTGTAGACTTGGAGAAGGTGTTCAACCGTGTCCTCCAGGGAGTCCCGTGGGGGTTACCATGAGAGTATGAGGTACCAGCCCCCTTGATACGGGCCGTACGGTCCCTGTATGACCGGTGCCAGAGCTTGGTCTGCATTGCTGGCAGTAACAGCGTTCTGGGTGATAGTTGGACTCCACCAAGGCTGCCCTTTGTCACCAATTCTGTTCATAACTTTTGTGGACAGGATTTCTAGACACAGCCAAGATGTTGAGGGAATCCATTTTGGTGGCCCAAGGATCAGGGTCACTGATTTTTGCACGATGTAGTCCTGTTGGCTTCATCGGGTCGTGATCTTGAGCTTTTGCTGGAGTAGTTTGCAGTCGAATGTGAAGCAGCTAGGATAAGAATCAACACCTTGACCAGTACCTTGTCTTTCAATAGGTGTTAAAACATGAACACATGGCTTCATTTTATGGTCTCATTGCTCACTTTTAAAGTTTAAATCATCTGTCCTCGTCATTTTTATCCGATCTCCTCAACAATAACACTCCCATCAACCAAGCTGTCACCTGATACCCAAGTGAAAATCCAAAGGTGATCAATTTTTTTTTTTTTTTTTTTTTTTTTTTTTTGCTGTTGCTGCTTCAAACCTTTGGAACAATTTACCTTTACATGTTCACATCGCTGAATCCATCTGGGATTGTTGCTGAAAACCATGTTTTCTCCTTGACACAGCCCAAATAAATCTGATGGTTTGATGTTTTTATTTTGTCACTTTACTTGATCCCTTTTGTCCTTTTAAAACCTTCGGAGGTCAAAGAGAGGAACAGACAGAAGATCAAGCTGAGACCCGAGCAGTTGTTACAGTCAAGGACATCCGACTGAGACTCAGGCAGGAGAAAATCTCAGGGCCACTTAAACAAAAATATAAATCGTCCCTGTTTCACCAGAGTTTATCTGAGAGATTAACTCCAGCTGCCATGAAGTTGACATCAACCATGACAAAAACTATTTAATTTGTGTTTAAAAAGACCTAACCATAACATGTGACAGTTTAACCTGTCAGTTAAATAACTTGGAAACAGAACAACAGTCACACTAAACATTTGACATATGTTGACCTGTGAAAACATCCTGACCTTATCCAAGTTTAATAATTTCTCTAATTAAAACTACACATTGTCTGCCCTTTTTTTTGTCTGGAAGTCACTCTGTCAATATCCCTGACTTTCCATGTTGTCAGCAACATTTAGTCTCAGACAGAATGTTGATCCTGAGATTAAGGCCTGAACAAAAGATGGCAGCAGCCGTCACAACAACTGATGCTCCCATTGTTTCACACAACAAAACAGCGCTCAGACTCTATATGACATCAACCCGTAAAAGGTGGAATCACAGCAGCAGAGACCAGTGGCTGATCAAACCACACAGATTCACCATTTACAACAAATACCCGGAGCTTTCATCCAGGATGTTCGTTAGGACTCTTCTCTTCATCTGTCTGACTCTTCTCTGTGCAGGTAAAGAAACATCATTAAAAAAAGGTCTGAAATTGCAGATTTATTTTTTCCATTTTGGCAGCTTTTTATAGGCTATGCCAAATGACTCGATAAACACTTGGTTTTAATGGTGGGTTTGGTGAGACTGAGATAACAACTGTAAACTGGTGCTTCAAAAGCTGACTGTGTGTTATAGATGCAGAGGACAAGTCACGGGTCTACAGGAAGGTAGGAACCAAAAACACATCACCTCATCATAGCACACTAATAAAGTTCTGAGGTTGAAAATGGGGTGTACTGACAGGTAAAACGAATCCAGGTGTGCTGCTTTTTGTGTTTTTTAGAGGATGTTTCATAAATAAGTGAAATTACTGGGAGGCATCAGAGCAGAACTGGTCAAATTCCCTGAAATATTAGAGTCTGTCATCTTTAATAAACACTTGGGTATCCCAAATGAGATGAGAACATGTAATATTTACTACCATCACTGATTACATGATTGTTTGATTTGACGTGTAATTTGGTTTTTAATCAGTTCAAGTTTAGACCAACATCAGTTCAGTCAGTTGGACTTTAGTTTCAGAGATTTCTTCACCTCCTGAGTCTTCACAAAACTTTCTCCAGCAACTTTTCACAATTCAGATTCAGTTCATTAAAAAGCTTCAGCTAACACTAACACCTTATCAGGCTGGCTTTTGAGTGAACCCCTTTAGCTCCACTGCTAGCTCGTTAGCTTATTTTCCTGCTTGAGTTACTGTCCTTTATTTATTATTGTACTTGTGAAGTGTCTTGAGTTTTTTATCCCGAAAGACCCCGTACCAATCAACTTCTAAAGGAAATAATACGACTTTAATCTCCTCTGGTTTGTTTAAAGCACAGCTCAAACATGTTAAAATGCAAACTATTTCTTTTGAGTTTTGTTCTCTGACACTAATTTGTTGGATTGTGATTTCTTTGTCCTGCAGCCTTCCTGTCTGGGGATGAGTCCAACTCAAGCGTGTCCACTGGTGTACTCTCCTGTGTGTGGCAGCAATGGCATCACCTACCCAAATGAGTGCTCTCTCTGCGTCCGTCTGTAGGTACATATTAATAAAACAATAACATGGTTGATTCATTTTAAGAATGAAAACAGACAGAAACACAGAGAGGCAGAAGTTATGGAGCTTTGTTTGCAAAAGGAGAGGTTTGGTACTCGTAACCCTAAAAGTAAGAATTCTTTTAAAGAATCACCACCTCTGGATGCTTGATCGACTGAATCTATGAACGTGTGTTATTAAGAATAAAAGACAAACTCAAAGAAGAAAGCAAAATAAACATGTGCCCACACAAAAGTAGCATTAATGATAAAAATGCACGAACCAAATTTTCTGCAACACTTTGGGTCGGAATGTTCCTAAAATTAGCAAAACTGTTTAGATGGAAAAAGGTAAAATTGGTGATATTTATTTCTTGAAGAACAAAGGTCTGCATGGTGACACAGTTGGTAGCAATGTTGCCTCGCAGCAAGAAGGTCACAGGTTCAAATCCCAGCTGCGGCATTTCTGCTTGAAGTTAGCATGTCTTCTCCATGCATGCACTGCATGACCCTGCTGGTGAGTGAGGGAGTTAAAGGACAGCTCCTGGTCTATAATAACACTAGGGTTCCTTACAAAGGTAAAGCCATCAAGAGGAAGTGAATAAATACACATCATGTAAGGTTTCCAAGCACAGAATCCTGAGGAACTCCGTATTTAATTCTGGTACAAAAAAAAGAATCGCATGAACAAATTGGATTTTATCAGATAAAAAAAACTGAAACCAGTTTAGTGTTGTTCCTTTAATCCCGATATCTCAGAGACAGAAGACAGGAGATTTCCACTCTTACACCCAGATATGTCCAGTTCTAGACCTGGCCTTTAGACCTTCCAGTAGAATCTGGTAGGACTTGATTGTTTTGGTTCTTTTGTGAGATGCAAAGTCTGTTTGTAATCCTGTTATATTTGTTTTTCACTTCCTGGCCCAGAGCTTTGCGTTAAACTAAACGGCTAAATTACTCAGAACCAAAGGTCAAAGTGACCTGTAACAGTTCTGCCTTCATCACTTACATCTCTACCAAACCGTCCAGATTCCTTACAGGGGTTTAACCGTTAAAAACTAGAGAAAATCCACTCGTTTTGCCAGATCTTCAGAACTTGTTTTATTAACTTGAGAAAGTTAGATGCCTTTATGCAGCAGTTTGAACTAACGTGTTATTTCTGGTCAGGGAGAAAAATGCTGGCATCATGATAGTGAAGGACGGACCCTGCTGAGGACCTCATCACAAGTTTTGCGCTTTTTGGTGTGAACACATTATCAGAGCTTTTGATGTGTTACATTTACATGTAAGCATGAAAAACAGCTGCCATGTGTGCTCAGACTTCATAACAGTAGAATGAATATAAGGTATTTTATATTTTTGTATCTCTGTAAACCTTTTTCCATTTTCTATTGTGCCAAAAGTATTCTTAATCATAAGCCTGCTGTGTTTCACAAGTGAGAACATTTATATTGTGTAAAAGATTCTGTTCAGGGTTAAATAGTGAACGCTCTTGAGTCACCAGCCTCATTTGTTCATAAAAATGTAATTGGTGTGGAATGATTTTGTATTCATCATGTTTTTAACTTAATTGTAAAAATAAAATCTCATCTCGTCTTTCACTGTTGTGTGTATATACCACTTGTGTCTGTGTGTGTGTTCCAGATACAGAAAAGCACAAGCAAAATCACTTTTTCTTGTATTGTCAAGTACAAAAAGGTTTCATAGGTTTTACAAATCAAAAAGTAAAACAACACAATCTGGATTCAGATTTTACACTAAACATTGTATTCTCAGGTCAAAACGCATCGATCGTACGTTTGTATTTAAAGAGACAAATCCAGAAGAAAAGTAACATTTATTAGAAAGTGGTTACAACCACATTAGGTCGGAAATCGAACCACAGAAAACAGTTTTCCTCTAATCTGGAAAAAGTTCAATCTTCCAAATTCTTACAGAAGTCCCCCACAGAAAAGAAAAATAAACACAGGTTCAAACAAAAACAGAATGAAGAAATTAACAGTGATTTCTTTTAAATTTTACACTAGCATGTCAGTACTAGTGAAAGGTGCTTTTAAACATATCAGTAGAATAAAATCACTCAAAACTCTATTGCATTAAATCATTGCCCGTCACCTTTACATGAGAGCAAAATCACAAGGGACACGATGAAAGATGTTGAGTCATCACACGTCACTGAAAAACAAAAGCAGATAAACAGCGAGAAGTCAATCACCCAGTTCAGCCAAACAGTAACAAAATATAAAAGACCTTTGACCTGGAGCACACGGACAAATAGGATCAGTACAGTAGTGAGGGTGAGAATGACTTTTACACCTTTTATCATCTGGAGAGTAACCAACTGGGATAAACTGGTGAACAGGGATTTTCATGTGATGGAACCAGTAACGGTCTTTCATGGTGACAGATACATCTCCTCTGCTGAGATATATTCAGTTAATAGAACACAGATTTACTGAGAGAAGTGAACTCACCATGAGGGTTTCCATGGTTACATGTTTGGTTCTGCAAAAGAACAAAGTGATTGTTTAATTTCTTAAAATGCTGAAGGTGGCACAGTTAAATCTAGGTATAAATCACTCACTATGTGTGTGTGTGTGTGTGTGTGTGTGTGTGTGTGTGTGTGTGTGTGTGTGCGTGTGCGTGTGCGTGATCCACACTCACCCCAAATGTAGTCTTTGCGATTAGTCCCATGGGTGACTCTGCATTTGTACTTTTCTCCAGATGATGGCTTGAACTCCACACTCTTGGTAAGATGGAAGTGCCAGTCCTGTTTGAAGGTCAGGTCTGTCTGCACAGCCCCGGGAATCACCTCCTCATCCTTCAGGATCTCGATGGTGATATCAGGGGGGTGGAAGTTGCTCACATGGCAAATCAGAACGTTGTCATTTCCAAACTCTCCAGGGTCACGGCTGTAGACCTGAACCTGTGGAGCTAAATGTGAACACACCATAAGAGGCCTTTGTCATAGAACCTCATTAAAGTGGGAGGAGCCTTTACAGCAGTTTATTACAGGAAATCAAAACTAAAACCAAATCATGGGGAATTCCAAAGAATAGAGCTGTAAGGATGTAAACAGAATAAAAACCTGGAAAAGGCCAAAGGCAGAAAACGTTATCACTGACAGAATCTAACACACACGCGCGCGCGCGCGCGCACACACACACACAGCTTCTATCTACTGACTGACAGGTCACAAACTAGGAGAACTATAAACAGGTTAGGTCCTCCACACAAAGACTTTTTTTCAGATCCGATCTGAACTTTATCCTAAAACTTCTGCTTCATCTGCTCTGGACCCTGTCTCTACCCAAGTACATGCATCAGGAAGAAAACCTGAATATTCTACTCACACTTGATCGCGTCCACCGAGCAGCAAAGAGCTACAAAAACACCAAAAGCGAGTGCGAAGTTCATGTTGATCCTCCTTTATCTGCCACAGACCACAGACTGGTCTGATGACTTCACAATAAAGTGAAAGTAAAAGATGGGTCAAATTTATATTCAGCTACAAGCTCCGCCCACCGCGTGACTCTGACCAATCAGATATTTTAGATCCTCCTGTTACCAGGTAGAACGTGTCAGACCATGTTTGATCTGTTGTGAGCCATTATCGAGAGAGATGCTGTGCTGTGGCAGATTGTTGAGGTACTTTTGCCTGGCTCACCAACTTCATTAATTCAGAGAAACCGAAATGAAAACAACATGGTTGATTTTATCCAACTAGAAATAAATCTGAATCTTTTATATGTTCTTTTGGTGGTTTTAAGAATTCTAGCCAAGCAACTAATGGCAGATTTTAACAAGAAAAGAACAAGAACATTTTTTTTCTCGTTACACTAAAAATATATGCAAGATAAAATGTCTTAAAACAAAACTTTTACTTACTTGAAAATGACTTTTTGCAGTGTATTTATTGTTTTTGGTTCTTATAACATCTTTTTTTCTTTCTGATCAGCTGCTGCTGCAGACCAACCAAAACAAACGAAAAAAGCCAGAGGTAATTGTGACAGTAGAACACACACACACACACACACACACACACACACACACACACACACACACACACACACACACACACACACACACACACACAGAGGTAAACTCGACAAGAACCTGGAATAGTCTGGTCTAACTTCTACCATATACAATACCACTTCAGAGAACCACTCTGGATGTCCCTACCAGAGCACCTGGCTGAGGCAGCAGCTTTATTTGTTACAAGTCTCTAAAGTCGCATAGATTACTAACAAATTCTCTTAAATCAAAATTAAATGCTGGGTTTTTTTGGTGTTGACAACAGGAAAAATTGCTCTAAGAGTCCTTTTCTTTTATTACTAAGCTAAAACAAAATTTTAATTGCGTTTTTGTACCAGTGTTATACACGCAGGTGCACGGCATTAAAATTATGAGTTGGCCCCCTCTGCTGGCTAAAGCTAGAAAAACACTCTAGTTTCTTAAAAGAGGGAAGGTATCGTCCTCCTGTGTCTGAAATCTGGTATTACAATTTTGTTGTTTATTCAGCAGAAAAGGTGACAGATGCAACCTTTCATCAGTCCATGATCTACACACCTCCAGGGCTCTGAGACGTGAAGGTCAAGCTCATTCTGGTCGGTTTGAACCACTCCCCTCAGGCAGGAGGTTCAGGTTCATTCAGGCCAGATCCTCGCACCACAAAAACAGCTTCTTCCCCTCTGCTGCAAGACTCCTGAACATCATTACAAACATACAAATCTGCACTAGTCACCAATGTTTCTTATGTTTGTTATTTTTGACACATCCTAATTTTTCACTTGCCTGACTGGTGTGTTTGCATCATTCCACCAAAACAAATACCCAACAATATGATATTCTCACTGGAAAATAAACTTAATTAGGATGATTCTGAGAAGCATGGATTAGCATCTCTGGGTTTCTGCTCAATAGAACTACCCTTTTAACTCCTAGAGTTTTATATGTGATTCTCATGTGTCATGAGGGACGAAAGCTTGATTCTGGGGTTTTGGTGGTGCAGATGGTTTTTCGAGGACAGGCTCAGTAAAATAAATATGATCGCATCATAATAGTGACTGCTGTTTATGTCAGAGGTGGGAAAAACTTTTTTTGCTTAAGTAACACTTTGGAAATAATGCCCTATAGGGCTTTCATTAGACTTGATACCATACCAACAAAACCAAGCTAACAAATAAAGTAATTGTATGACAACATTTAGAAAAGATAGGGTGATAATAGATGTGAAAAAGCAACTAATGGAGTGTAGGGGTAGATCGATATATCGGTCGGCCGATATAACGGACTGATATAACTCGTCAATAAAGCCGATTTAAAGTCAGGTGCGGCTCAGCGCTGCTGAAGAATTTCATTTAAATGTGATTATGTCTTCCTGAAATAAATCTGCTTTAATAAATTTTCTAAAAATATTTTAACTAAAATTACTTTTTATTTACCAGTTTTGAATGTTCAACACTTGATCGGTTTACAATGTTTGATTAACTTTAGTTAGAAGTCTGATTTTAACCCTGAGCAGTGCACAAAATTAGTATTTAACAGCTAGTAAAATTCAATGTTCAAAAACTGATTCCACTTATGAAATTTTGTGCATCAACTGATGTTATTAGTGACAATTTAGCATGAAAATAAGGTGGAAAACATCTAGAAATCAGTCATAAAAATCGGCAGCACAAATCAGCCATTGGTTGACCATGACCTTTACATATCGGCATCAGCAATAGAAAAACCAATAAAAACCAATATTGGTCGATCTCTAAAGGAGAGCAATGAAAACTGAAGCTTCTGTTTCCAAATACCCAATAAGACCTGTCCTGGGAAACGTTACAGCAAACCTTCAAAAACAGATTTACTAGAAAACTGCTTTATTTTGCATCTGTATTAAAACAAATTACATCATCATCCAGCCAAAAGCATCCTTTCAGCAAAGAGACTGCAAAGCTATGATGCTGCTGCCACGGTGACCGCCTCCGATTTACCGTTGCTCTGTGCTGCACATGAAACATGTACAGAACCGTCCCTGAAACAAAAATAACAAGAACTCAACAACAGCAGCAGCAGCAACAAGTAGGTTAGCACAGTCTGAAAAAAACAAAAGTACCTTTTCATGGTCACTACAGCATCAATGGTGTGCTTCTCCTCTGTGGGCTGCAGGTTTCTCAAGATAATCTGAACACACCAGTGGCAATCACAATTAGTGATTTGTTTAAATCAGACAAAATGGTTATTCTGTAACAGAACAACTACTGTATAAAAATGCCAGGATGTACTAAAAAGTTTGGGCTGGGATGAAACTGGTCACCGATATCGCACCACATGACTTGACCTGTTTATTACCTTTGATAGCTTCTCTGGCTGCTCTTTGACAAACCTCTGGTAAATCTCAAGACAGAGGGAGGAAAGCTTTCCTTCTCCAGAAAGGACGTGATGTCTGCGAGCAGGGAGAGGGGTGCCCAAAGGCAGCAGAACGGTAAAAGACTCGGCTCCAGATTCATCCACCTCCTGCAGCACACAGCAAGCACAACACATTCACACATTTTAACCCTTCATTGAATTAATATACCTCATTTTTAATGTTATCACTAATGATTAATTAATCTTCCTCCAACACAGAATTTTTTGTCAACCTCCAAAAGTTTCTAATCGGATGCAAAGATGTGTAGCAACAAATTATTTTAAGGGTAATTGTGGTTAACGTACCTAAAGTCCGATTTATGGTTTTAAAGTGTACCGTATTTTCTGGACTATAAGCCGCTACTTTTTCCCCACGCTTTGAACCATGCGGCCTATAATGAGGTGCGGCTTTACTGAAGATTTTCCTTCACCTGCAGGGGGCGCTTTAGCAGAAAGTGAAACAGGCGGAAGTCAAAAGTGGAAATCGAAGAAAGTGCTCATTTTAATTTAGCACATGACTTATTTGTAGAGATAAAACATCCACGTTTAAAAGAGTCAGTGGTAGAGTCGCGTTAGCCAATCAGAGGTGAGATGTCCAAATATCGGGAAATAAGACTCCAAATCTTGTCGTCTGAAGCTACTTTCTCCTTTGGCTGAATACTCCGTGCACAAACAGGTGCACCAGAGTTTTTTTTTCCCCCTTTTTTTTCATGCCTAGTAGAGACCACTGCAAACGTATTAAAAATATGAGTGAGGGACCTCTTCAGTATTAAAATTTTATTCAGTTGCTGCACCAATAAGCTGTTGGAGTTATTCCCATCTTGTTAGCCTTCTGGACTGCTTTTACTAACTGCTTGTTTGAGCTACCCACTAGTCCAAGCTAATACAGTCTGAGCTAACTGCTACTCAATGCCAATGACTAGTCTGAGCTAACCTGCTAATCCAAATGCAGCAGAGAACGGGAGCTTGGCATTTATTCCACTGATTCATTCATTGATTCATCTATGAAGTTGTTTTAGTCAAGGACATTAGCTCAAGTAACATTTTAGCCCAAATCGTACAGCGTAGTCCTCAAATGTCTATTAGCATTAGCCTAGTCTTATGTGCTTCCATGTCTGGGCTGTGGCAGAGCCGTTCCCCCGGGACAGGGTTGCTGCCTTGTTCTGAGAGAAGCTCCACTGTGGAATTATGTTGTTTCTTCTGAAAAACTCCCGATAGCTTCAAGTCACCCCCAGGAGGAGTTTACCTTCAGCAGGATGTCAGCTGCAGAAACATCCACTGAGACAGACTCTTCCTCAGGAACCAGACAGTCTCTGCCAACCAGCAGGCCGGCCTCCATGGCTGCTCCTACAGCAATGAGCTCATCTGGTGGTGCAGAGTTCAGAAGCTCCACATCAGGAAACATCTCCTGGATCAGATACTGCAGACGAGGAATCCTGGCTGAGCCACCGCAGAGAACCACCTGAACACAAACATTTTTAATCTGCTGTAAACATTTTAAATCAACAAGAGACAGCTAGCATCAGAATTATTTGGAAATCACAACAGATTGACTTGATAACCTGGATGGAACATTTCAACAGCAAACTCCTAAGTCTCCTCGGATGAGGCTAAACAACTAACATGAGCATGTTTTCATGATGATCTGTCACCACCAACTGAACACCTTCTCAACAACCTCCAGTTTGGAGTTCTTCAGACCATCCCAACCCCATCTCCATCAACACACCTTGTTAATGTCACTGGCTGAAAGGCCGGCCTCGACCAACAAGGATCTGATTGGTTGGATGCTTCTGTTGAATAGTGAAGAGCAGAGCAGCTCAAAGCGAGCTCTGTGGGGGGAAACAAACATTTATCAATATTCCTTTATTTTATTTATATCATCATCTGCAGATGAAAGGTGTGGAGCATGGCGGCGTTTTATCATCTAAACATCTCCAGAACAACCGGACAGATTTTTAGCAAAACTCAGTAATCAGTGGAACACCAACAGCTGATCAAACATGATTCTAAATGAGGCGACAGGTCTAGGACGGGAAACCTAGACCCTACCTAGTGAAGCTCCCCAGCTCGGCCGGGTCGACCAGACCACCAAGGTGTTCTCAAGCGAGAAATGTTCAACCAGTTTTCAGGAGAAATAAAGTTTAATGTCATTTAGCTGAAAACAGCCTGAAACACCAGTCTGCGTCTGTCTGCGGTGTTGGGTTATTACTCGTACTGCTTCAGAAGAACACAACCAGCCTCACGAACAGAGTTCTAACAGAAACGCCTCATTTTTACAGCTCACCTGGAGACGGTGCATTCAAAGTCAACGCCATCGTAAAGAGAGTCAACGAAGCAGTTGGCCGATCCCAGAGACGACAGCGAGTGTTTGACCATGTCGGCACTGTTCATCAGCTTCAGCAGGGCCCGAGGATTATCGCTCACATCGTGTCTGAAGGTTCTGGAGAACAAAGACAATAACATTTATGTAAAAATAAATAAATAAGCAAGACTCTGCTTTCCGTCGTCTTCAGTTCATCTCACAAAAACATTTTATTGAAGCTTTCCAAAGAACCCTGACACGATCAACTCTGTAAAGTAGAACCCGGTAGAACCAGCAGAACAAACCCAACACCCAGTTACAGATTTAACCCACTACACACTGGAGACTCAGATTTGAATTTCAGAAACAGACAACGGTTTTTCAGTCAGATCAAAGATTTTGTTTCAGCCATTACAGATTCCAGAATCCCGTCGACTCCCAGAACCAGACTTCTCCATCATTACAGAACCAGTTAAATCCTTTATAACTGTATCAGTGTGATCTGTAAAGTTTTATCTTCTAAACTATTTTCTTTTTGTTCGTTAATATAAAACGCCACTAAGTTTCCTTTTCTTTTTACACATTTTATCCAACTTGAATTTGTGGAAGAAAATCCAAATTTGGGGGATTAATTTATCAGTTAGTAAGATCATCAACCCAAAAAAGGACCGTCCAGTCAAACATGTTCTGGCTGCACTGACTAAGTTCATAAACACACAAATAATATATAATAAATACATCTGTTATAACTTTGATACGAGTTTCAAAGTTGAGTTTTAAAAGCCAAGATCGCTGTTCGTAGCAGTTCAGTTCATTAAATCTCAGGGGATCCCTTTTCCCCTCGCTGCTGGGAGACGAGTCCTTTGGTCTCACCACGGAGCTGAAACTGAAACCCAGAGGTTACCGTTTGAACTCCGAGGCCAGGTGCTGGGCCAGAGCCTGGGTGAAGCTCTCCCCTCCAATGCTGTGGTCCGTGTAGGTGGAGACGACCCGGATCAGTCCTCCATTGATCTGCAGCGCCGTCACATTCAGAGATGTCCCGCCCAACTTATACACCAGAACATGGCTGTGAGACACAAACACACCTGTTCAACACACACACCTGCAGAGACGTGTCCATTTCAGGGAATAAACCGTAACTTCAGTAGTCAGAACCAACATCCTTTGTTCTTCAAAACGTCCGACATGTTGGTTATTCATTTAACTAACATTAGTATAGAAGGCCGTTACAACACGACACCAAAATAACTCTAGCTCTGCAAACCCAAACGTCATGGGAACGAGCCACAATCTGGACTGAACAGAACCACTCAGCACAAAGGCATTCTGAAGATAAGGATCAATACAAGACAAGAGCAATCTAAAAGAACATGACCAGGTTCTGAAGGTCCAAATATCACACTGCTCTGAAAAGCACTTGGCGAGATGTAGGGTAGTGATTGTAGCTCCCCCTAGTGGTCACATAGGTTCCATGCGTTTGGTTTACATGAGCTAACAGAGAAGGAGTAAAGAGAAACAAATCCATTCATCTATTTGTCCGTGTATGCGTTATAGTCTAACTGATGGGTGTGTAGATGTTCAGTTAGCGACGGTCGTGGTGGGCCTGCTGCAGAACTCAGTACCTCCTCCCAGAGGAACAGTCCTGTCCGATGTTGTAGGCTAGCAGAGCAGCAGCAGGCTCGTGGATCATCCTCAGGACGTGAAACCCTGCTGCTTCAGCCGCCACCCTGAAAAACACAAGTTATGTTGTGAAACTCTTTTCTAAAAAGCCATAAGCCGTTAGTTACAGAAACGAACCTTAAGGCTCGTTTCTGAGAGGATCCAAACTCAAAGGGAACGGTGATGACGGTCTCCGTGACATCAGACCCGAGGGCTGATTGAGCCGTTTCTGTGGAAACAGAAAGCAGTTTACTGTTTTTACTGCTCTTTAAAATGTATTTATTACAGAATGAGAATGCGTTTCATGTGGACTACCTTTCATTTTGTGGAAAATGAGTTTGGCAACATCCTCTGGTGCAACATACTCGGTTTGTTCTCCACATGTAATCTCATAATAAGGTTTCTCTCCCTTGTTAATGACCTGCAAACATCAATCAGATCACACTGATTCGTTCATTAGCTCAAACATTGAATCAAATTCCAGGTGGATTTTGTTTTGTGATATTTTAGAAGTCATGCTAATCTTTTCCCCGGTTCCCATCAGAATCGCACGCACAACAAAACTAACCCCCCCTGACCTGAGTCAAGGCTGAGGAATCAAGACGACTTCTACAGCATGAGAGCAATATCTTGTACCCACATTTTTTTATCATAATAAACTAATAAAAAGTTTAGGCAACAGCGTGACTCACCTGACATTTAGTCTGAGTTCTGTGAGTTTGTGTCACCGGATCATCAAATCTGACAGAAAGGCAGAAAGATAAAAATTATTAGCTTCTTCTTCAAATAAATAAATAAATAACTCAGTTACAGTTAGAAACGCATTCCTCCCGTACCGTCTCCCCAGAACCTGTTTCACTTTAACAACCGTGTTAGAAGCGTTTCGGACCTGACCCTGCTTCGCTGCAATACCAACGATCTGCAGAAATGAAAGTTTTTACTGAGTAACAGAAACACACAGAGGCATGGGAACAGGACACACACACACACACACACACACACACACAAAGTTAGTTTACTGTAGTTAACGCAGTTACATATAACAGAACATTACTGTGACTTCAATAAAGACACAAGGTAACAGATGACTTTCACCTTAGCTTAGTTTTTCTCAACCAGATAATAAAACGTTACTTTAAAGAGTTCCAGAGGTGACACAGCTTAGACTGTTGAGCTAAACGTCCTCCCACCTTTACCAGAGAGAGAGCGGTGTACTGAGACACAAACGGGGGAGACAGACCTGTTCAGAGTCTCTGTAGCCCACGACGGCTGGAGTCACGCGGTCCCCTGCATCATTTGCCACCACATCAGCTCGTCCATCCTGGGCAGCAGGCAGAATTGTGTACTGATCATATCATCATTATTACTGGTGTGTGTGGTGGTCCAGTAGACCTGAGAAACACCCCATCTACTATACTAATGTCTACATACAGATCACCCTTTACCCACAGAAAGTCCTGAATGAGCCAAAGGGACATTTACACTTCCAGGATTAATCTGACCAAACCAGTGTTGTTAAACCTAATGCACGTGTCACACCCAGGAGGGTCACTTGGTTCAGAATTTGTCTCCTCTGACTTGAACAGTGCAAGTGTGCATCTGTGATTTGTCCAACTTGATCCTACCTGATGTGTGTGTGTGTGTGTGTGTGTGTGTGTGTGTGTGTGTGTGTGTGTGTGTGTGTGTGTGTGTGTGTGTGTGTGTGTGTGTGTGTGTGTGTGTGTGTGTGTGTGTGTGTGTGTTGGGGAAGCCATTTTTGTGTCTGATCTAGAATCTCTGACATCGTCGATCACAACAAACTCTGTTAAGTTCAAGGACAGACGGGAAATCACCTTAAATATCGCCACACACGCGCACGTATGACCAAAGTGGACCCCAATAGCAGCCATGCTTTTTCGTGGTTGTCTTCTTCTTCGTCTTCTTTTTCTTCTTCTTTGCTTCCTGCTGCTTCATGGTGGTTAGTGAACAGCTGTGATGCGCGTTGCTGCCACCATGTGGATTGTGACGATATAACAGTTTACAACCTAGACATGAAATACTTTTTAACAATTCACATGATTAACTCTGGTGCAAGAGGAAATGTATTCATTAACATGAACCTACCAGATAAATTTAAAATAAAGAAAACTTTATTTATCCCAGAGGGGAAATCAATGCTGTAAAACATTCATCATCACATCATCAATACTACTACTACTACTACTACTCAGAGGTGTGACCAAGTCACTGCTTTGCAAGTCACAAGTAAGTCACAAGTCTTTCCAGTCAAGTCCAAGTCAAAGACAATCAAGTCCAAGTCCAGTCCAAAGTCAATGATCTGGAAGTCCAAGTCAAGTCCAAGTCCTTAACTTTGAATTTTCAAGTCACAATCAAATCATCTGTCCAACTTCAATTTAGTGACAATAATAATAAATAAATTCCAGAAATAAAGCTTCTTAAAGCTTAATTTATTTGCTCTAACAAGCAGAAAATGCAACTGAAATGGATTATAAACAAAGTGCTGCTTCATTTAGCAGTACAAGATCAAACCCAGAACGAAGAATGATTTATGATTTATGTCCATGTGGTGCCACTTTTGTGCTAAAATATCAAATATGCTCAAGTCATCATCAAGTCAACAGATGCAAGTCAATTCGAGTCACAAGTCATTGGCTATCAAGTCCGAGTCAAGTCGTAAGTCTTCATAGATTTTATCAAGTCAAGTCAGAAGTCTTTAAACCCAATAGGGCTCTGAGATCCCTTGGAAACAATCAGCTGGTAGAACCACGGGTCAGAACAGAACATGCTGGAACATGCACTTAGTTACTATGCTGCTCACATTTGGAAGCAGCTTCCCCATGACCTCAGATCTACTCCAACTCTAGTGTTGTTTAAAACAAAACTAAAAACCCTAATGTACTCATCAGCCTTTAAATGAATTGTTTCTTACGCTGGGTCATCTCCACTGTAATCTGCACTGTAACTTTGTCTTCTCCTTTAGCTCTAAACTGTAATTCCATTTGCGTTTATTTTAATTTGTGTTTTTATGTGTTTTCATGTCATGTCCTGATCATTGTAAAGCACGTTGAATTGCCTCTGTGTTTGAAATGTGCTCCATGAATAAAGTTGCCTTGCCTAAAATAATGACTCGAGTCCACACCTCTGCTTCTACTACTACTATTTACTACTACTATTACTACTACTACTACTACTACTACTTCTACTACTACTATTTACTACTACTATTACTACTACTACTACTACTACTACTACTACTGCTGCTGCTACTACTACTTCTACTACTACTATTTACTACTACTATTACTACTACTACTACTACTACTACTGCTGCTGCTGCTACTACTACTTCTACTACTACTATTTACTACTACTATTACAACTACTACTACTACTACTGCTGCTGCTATTACTACTACTACTACTACTACTACTGCGGCTACTACTACTACTACTACTACTACTACTACTACTACTAATAATAATAATAATAATAATAATAGTATTATGACCCAAAGCAGCAGAGCTTTTTTTTCTTAATTCCCAATAACAAATTCAAGCCTCTGGATTATAATATTTTGGTGAACTGGATTAAACAAAGATCTAACAGGACTAATACTTAGACCTGTTTGAGACCATGAGAATATCTGTAATATCTTTCAACAAAGCTGTTTCTGTACTCTGACGAGCTCTAAATCCTGACTGAAACTCGTCAAACTGATTATTTTGTATAAATTCTCACTCAAATGAAAAGCTAGTGTTTTGACAAATGTGCTTAGAGATTTCCACATATGGGCTTGAGTTTTTCTTCTTGGGTGGAAGGGTTTTTCCTAATGATTTATATTTTAGTCCATAAGCAGCACTTCCACTTGAATAGTGAAGGTAGGCAACAGTTAATCAAGCTCTAAACATGAGGCTGCAAGTATTACACTCATTGTACAAGACTCCTCCATGTTTATGATCTAAGGAGTAACAAGTGATCATCAGACATCAAGAGTCCAGGTCTTTAAGGATGTCTTTATTTATGCATTAGATGATATTAGATACAAAACCACGACTTGCATTGAGTTGTTATGTAATGTGCATTTCCATTCCAAAGTTTTTCTTTTAGCATCCATGCTTTGGAACAATCCGACACTTCAGGATCTTCAGGTAGTTCTGGATCTTGTTAGAATCACGGCGGAAGCAATAGAGAAGATCATAGTCTTTCATGAAGCGCCACTCAGCACTGTCAGACGTCAGTAAAGCCTCAGGAGAACCCATGTCGCCGACTGAATTACTTATTATTCCCAACATTTGCATCTGGGGCAGAAAGACACAAACAACAACGTTCTACAAGTATGAGGAAACTCTGGCGTGAACACCCAGGTCATGTGTCAGCACCGGTACCTGTTCTATGGACTGTAACCCTAATGTCTCACACTGTGGTGAAATGAGTAAACAACCCAGACAATGTTCAGAATAAATGATGACAGGCTTAAGAACAGCCATGGTGTTGATAGCTCTGCAGGCCTTGAATCATCTAACCTGGACAGGTGCTGAAGTTTATATCAAACAGCAAGTATTCATTGCTTTAAAGATTGCTATTATCTAAGTTTCATTCATTTATTAAGTATTTGGATGATTTTTCCAGTCTATAGCGGTTCTCATAGCGGTTATAAAAGAAATTAAACAGATTACACTCTCCAACCTCGCTGTGCATGTACCATTACTCCAAACGTGTGTGTGCATGTGTGTGTGTGTGTGTTCGTGTACCTTCTCCACCACTTTAAGTACACCTTTGCGTAGCTCGTGTACCATGTCACTCATCTCCAGAGACTTATTGGAGCTGAAGTTAGTGAACTCATCATGTTGAGACATGCTCTGGTGAAAGTGCCACAAAGGGTCTCGCCACGCCACCAGGAGCTTCAGGATGATCTCTGCCAGCTCCTCCCTCTGCAGACATTTACATGCGTTAATAGAAGACAGGTAAACACACGGTAACAGGACAGGTAGACTTGTTATCACAGAGAGTGTTTCACTGGATATGTGCTTTCAAACCCGTTGACAGGAGATGGGGTTCTTTCTAGTGTTGGGTGAGTGAAAGACAAAAGTCAAGGGTTTGAAATGTCAAAATGGTGCATTGTAAAAGGAAGGAAAGAAGGGATTGAAAGGTTAGTGTTGCGTTTGTGGTGATGACTTATAATAGAAAGAGTTTGTGTCAATGAGAGGAAATAACTCACAGCTATTCTCTGAGCATTCTCTTTGCCATTAGGGGTCAGGATGGTAGAGGTGTGACAGTTGCGACTGACCCGACCGATCTGATTCTTACTGGGCAGGAAGTAGAGCTCCTGTCAAAACAGATGTTTATCTAAGTGTTAGCCGTACAACTCTGTGTGTGTGTGTGTGTGTGTGTGTGTGTGTGTGTGTGTGTGTGTGTGTGTGCGTGCGTGCGTGCGTGCGTGCGTGCGTGCGTGCGTGCGTGCGTGCGTGCGTGCGTGCGTGCAATCCTAGTTCCATGAACTCTAACCCTACAACACCATGTCTCACAGCAGGTTTAACTGACATCAGCTTAATGACCCGTTTAGTAATATTCAGACACTGGCCACGCTCCTCAGGCTGGTTCAGATATTCTACCTTAATGTAGACACAGTAAATAATTAACAATGCATGTCTGAAAGGAGCTCCAGAATCATTTAAGACAACCCTTAATTTAACTAAGCAGATGTGTCATCACATAGTGATGCACAATAAGACTTCCTAAAAGTGAAGTTTCTAGGATCTAAAGCATTTTGTTGTGTCGTAGATTCATCAAATCACCAATATAACACGAAGACCAAAATTTTAAAATGTTTATGACAGAATTAATCCAAATAAACCTCACTGAGAAAACATTTCTGGGACGATTTGAGAAACAGACTCACAAATTCAGAGTGGAGGTCGTCAGAAATGCCATGCATCCTGGCTGAGTGCTGAATGACCCGATCAAACAGGTTGGCCAGAGGAAGGAGGTGGCATCCAGTCTGGTCGTTGGGACAGATGGATGCTGCCTTCATGGTGCTCAGCCGGCTGCTGAATACCAGACAGATAATTCCCACCCAGACAGCAGAAACTGGGAGACCAAAGCAAGAAAAAAAAAAACTACCAGTCTTAAGACACACAAATAAACCCAAAACCCCACTTATCTTTTTTATTTCTCTTTTAAGATTTTAGATGTGTCGAGTAATTTCTCCTTTCTAAGCTTAACATTGGTTGAGAACTTAGAGAACTAAAAGGGCAAAGCTTCCGTACAGAAGAGAATGAAGTTGTCACGACGTGCTGCGGAGTGGAGCGGAGGAAAGGCGTGGATCCAGACCGGGGAGGAAACAGGCAGGCAGGTAGGTAGGTAGGTAGGAACGATTAACAAGGGTTTATTAAGCACGCTGGACAATGAAACAATGACACCACAAGGAACACAGAACAGCAGGGGTTTAAATACATGAGGAACGGGAGCTATGGTGATTGGGAAACAAGAGGCAGGTGGGAGCAATTAACGGAGAAACAGACTACAACCTAGGAGAAGACAGGACAGGGTGTGACAGAAGTAATCAGGGTAACAAAGGACATTGTGAATAAAATATCTAAAGATTTTCCTTTGAGTAATGTCAGACAAAGTATTTTCTGTTCGTGATACCTGCCTGGTCTGATGTGTGCCATCATCCAGTAGGGTCCAGAGGAGTCCCCGTCTCAGGTCAGCAGGCTCAGAAGGAGTTCAGTCCAAATACAGCGGCAGATTCATGCAGCAGCTCACAGGGAACTTTGGTTTTACCCTTTTAAAGGAGTGGGGGGGGGGGGGGGGGTGAGAAAGAGCCTCAGAGAGGAAAAGGGTGAGAACCCCGATCTGATGAGACAGAGGGAGAAACCTTGACCCATGATGCAGCTTTTATTAAGGCAATGGTTACATCGCAGTATTAAATAGAACATCACAGCAATACAAGCATCTTGGTCCTGACTCATCTTAGCTAATCAAGTCAAACTTCCTGATTTGAGACACAGGAGGTTAAAATATAAAAAAGGCCACCATGTAAATCTGGACTAAAAGAGAATGTGTTCCAACTAAAGTTAACCAGACAAGTCTAGGTCAGACACTCCAAGGGTTTCATCAAGACCGAAGACACACCAAATCAGCCCTCTGTTACAGGCTCTGGCCTCTTGGACCACCTTGCACAGGAGACCAATGTCATCTCTGAGAGGTTTGGGCATCGATGTCTAGCTGGCACTGGGAGACAACCCAAAGAGCAACACACCAGGCCACCTTAATCTACTGATACCAGCAAGAGATGCTGCATTCAGGACAGCACAGGTTTTCTTTGAATCTTCAGATCCAGCAGTCCTGATAGAAAATGTCCATTTTCTTCCACTTTCTTCTACCACCACAGCACAGACTGATAAAAGTGGAAACTTTCCGTGCATTTACTGAAGTTCTTTTTTGTGGTGCAAACTCCCACTCCTACTGGAAGTGTAACTCCCACTATAAGTATCAGGAGACTTGACCGCCTTTACTCTGACAGAACATCGAGATCTCACAATATCACTGGATGTGTCCTAGACACATCTGGACTGAGTTTCCCAATTAAATTCAGTTTTACAACTTAAAAATACCATCTGGCTCCATGAAAAACATGCTAATGATCAGTAATCCACATGTTATTTATGGTGTCATGTGTACAATGAAAAAAACAATTTTAATCAATTTTGGAATAAGGCATTTTGGAATATAACAAAATCAGTTATCTGCATCTTGCAGATCATATGGTCCTTTTGGGTTCATCAGAACGAGATCTCCGGCTTACGCTGGAGCGGTTTGCAGCCAAGTGTGAAGCAGCTGGGACGAGAATCAGCTCCTCTAAATCCGAGACCGTGGTCTTGAGTCAGAAAAAGACAGAATGCCTTTCACAGGTCAGGGACGCGGTCCTGCCTCAAGTGGAGGAATTTAAGTATCTCGGGGTCTTGTTCACAAGTGAGAGAAAGATGGAGCGCAAGATCGATGGGCAGATTAGTGCTGCGTCTGCAGTGATGCGGACGTTGTACCGGTCTGTCGTGGTGAAGAGAGAGCTAAGCCAGAAGGCGAAGTTCTCAATTTACCGGTCGATCTACGTTCCTACCCTCACCTATGGTCAACGAGCTTTGGGAAGTGACCAAAAGAACGAGATCACAGTTAAATGAGTTTTGTCCACAGGGTGTCTGGGCTCTCCCTTAGAGATAGGATAAGAAGCTTGGTCATCCGGAATGGGCCCAAAGTAGATCCGTTACTCCTCCATATTGAGAGAAGCCAGTTGAGGTGACTCAGGCATCTAGTTAGGATGCCTCCTGGACGCCTCCTTGGTGAGGTTTTCTAGGCACATCCAAGCGGGAGGAGACCTAAAGGAAGACCCAGGACACGCTGGAGGGACTATATATCTCGGCTGGCCAAAGAACGCCTTAGAATTTCTCTGGAGGAGCTGGCCCAAGTGGCTGGGGAGAGGGAAGTCTGGGCCTCGGTGCTTAGGCTGCTGCCTCCACAACATGACCTTGGATAAGAAATGGATGGATGGATGTAACAAAATGAGAAAAGCACAATGCCCTGTGAAAACGTTCCTGACACACTTTAGGTAGCATAACCAGTTTCACTCACACGGCCTGCTTCAGCTGAGCTTTTTGTTTTGGGTCTGAAGTTTAGACAAGATTTTGTGGAGGTGGAATAAGGAAATAAATAAATAGTAAAGGAATAGCATGGATGATGCAGAAAGACTGTGACTCATGTGAACTTGTGTACCTGAACATTGAAATGAGAGATTCTACTGGGCACCAAGCAAGTGCATCATAGCATTTCATCCAAGTAGCACAAAGTCCACAACATCAGGGTCCCTGACTCATTTGTTAACAATAAACTATTGCCATTATCAGCCGTCTTACATATCTGTAGTTTTTATTGCAGAACTGGGTTTTGATTCATGAGTTTTTCATGTTGTACGTGGTTGTTGTGTCTTTCAGGTTAAGAAGGTACGCTGCAGGGTAAGACAACATCCACTGAATTAGGAAGTTGGGGGTCAACAGGTTTAAACTGTCATACTGAATTAATATCAGGGGGCAAGAGTGCAATCGGATGTTGCTTTGTGCAGTGCATTTGTGTGCGTGTGTGTGTGTGGGGGGGGGGGGGGGGGGGAATCAGCACCCACCCCAGCCTTGACATTCAAAGACAAAATAAAAGAGAATATGGACTAATAAATGCTGATATAGCAATCTTTTGTCAGCTTTTGTGTATGATGTGTCAAATGAAGCCTGAATGATAAAAGTGTATTGTTCTAAGTGATAACTGTGTTTTTACTTGTGTCAGTTTCTTTGCTTTAACTTCATCTTTTTCTCTCAAATGGATTCCTCCCTCCAGGTTGTGAGTGTTTTTCTCTGAGTTATAGTAGGGATGCAAGTGAGATGCTTTGGAGTGGTCTGACTCACAAAGGTGCTATACAAGTTCAGATCATCTAACATTTGTCTTTATCATCTGCAATAATAAGGGCGTCGGTGTGTTATGTTATGGTGAGTAAGGAGCGGAAGTAGACCCAAAGCTCTGGATCTACAGGTCTTTCTAAACCGCCTTGCATTGGTCATAATGTGAAGAGCTTCTCCAACAGATCAAGATGCTGGATCTCTGAAGCGACCTTCCTGTATCGGGTGACCCGGGCTCAGCTTTAAAGGTGAGAAGCTTCGTCATCAGAGGGGAGACCCTTGGGTTACTACTCCATGTAAATGTCTCTTCCACAGCTGCAGGCAGCAATAACTGTCAAACACACACACACACACACACACACACACACACACACACACACACACACACACACGCACTAGCATGTGCCCATTTGTTCCTCAATCAGACCTCCCCTGGAAAATGGTTGGCCACCCCGTTGCACCCCCCGCCCTCGGAGGACTGTTTCTTTATTTTCCTGGAAGGTTTGTATCTCAAATTTAAGAAAATGTGTTGGACGCTTTTTTAAATGAAAAAAAAAAAATATATATATATATATAAAATCAAATGCAAAGCTACAGGCAGGTCCATAGTAACAAGGCAACAAACAAGGCAATTGCCTGGAGCCCCGAGCTGTTAGGGGCCCCAGACAATTACGGTTTATGAAATAAACACATTGACAAACTGTGTAAGCTCAGCATGTTGGCCCTTTAACTCAATGGCTGCCAGCCATTATCTGAACAGTAAGCCCCTGACTGCCAGCATTTTTGAGCATTTTTACAGATTTATTTTTTTGAAGAGTCAAAGAATATTGTGCTCTATAACAATGTCGTCGTCGTCGTCGTCTTCCTCCGCTTATCCGGGTCCGGGTCCGGGTCGCGGGGGCAGCATCCCAACTAGGGAGCTCCAGACCGTCCTCTCCCCGGCCTTGTCCACCAGCTCCTCCGGCAGGACCCCAAGACGTTCCCGGACCAGATTAGAGATGTAACCTCTCCAACGTGTCCTGGGTCGACCCGGGGGCCTCCTGCCGGCAGGACATGCCCGAAACACCTCCCCTGGGTGGCGTCCAGGAGGCATCCTGACCAGATGCCCAAACCACCTCAACTGGCTCCTTTCGATCCGGAGGAGCAGCGGTTCTACTCCGAGTCCCTCCCGAATGTCTTAGCTCCTCACCCTATCTCTAAGGCTGAGCCCGGCCACCCTACGGAGGAAACTCATTTCGGACGCTTGTATCCGCGATCTCGTTCTTTCGGTCATTACCCAAAGCTCATGACCATAGGTGAGGATTGGGACGTAGATCGACCGGTAAATCGAGAGCCTGGCTTTCTGGCTCAGCTCCCTCTTCACCACGACAGATCGGCTCAGCGTCCGCATCACTTGCAGATGCCGAACCAATCCGCCTGTCGATCTCCCGATCCCTCCTACCCTCACTTGTGAACAAGACTCCGAGATACTTAAACTCCTCCACTTGAGGTAGGACCTCTCCCCCGTAAATACCAAAACTACCAAAAGAAAGAGTAGACTCACTTCTTACATCTAGAAAAATCAGCACAGGATGGTGAAGGGTTTTAGCAAATGTAAACATGACCATACATGCATTAATATGTGAGACATGTAAACAGTTTTGCACTGTGCCATGGTATTTGTTTATTAAAAGGTTAATGCAATCCTGCTGTGGCTTGTGGGGTGGGGGCGGGTTGATTTGTTAATTGTGATAGGGGGGCAAAATCCATCGTGCTTTGGGCCCCCAAATGCCTTGAAACGGTGTTGGCTACAGGCGAAATCCTCCCAGAGTCGCCACAGGGACCAATTTGAAGTCTCACCATAAAAATTTCACTGGCCCCCTTCTAAAATTTTCTGGGAGCGCCACTGCACGTGCAATGTGGACGTCAACGGCCACTGTCCACCGCGTTTTATTATTATTAGTAGTAGTATTAATATTAATATTGTATTTATTTCATTTTTATTTCTTTATCGTGTCTTGTTTATCTTATAAATCCGGTTGTTTCTGCTGATTAGAATATTTCTAATGGTCTAGTTATAAGGTTTTGGTTTATCTACTGAATTGTTCTTTTTGTTTTTGTTGAGTTTTGGTTGTTGTTACAATGTAATGTGATTGATGTTCACTAATAAAAAAAATTTTTTTAAAAAACAACAGCAAGAAAAAAAACTGTCCACCGCGTGGCGGTAATCCGCTTGCTCCAAGTAAAACCAGTCGAAGAAGAAGAGCACACCGGAAGAAATTCATGGTTTCCTGTGATTGTCGTCAACAGAACCGTTGTTTCTGATTGTCGATTGTAATTAATGTGTTGATTTGTGACGATAAAATATGTACGACCAGGACGAAGGTGAGCTGGTGGTGTTAACTCTGACTGATCGGTTAAAGCTTTTGTAGATAAAGTGACTTGAAACTTAGTTAAGGCATTAACACGATGTGAGCATCCAAAACGGAGCTAGTGCTAACATTAGCTGCACTACTGAATTTCGGCTGGTGAAGAACACACCAGCAGTAACACACGATCAATAAGACTAGATAACACACACACGCACGCGTGTGCTAACGGTGTGCTCTTCTGACAGAACGAGCTCATTGATCCGCGCACCAGTTTAAGCTAAAGGCGGGTGCTAACACGCTAACAAAGATCTTCAGGTGCGTTTTGATAACGTAAAGTAACGCGTAATCATTGACCGTTATAAAATAAAGTACGTGGTCCATGTAAAGTAACCATAAAGTAACGTTTATGTTAAGTAATGTTAGATTAAAGGAACGTGTTATAATCGTGTAACGCGGTTGATTACATTAACGTGTTGCTGTTGAGTAACTAGTGAAGTTTTGTTTGTCTTTGTCAGATAATCAATATGATGAAGATGATGATGAAATCACTCCGGACTTGTGGCAGGAGGCATGTTGGATTGTTATCAGGTAAACAAACGTCGTAGCAGAGTAAACAAACACATGTGGGTAAATAAGTAGACCAGTAGCACCCATCAGAACCACAGCTTGGTGTTGTCTTTCCTTCCAGCTCCTACTTTGATGAGAAGGGCCTGGTGCGGCAACAGCTGGACTCATTTGATGAGTTCATCCAGATGTCTGTTCAGAGGATTGTAGAAGATGCTCCGCCCATCGACTTGCAGGCTGAAGCCCAACACACCTCGGGTGAGGTGGAGGAGCCGGTGAGATGGGGACCAGTACCAAGCACTAGGGATGGAACCAGGAGAGGATTGGAGTAGTGTCATGATTCAGCTCACTTGCGACAGTGGCAGAGGTGTTTAGTGTCTGCCCCTTAATCGATCCCCGCTCAGTCTGACGCTGTGTCCTTGGACAAGAGGCGTAACCCTTATTTCCTGCTGGATGTGGTCAGAGGGACCGGTGGCACCTGTGTCTGGTAGCCTCTCATCTGTCAGTGTGCCCCAAGGCAGCTGTGGCTACATTGTAGCTCATCAACAATTGTTGCAAAGTGTCTTGGGGGGTTCTAGGACTCCAGAAGGTGCTATATCAAATGCAGGCCATTTACCATTCTAACATACTTTTTTAATAAAATTAATTCAGCTGAATTCTTACAGTAATCAGTTAAAACTGAATCTTTAATAAACTGAGAAATCTCATGACCTTCGTCAAGTGAACTGTAAACAGTTCAGGAACTAGATGGTTCTTGTCAGTAGATTTGACCCGTTGTTGTTCTTATGGGAGGTTACTGATATTTGAACATTACAAATCTCCTGTGGCCTCACTGTGTTTCTCTCAGCCTCGTTACCTGCTGAAATTTGAGCAAATCTACCTGTCCAAACCTACCCACTGGGAGAGAGATGGTGCTCCTTCTCCCATGATGCCCAACGAAGCCCGACTGAGAAACCTCACGTACGTCTCACCTGCAGTCATTTTACTGAGACCACCTGTTCCCACCTAATCTTACCTGTCTGCCCTCCCCTCTCCCCTCCAGGTACTCAGCCCCCCTGTATGTGGACATCACAAAGACCATCATGAAGGAAGGTGAAGATCCAGCTCATACACAACACCAGAAGACCTTCATTGGTAAAATTCCCATCATGCTGCGCTCCACTTACTGCCTGCTGAGTGGTCTGACCGACAGAGATCTATGTGAGCTCAATGAGTGTCCATTGGACCCTGGGGGTTATTTCATCATTAACGGTTCTGAGAAGGTACCATGACACAAACTGACCTTACCTAAAGATACAATGGGCTTGATGAGCATCTCAGACTGTTGCTGGTTCCAGGTGCTGATCGCCCAGGAGAAGATGGCTACCAACACGGTGTACGTGTTCGCCAAGAAGGACTCAAAGTATGCCTACACAGCTGAGTGCCGTTCCTGTTTGGAGAACTCCTCTCGTCCCACCAGCACCATATGGGTCAGCATGATGGCTCGGGGAGGACAGGTGAGTCCAGCTCCAGATTAGCTCAGGTGTTTGAGAGCCACCGAGTAATAACAGAATCATCAACTCCCATCATCTTTCCCAGGGGGTAAAGAAGAGTGCGATCGGTCAGAGGATCGTTTCCACCTTGCCATACATCAGACAGGAAGTTCCCATCATCATCGTGTTTCGGGCTTTGGGCTTTGTTTCAGACAGAGACATCTTGGAACACATCATCTACGACTTTGACGACCCTGAGATGATGGAGATGGTAAAGCTGATTCTGTTCAGTTCACATGCTTCTATCATAGGTGGCTCTGCTCACTATGATGTCACTGTTTCCAGGTTAAGCCATCTCTGGATGAAGCATTTGTGATCCAGGAGCAGAATGTGGCGCTGAATTTCATTGGTTCCAGAGGAGCCAAACCTGGAGTGACGAAGGAGCGAAGAATCAAATACGCCAAAGAAGTTCTGCAGAAAGAAATGTTGCCACACGTCGGAGTCAGTGACTTCTGTGAGACCAAAAAGGCGTATTTCTTAGGGTGAGTTCAGATGTGCATGCGTGTGTGTACTAAGGCTGATTCTAATTACAGATGTGCTGCTGTGTTTCAGGTACATGGTCCATCGGCTGCTGCTCGCTGCTCTTGGCAGACGGGAGCTGGATGACAGAGATCACTATGGTAACAAGAGACTGGATCTGGCTGGACCGCTTTTGGCTTTCCTGTTCAGGGGGTGGGTCCACACACACGCTGGATGAGAAACTAGACATCAGTTTCTAATTTTAAAAAAATTCATAATTTCCTGTCTGTTTCAAACTAAAAGCTTCCAGTCCTTCAGCTGATACAAGGCTATAATTGTGAAACAACTTCTTTTAGTTTGCATTTAAAATTATAAAAAAATGAGAAACGGGCTTAATCAGCTGAGGGAATCGCTTTCTATGTTTTCACTTTTTAGGTAGGATTTTGTTTTGATTGGACAGTTTTAAGCTAAACTCTGAATTCTTCTGTTCAGGATGTTTAAGAACCTTCTAAAGGAGATCAGGATTTATGCTCAGAAGTTCATCGATAGAGGAAAAGACTTCAACCTGGAGCTCGCCATCAAGACTCGTATCATCTCAGATGGACTCAAGTACTCGCTGGCCACAGGAAACTGGGGCGACGTTAAGAAGGCTCACCAGGCTCGAGCTGGAGTGTCTCAGGTTAGAATACCTGTCTCACCTGAGACAGATGCTTGGCTCCATGCCAGCTGTTTGGTTTTGTAGATCCAAGATGTTTGTTGTGGAATCAGCTCTCCCTCGAGTTCTCTAAGTCTAACTGGGTTCCTCTAACCTGAAATCAAAGGTGTTGAACCGTCTCACCTTCGCCTCCACATTGTCACATCTTCGTCGAGTCAACTCTCCCATCGGCAGAGATGGAAAACTGGCAAAGCCTCGACAGCTGCACAACACTCTGTGGGGCATGGTGTGTCCAGCTGAAACTCCTGAGGTAAAATCCACACCAGGTCAGAGTCTTATGTTTCGTTATGGTCTTGGTGATAAATATCATAATTACCTTTCCACCGCCTGCAGGGTCATGCTGTGGGTCTGGTGAAGAACCTGGCCCTGATGGCCTACATCTCTGTGGGCTCGCAGCCGTCACCCATCCTGGAGTTTCTGGAGGAGTGGAGCATGGAGAACCTGGAGGAGATCTCCCCTGCTGCCATCGCTGAGTTGGTTCCCTTGCTTGAATCTGAGCGATTTTATTCACGTCAATAATCGCTCAAACTCCATTCATGTTTGTGTTTCCTGTTCTTCAGTGCCACTAAAATCTTTGTGAACGGCTGCTGGGTCGGAATCCACAAAGACCCCGAGCAGCTGATGAACACGCTGAGGAAGCTCCGCCGACAAATGGACATCATTGTGTCTGAGGTGTGGACAGTTACATTCACATTAGTTCTGACCGGAAAGGCTGCTTTAGGAACATCTGCATGCTAGGAGCTGAAACATAAACAGCTGGATTTACCAGACTGAGACTTCAGACTTTCTGAAGACCGAGACCATTCACAATGAAGGGACATTATTCGATTTTAGTTGTCCATTTTCTAGATTTAAAGATTTCAGTCAAACAGGAGAAAAGTTGCATTGAGGTTTATTTTTTGGTTCAGACGTAATTCTGGAACACTTTTGATCCCAGAGGGAATTCCGACATCCAGACAGGAGACATTATGTAAATGAACCAAAAACACATTAGTTTGAGTTTCTGCTAAAGTAAAATGGGAAATATGACATTTGGACGTAATTATGATTATTATTATTAATAATAAACATAACTGAAGGCTTAAAGTCGTAAACAGTCTGATATCAGTCTGCTCACCAAGTGATGATCACTCTCATCTGCTTCTGGGTGGTTCTGATCCTTCCAGGTATCAATGATCAGAGACATTCGAGAACGTGAGATCAGGATTTACACGGATGCCGGGAGGATTTGCAGACCGCTGCTGATTGTAGAGAAGCAGAAACTTCTGCTGAAGAGACGACACATCGACCAGCTGAAGGAGAGAGAATATAACAACTACAGGTGAGGGGTGGCTGACGGGTGTGCAGACTGGCGGTCGTGCACTTTCTTGAACATTGTTTGTTTTGCTGATCAGCTGGCAGGACCTGGTGGCGAGTGGTGTGGTGGAATACATTGACACGCTGGAGGAGGAAACTGTCATGCTCGCCATGACCCCCGATGACCTTCAGGAAAAAGGCGTGGCCTATTGTTCGACGTACACCCACTGTGAAATCCATCCATCTATGATCCTCGGAGTGTGTGCCTCCATCATCCCGTTCCCGGATCACAACCAGGTTCCAACAAAACATCGTTTGATTCTGGCTGCAAAATGAAATGATCAGGTTGATGATCTTAAAGAGGAAAGCTTCGTTGAATCAGATCTAGCGAAGCAGCATGGCCAGCACTTTCTGACATAATAGATAAAGGTTCTCTGGTGGAGGATGCCCCGAAATCGCTGCCTCTGTTTTAATTTCTGCAGCAAACCTAAGAGGACAGCTGTGTGTTTGATAAGTTAAGGTTACAGAGCCCAGATCAGAGTTTAGCAGCACAGAAAATGGCCTGATGAGGTTGATGTGTCTTGCACAGATTAAACAAGATGTCTGGTTTCTGTTCAGTCCCCCAGGAACACGTACCAATCTGCTATGGGCAAACAGGCCATGGGCGTCTACATCACCAACTTCCATGTGAGAATGGACACGCTGGCTCACGTGTTGTACTACCCTCAGAAACCACTGGTCACCACTCGATCCATGGAGTACCTGCGCTTCAGAGAACTGCCAGCAGGTAACCCGGGTGTTTCCAGTCATGGCTGTTCCCATCAGACAAACACCCAACTGTTGAGACATCTATTTAAACTTATTCTGGACTCTTTAGCTACTTTTAAGCTCTGGAGAACAATAAATCAGCAAACGAAACCATTAGTTTAGTTGTAGATTCATCCAAGACACAGTGTCACTTGAGAAACTTCTTTAGTTTTAACTGAAAGTGCCGGGTTTTTACAGTTGATTAGATTTGATGGTTAGTTTGTAGGTCATAGCAGAAGTTTTGTCCTCGCTGACAGCTCTTCTCTGATGGTGTTTTTCTGTTTCTAGGGATCAATTCAATAGTTGCCATTGCTTCATATACCGGGTACAACCAGGAGGACTCTGTGATCATGAACAGGTCGGCTGTAGACCGAGGGTTCTTCAGGTGAGTTCCAGGAACACGTAGCAGTTTCTTCTGAGCTGAGTGTTTGTGTTGCTTCTTTACGTCATGCTTTGTTTCCACGTAGGTCTGTTTTTTATCGATCCTACAAAGAGCAGGAGTCTAAGAAAGGTTTTGATCAGGAAGAGATCTTTGAGAAGCCGACTCGTGAAACCTGTCAGGGTGAGAAGTGATTCTGGACTCATAACCCAACAGCTCTGGAGTCTGGCGGGACATTTTACTCTAGAACCAGGTTCAGGCTTTAGTGTCTGCCATGAGAGCCACTCTAAAGCTACGACACTTAATGCGTCCTCAGGTATGAGACACGCCATCTATGACAAGCTGGACGACGACGGTCTCATTGCTCCTGGTGTTCGTGTGTCCGGAGAGGACGTGATTATTGGGAAAACCGTGACACTGCCAGACAACGAAGATGAGTTGGACAGCACAAACCGGCGCTACACCAAGAGAGACTGCAGCACCTTCCTCAGAACCAGTGAGACAGGCATAGTGGACCAGGTCATGGTGACCCTGAACCAGGAAGGCTACAAGTTCTGCAAAATCAGGGTGAGGGTGCAGAGCAAGGCCTGAAACAGCTGAAAGGGAACATAGGATCCGTTTATTATTGTCCTCATGGGTAAACAAGGTCAGGTTCTACCATCGTGGTCCTGATCATTTTGTAAGAAATTTTCTCTTTAGGGTTAGACTCCTGAGCTGCAGCAGCAGCTAAACCCAGGTTTAGACTGAGCAGATCAGCTTATGTGTTCATCACCTGTTGCCATGGTAGTTAAATCAGATAAAAACCCAGAATCAGCACAGCTTGAAAAGAGTTTTATCCTGATTCTTCGTCCTGCTTCTCTGATAAGCATCTTCACTTCCACAGGTACGTTCAGTTCGAATTCCTCAGATTGGAGACAAGTTTGCCAGTCGTCACGGACAGAAGGGAACTTGTGGGATTCAGTACAGACAAGAGGTAAACAGGAAGTACAGTGCTTTATACTGGTCTTTTCTGCTGGTGAACATACTGACTTCAGATTATTTATCTTTGGTCGGACGTTGTGGGAACAAACAATCTGCATCCTCTGTGTCATCTTCCAAAGAAAAGATCGAAGTGTTGTCATGATTTGTTGTTTTATTTTGAAGGATATGCCATTCACCTGTGAGGGAATCACACCTGACATCATCATCAACCCTCACGCCATTCCTTCTAGGATGACTGTCGGCCATTTGATCGAGTGTTTGCAGGGCAAAGTAATCCACACACACATGGACATATTGATCTGTTCGCTTATTAGACCTTGTTGGTAATGGCGCAGAAGTGTTATAATGTCCTGAGTTTTGACTTGCAGGCTGATTGGTTTGTTTCAGGTTTCTGCCAACAAAGGAGAGATTGGGGACGCCACACCATTTAATGATGCTGTCAACGTGCAGAAAGTGTCAAACCTGCTGTCTGAATATGGATACCACCTGAGAGGAAATGAGGTCAGAAGTATTTGCTGCTCACTTCCTGTCTAAGGCCCAATCCCAACACTCGTACTGCGCCCTGTGGTATTCTGTGAAGTGCACTTGGAGGAGAAGCAGTAAGGCTTCGAGTGCGTAGTTCACAAGTGTGCAAAAAAATTGCCAAATTGAGACAGGAAGCATTGTGTCATAGACCGCGATGCATGCTAGGTTGCTGTAAAGACTTTTTCTAAAAGTCTTTAATAACAACTTTCAATCAGTTATTTGACTAAATGTACATTTATTGCTGTTAACATTAAATCTTAGTCTAAAACATTCAGAGCATGAATGAATATCATTAATTCTCCTAAAATTAGCGTCTTCCATTTGAAAATAAATATTTTCAGAAAAAGCATTTGTGACATTTGCTCCACCTACTTCTCAAAAGTCCCCACACAGCAATGGATTGTGGGTTATACCCTTGGCCGAAGTCTGCTTTGATGCAGACTTGGGTGAATTGCGGATCAAGGGTGCAAAAGGGGCGTGGTCTACCTCAGCACTTCAGAATTGGGAAAATCTACGCACTTGCAGTCCTGGATGGGAATGTGCAATTAAAGGGCACAAGGATGGAAATGAGAGGATTGGGATTAGGCCTAAATCAACTGGCTCAAATGTTGCAGTGTGGGAGTTTTTGCATGTTCAAGTCTGATAACATTACACGTTTCATTAAACTGTTAATGAGTACAGGCGCATTCTGGGATTCCCTCTGAGCAGATGAAGTAGCGGCTCATACCTGCTTGTTGCTGTGATTAAAACATGAAACCATGTTGGTCATATTAGTTCTACTGATCTCTTAGCAGTACCTAGTTCTGTATCACTTCTCTCACAGCTAACCTAAAAAATTCAACTGTGAAACGTCTGTGATTGGTTAAACTGATACTGAGTATTGATCTGTGATCAGGTCCTGTATAACGGCTTCACTGGGAGGAAGCTGACGTCTCAGATCTTTGTTGGTCCCACATATTATCAGCGACTGAAGCACATGGTGGACGATAAAATCCACTCGAGGGCCCGGGGCCCTGTCCAGATCCTCAACCGGCAGCCGATGGAGGGCCGATCTCGGTGAGTGACTTACCTGTCTGATGTGCACGTGAGTCAACAGCAAGTATGTTCTAACAGCTGAACTCACCTGTCCTCAGTGACGGCGGTCTGCGTTTCGGGGAGATGGAGCGTGATTGTCAGATCGCTCACGGCGCTGCTCAGTTCCTTAGAGAGCGTCTGTTTGAGGCTTCTGACCCATATCAGGTTCATGTGTGCAACCTGTGCGGCCTGATGGCCATCGCCAACACTCGCACACACACATATGAGTGTCGGGGCTGTCGCAACAAGACACAGGTAAGATGGATCGGTGTTGCGATGACCCATCTGTGGTGCATCTCTTTTCCTAAATGATCTCGTTTTTATCAGATCTCTCTTGTCCGGATGCCGTACGCCTGCAAGCTTCTGTTCCAGGAGTTGATGTCGATGAGCATCGCTCCTCGAATGATGACCTCATAGAGAAGCTAACCCAATCACATGCCTCCTCGCCGAAGAAATGACATCACCATAAATAAATAGAAATTGATGTTTGTTTTTCAGATTCACATCTTTTTTGTCAAAGTAAATAAACTAACCTTTTTCAGTATTTGTGTTCTGGTTTATTAGATTATTCTTCACCTGATTGTGCTTAAATCATACTTAACTGATGTTCTCTCACACTAAAACCGCCAGTTCAGTTTGATACAGAAGAAAACCACTAAAGTCTGCATGGTGGCGGAGTTAGCACTGTTCCCTTGAGCTTAAAATCCCAGCTACAGCCTTTCTGAATGGAGTTAGCATGTTCTTCCTACGCATGTGTGGGTTTCCTCTGGTACTCCAGTTTTCTCCCACCGATCAACTAGATGCTCGGTTACCGGTTTGCTTTAAGTAAAATCATCTCACAAATAAAAAGAAATCCGTAAAATAAAACGCACTGTGTGTGACAAGCCCAACGTCCATGTCAGTAAACCGTTAATATTTTAAGTAAATTTCATTAAAAATGAACTTTAGATGTCAGTAAGAAAATATCTGATTTACAAATAACATCATTATTTCCTGTATTACTGTTAAACACACCCAGAACCCGTCCCTGGTCACAAAAAGAACTTCACAGTTTAAAAAGAACTTTAATAAAAAAAAAAACATTTAAATAAATAATTTGAGTTTGTTCAACCTGATCAGATCCTAACAATGGCTCCAGTCCATAGTACTACCTACTCGGATCTCTGCAGTACCGTGTAGATCTCAGTAGTTACTTCTTGAAGTATTTAGCAGTGAAGGCAGACATCAGGTCTCTGTAGGGTGACTGGGATTGTTGAGTTGGCAGTCGCAGGATTCTGTGGACCGTCTGCGAGCGAAGGAGGAGGTTGTGACTGAATCCAACCAGACTGGAGGAGAACCAGTATAGAGCCATGGACTGGGAGAGGGTAGAACATTAGAGTCAGTTCAAGATATTCCTTTCAAAATAAAAACCAGAGAACAGATGGTCCAGATGAATCAGAAACCGTGAACCTCTGACCCTGAGAACATTTTCATGTTTCAGTGGTTTATGTGGATTTATCTAAACCTGGAGTCAGACTGCTGCAGAATAATGAATGGAACAAAGAGTTGAACATGACTCATGTTTTACTAATGACACTCACCTGCTGGGCATTTGGACTGTTACTGACCCAGTTTAGAGTGTAAATAATGAGGATTGGGTGGTAATGAACCCAGATATGACCTCTTGTTAAACCTGGAAAAACCTTTCAGAATAAAACTCATTTGTAAGAATGTCTTGGCCAAGACGAGCAGCAGCTCGACATACAGAACAACTAAAGATGTCCAGCGATATGACCAGAGTCACTAACAGAACTGACCCGGTTTGAGCTGTAAGTCTGTGCAGTGGGAGTTGATCTGCAGATCTCAACCAGCCACCACACCAGTCAGCTGCTCTGAGCCATAAGTGACAGATGGTTCTGAACTCACAGATGGGACGGTAGCAGCGATGGGGATCATCAGAACCATGAACCCTCTGATCCCGTTCAAGACTAGCCGCCGGAAACCCGACACTCCAACTCTCTGCAAAGAAAACATCTGAAGAAGAGACCTTAACTTAGTATGATGACATCACATGATGATCAGACAAGAGACTAGCATCCATTAAAATATGTCAGACATGTAAAATGAACAAAAACACATGGAATACTCAATACAAAAGACAAACAGCTGTTTTTGTGGCATTTAGTCTTGATTCTCACGTATTTCCACTCAAGCCAGAACGAAGCAGCAGAAATTTGTCAAACAAAGGATGAGTCATCATGGCAGATGGAGTCAGATAGTGGTTGGTATACAACAGCTCCAGCTCCATCAGAGCCTCCTTCATCAGCTGACCTGAGCCTTTGCCCAGCTGGTTCAGTGAGTTCCTCCCACTCAGGGACAGTTTCCCAAACCGTCACACTCATGAAAAACTTAAAGCTCAATAAAAGCTCCATCAGACAGTGTCAGCATTATTTCCCTGACTTGAAAACGGGACCACATCCAAAGAGTCCAGATGCTGGTGTCCCTTTCTAGACACATCAACCGATTGACTCCAGGTATTTGTAAGATTCCATCTGTTCGATGAAGATGATGGTTGGTTTGATGACCCTTGTGTGGTAAAAAAAAAAAAATAATAATAATAAAACCTTTCTAGTTCATGTTGTCAGTGTTGAGACCCAGCTGGAGAGGAATCCTGAAGCCACTGATAAGTGGATTGGTGCTGAGGTGTCGCTCACTGAACCAGTCTTCTCTGACGGCCTTAGTGCAGCATTTTGTCTCGTCTTTTTGGAAGCCCACATTCCCCTGGATCTCATCTAATTTGGATGTCAAGAGACCACCACCAACATGAACTTCATGCACAACCCATGTTATGGACACCAAACTGACCTCGATAATGAGCAGGTTGGTGAGGCCCAGAAGGACAGGTAAGATCCAGGTGGAGTCTGGGACGGTGAGGTCATGGAACCACAGAGCACCCCCTGCTGCCAGCTCACCCTGCAGGGCTGTACAGAGCACATAGGTTAATGAGCCACACCAGAACTGATCTGGAATCAGTTCGATCACAGTTCCTACCTGACTGGTTTAAGCTCAGGTTCCGGAGGGCTAGGGAAAAACTGACCCAGAGGGGCAGCTGAACCCAGACCAGCAGACTAGCTTTGAAGGGGTGGCAGTTGTCCCGGATGTAGAGCTGAGAGACGATGCGTCGCAGGTTCCTCTTGAATTGGACTCTGTTTTTAGAACACAGAACTCAGACTGATCTTATGTACATACGTGAACCAGAACCTTTTAGAATCTCCATTTTAAAGAACCAAAGGGACATCGTGCCAGTCTGTCCCACTGGTTCCAGTCATCTTTGTTAGTTCTTACCTTTCCTGTTTGTCTGTCCAGCCTCGTTCTCTCGATCGGACTGAAACTTCATATGCAAGCCTCTTGGCCAATTCGGAGATCTCAGCTTGCAGCAACTCCACCTGCACATCACCAGAGTTACTATGGTTACGGGTTTTTATGAATTTACTCTGAACCACTGAATCCAAATCTTATCCCATTGGTGTAGATCCTCCTCCCTGACAGCACAATGCCTCCTGTTAGGAGTGTTCTTATTCAAAGTAAATAAAATATTTAAGTACTTCAGCGAATCTCTAGTATTTACTGTTTTTTTTACCCAACATATCACACCTAGACATGTAACCAGTCCACAAGCCTTTCCTGTACTGTAACACCACATTGATCTACAGATACCAGTACTAGAATAGCTTATAGAGTAAGCGTGTATCTGTGCATAGTCGTTTAAACTTTCTAGCCGTTTCATTATTTTCTAGTAGTTTTACTTACACTGATCTGATCTGCGGGGCTGCACCTCCTCAGCCTGACAAAGTTTCAGTAACACCGCGTCAGAATGCTCTGATATGGTCCATGCTAGATTTCTAATCAGATCCTGGAACAGGTGTCTGAGCTCCACTCACCTTGGAGATGATGAGCATCTGGTAGGCCGCGAGCGGCAGAGTGATGGTGGTCCTGACTGACGCTGTTGCCATGACGATGCTTAGCCACCATGGCAATCCGCTTGCCTGCTGGAAACCAACTAGAAAGTTTTCACACAAGTGAACAGGTGCCGAATCCGACAGGCTGCCGTACCATCCACCTGCCCAGTTGGTTCCGCCCACGCCGGACACGCTCCTTGTGCGTGTGTCAGTCGTAGAGGCTACAACAGGTTCGGTCAGTCTGAGGAGTCCTTGTCCGCTGAAGTACAGGACCCTAGACCGTACCAGCCCCCCCACACAGAACATGCTGATCACGTGACTCACGAAACACCAAACACAGTACCGGGAGTCGCGTGCGTGAGATCAGCTGTCGGCTTCTCGGTTTTAAGGAGAAGAAAACATGTTTAAACTCCTCTTGTTCACTTTTCTCTCTGGCGTCTCGCACTTAAGACGTATTTGCTACTGACGTGCGTCGCACATATATTACGTCACTGACGAGCTCTCACCTCTCTTTCTTGCCTCTGAACGGTCTCTCGTTTACAAACACAATTTCTCACCCCACAACTACTTAATCTGGAACAACAAAGAAATCTTGTACTAACACAAAACAATATTTTAGAATATTGGTTTCAAAACAACATTAAATGGGTAGATCAATCGTTTAATCCTGAAGGACTTCTATTTACATGTGAAGAGTTTCTTAGGAAATATAATATCCCTGTAACTCCTGGAGCTTATGCAAAAGTTTTTGGTGCCATCCCATCTGATGTGTGTATGCTGTTTAAAAATCAACAGAGAGTTGATGCTGGTGAACTAACTCTTATCCCCAAGTGACACACCTGTAGGGAAAATATGTTTCTCCAGTTCCTGCCAGTAACAACAGATCTATCTGAGCTTTGTTCCAGGGAAATATTACAACATTACCCCGTGCCTTATCTTACTGTAAAACGTTTGTGAATGATATTCTGTGGGAAAAGGTCTGGCTACTACCTAATAGATATATGATTTGTGACAAAGTAAAAGAAATATCCTTTCAACTTCTTCATAGATTTCTATCTAGATCTTATATTAAATATAGATTCATTCAAGAAAGATATTGACTTGAACTGTAGCTTCTGCAAGGCATGTCTTGAAACTGCTATTCATTTATTTTGGTGCTGCCTGGCAGTTAAAACCTTTTGGCAGAAACTTTTTGACTTTCTTCATGTCCATATTGTTACTAATTTTGTTATATTTTGGGAGAATGTGCCGTTTGGTGTTTTTGAAACTGGTTTGAACAAAAACTCTCTATACATCATTAACCTCTTAATGCTGATGGCGAAGTTTTATATCCACTGTTGTAAATATTCTGGTAAAAAAACATGCTTTGCAGCATTCTTTAATACTTTCATACAATACACAGGCCTATTTTCTATTAATAATTCTAAAGACAGAAGGCTCTTAAAACTATTGAAATATGTAAACTTTTTAATGTTTTCATTTGAATACTAATACCCCTATTGTGATCTAGCATTATTATTATTTTATTTTTTGTAATTAATATAACAAAAAATAAATTAATATTACTCCTCCTTGAACCGTCACCTTATTGTGGTGGAGGAGTTTGAGTGCCCTAATGATCCTAGGAGCTATGTTGTCTGGGGCACTTTGTGCCCCTGGTAGGGTCTCCCATGACAAATTGGTCTTAGGTGAAGGGTGAGACAAAGAACGGTTCAGAGGATCTTTCATGGATGTACATTCAAAGAGTCATAGTACCCGGCCCAAAGGGTTACCGGGGTCCCACCCTGGAGCCAGGCCTGGGGTTGGGGCCCGTGAGCGAGTGCCTGGTGGCCGGGCTTTCACCCATGGGGCCTGGCCGGGCCCAGCCCAAACCGGATACATGGGCTCATCCAACTGTGGACCCACCACCTGCAGGAGGAACATAAAGGGTCCGGTGCAGTGTGGATCGGGTGGCAGACTGAGGCAGGAGTCTTGGCGGTCCGATCCTCGGACAAGGAAACTGGTTTTTGGGACATGGAACGTCACCTCGCTGGCGGGGAAGGAGCAGGAGCTTGTGGCAGAGGTTGAGCGGTACCGGCTGGATAAAGTCTGACTCACCTCGACTCATAGCATTGGCTCCGGAACCCAAGTCCTTGAGAGGGGTTGGACACTCTCTGTTACAAGCCATCTTCCCAAGCTAGCCTAACTTTAACAGGTGTTACGTCTCATGGTTGACTTACGGTATATTTCTACTTGTGCGTGGGCGTGACATTCAGTCGCTCTTTAAACTGCCTGCACACTGTAGGAGCTAATTAGCAATCACCAATAACCTAGACTCTGATTCTGGCAAAACCATCTTTATGCAGCTCAAGGGAGACTCAGTTTACTCACAATATATGTCCATGAAGCTTATGTACACTTCAGGTTAAGACTCTTGCCAGCTGTTCCTTTTATGCTGAGGAGACAACTGACATCACCTGTAGCCTAGGATGGAGGAAACACTTATATCAATTACACCTAGGGATGGCATTTACAACCAGCATCTCACCTTCGCTCGGTTATTGACAGGAGGAGACCTCACTCGTAAATCCTTTTTTCGTTCCACGAATCCATCCAGTTGGGATGCTGCCCCCGCGACCTGGACCCGGATAAGCGGAGGAAGACGACGACGACATAATTAATATTATCTTTTTTATTTTTTTATTATCTTTCTATCTTCTTCCTTTCCATCCAGGCATATATAAGATTCACACTGTAACTGTTACCAAAGCTCATATATTTGTATTTGTGAATAACTTCAATAATAAAAAAAAAATCTAGTCTCTGAATGCTCTGAATCATAAAAAAAATCCAGTCTCTGAACGCTCTGAAACATTATAAATAATTTCAGTGGGAAATATCAGCTGACTCACGGGAGATAACCGGGAACTGCTGTTTTTACCTTCACAATAAAAGTATGATGTGTGAATAAAGGGAAGAGTTGTTTCATGACGTTTTAGTTTACAAATGCAAGCCCTACATTTAGTGACTGACATTCAGTCTGGTCACCTTTACAAACAGTTGAAGACCCATTTATTGATGCTGCTTTCATCTAAATCTTTTATGTTTCCTTTATTTTTTTTAAACTCGAATTTATAATAATCTTTAATTTTATGATATTCATCGTTTTATAATGTCATGACTTTTTAAAAATTGATTTACGTTATTTACTGTTTTGTTTTTTAAAGCATTTTGATTTACGACCATTTGATTTGTTTTGTTTTGTTGGTGAACCAATTTGTGATTTTGTTTCTGTGATGAGTGTTATATAAATAAAATTTACTTACTACAAAGTGCAATAAAAACATTAAACTTGTAAAAGTAGATGGATAAAAAAAGAACATTTTAAGTCAGTAATCAGAATAACAATTTTCATACAGCCTACCATAAACATAATTTACAAATCAGTCTGTGGATGCTGTACAAAGCTGTAGGCTAATGCTGTAATGACACTTTATTGGAATACATTTTTTAAAATAAATTTTAAAAGAAAAGAAAAATATTTAAAAAAATGTATATCTTAGCAATGATCTAGCATCAGAACAAAATGATGAAAAATGTTTCTAGTTTTACTGAGAGTTTTTACAGTTCTGAGGGTTTTAACAATCCACATTTAATTATTTTTTCTATTCTTGTTTTAATCCAGGGATTGGGACTTCACATTTCCAAACATATGTTCATAGCTCCCCATCATGTCAGCTACTAAAAAAATTCTGATTGAATTAAGAAACTTTTATTTTGGTCCAAGCTGAACAACCAACAGATTATTTAATGAAATTTTTGATTGTAAATAGGATACATCCCTTTAGGTCTCTTGCATCATTTGCACTGACCAAGAGGGAGACATGAACCTTCATATAGTTAGCTGTAGATGGCGCTGTTGGAAACCATTCCGTTGTAAAATTTCGGTGGCACCAGTAGTAAACACCGAAGAAGAAGAAGAACGAGAAGACGAGGCTCATGGCGGAGTTCGGGCCAGGCGGCCTGTCGGCGGTTCTGCTACTCTTCATGGCTCTCACGCTACGTGACATTTACATCGGCAGGTCGGAACAGCGGCCCGGCTTGTCCCCGGAAACCGAAACAGATTCCGATCCCGGGAAAACGGTTAAGGCCGCGCTGTACTCTGGCCCCGTTCTCCAGTTCCGATACTGGTGAGTGAGCATTAGCTAACCTAATCCTAAGCAGAACTACTGAACAGCAGTCAGGGTGCTTTTCTACCCGATGCCTTTCCGAGATGTTTTGGTTAGAATAATTATGTAACTCTGAGCTTTTTGTCTGTAATACTTTTGTTTCTGTTATGTGTCGATGCTACATTTAGCATAATCAACATTATTTTTACCTGCACCCGAACACTTGGTTGAACAGTTCTATTCGGAGCTCTGCTGATAGATTTGTGTGTTTTCAGCATCTCATGAGGTTACAGCAAAGTCTTCCAGGAGTATTCCAACGCCATCAGCCAGGTGTATCCAGACATCCGTATTCAGGGAGAAAACCACCCCCCAACCCCCATTAACAGGTGAGCTGTGACATCAGTATCATCCACTATCCTCACTCTGAAGGATCTTCATTCTAAAGCTACTCTTCCGTTATCTTAGGTGTTTCGCTCAGCTGATCTCCTACCTGAAGCTGCTCTCTATCCTCCTCATCATCAGCGGTCAGAACCCCTTCTCACTCCTCAGCCTTGACACCCCCTCAGCCTGGACCTGGAGTCAGAACAACAAGGTTCCAAAACCCCTCTGACATTACCATGCTAACTAACGCAGCAGCTTGTTGCCACAACAGTCTGAGTTTCTGTTTCCTGTTTGTCAGATCTTCTCATGCTTAATGGCATTCTTCATCTGTAACATGATGGAGACTCACTTCCTGTCCACTGGAGCATTTGAGGTCACTCTGAACGGTAAGTTGTACTGTGTGACATCATTCTTTGTATGGTTTCAACCTCAATTCAGATCTCGGCAGGCTTTGCTGAGTTTTATGTCGGGGGTGGGGGGGTGGGGGGGGGTGGGGGGGGGGATCATAGATGTCACCTGTTAGTCAGGTCTTGTGCAAAGTATCGTATCGGGGGTATTCCAGAAAGTGAGATTTTTACCAAAATCTGTCTTTCTTTTGAGATACCCAGTGCAACCGTGACTAAATCAATTCTACGAAAGTGGCTAGCCTGAAAGCCCTCCAAGTCACCATGGTAACACATGCTGGAGAGCAGCTAGGCTTTCTGACGCTTTGTGAATTTGAATGGATGAGGCCAGTGGCTTCACCTTTTTCTTGTCGGCTGGCAGCTACGAGGTGGTGAAATAGCGACACTGCTGGCCCACAGCGGTAGCAGCTGCTGCTGCAGCTTTGTTCTTGATGGCTAAATTATTTTATAAATGTGGAGTTAAAATTTTTTAAAATTGAGTTCTAATTGGATTTACAACTTAACATTTTTTGTATTTAATCCTCATTTGCAGCCAGGAGCGTCTCATTCCACTGGCATTGCTCCTGATGTCAGCAGTGTTAATAAGTATAATTATATACCAGCTTTTGTCTAGGATGGATCCATATAAATAACTTGCTGTCCTCTTTATGAATATGTTAAAATGGCCTTAAACTATCCTTCAGCTGCTAACATGGTACATATGTAAAAGGAAATACTTAATTGATGTGACTCTTATCTATATTTACTCTGGTCACATGTGGCAAACATGGTAAAATTAGATGTAAATGACATACGGGATGTTTTTTTACTTTGTGTTTAATATATGTGCTAAACAGTTTCCAGAGTTACCTTTAGGGTCACATGACCGCCACGAACGTATATTCTTAAAACTCACAGCTGCCCAGAAAAAACAAAGTTCTCCAGTCTCAAAACATCCAGACTCTGGAACCAAACATGAAAACGACACATGAAACACGATGAAAAGTTGGATAAAATAAGTGGAGGAACAAGAGTTGAAGCGGGCGTCTGGGTTGCCATGGAAACATGTAAACTCTTTTCATTTTTAACTAAATAGGGCCACCTGAGAATCGTTCGTGGAGTCGGCACAATGGGAGGGAAGGGGAGCACTTTGTCAAGCTGGGATTTATCAGGAGATCCCCGATGTTCTAACCTCACTTTCTGGAATACCCCTCAGGTGTGATAAGTTTTAGTTTTTTAGGGAGGAGTGGAGTCAGATGTAACACCTGCTCATCTCCTCAGATGTTCCCATTTGGTCAAAGCTGCAGTCAGGTTACATCCCAAACATCCAGGAGATGTTCCAGATCCTTGACACACACCTGAAGATGAACCAGATGGATCCCATGACTTTTACCTCAACTTAGAGCTAAACTACAGGTAAACACACACACACACACACACACACACACACACACACACACACACACACACACACACACACACACACACACACACACACACACACACACACACTTACTCACTTACTTACTTACTTACTTACTTACTTACTTATATGTGATGATTTCAAAGCTTTGACTTTTAACAGGCAGTTTTAAGATCAGTTCCTTCTTTTTGTCCATGACATGTGACATGCATGTTTTGGGTGAAAGCTGGGTGGACCAAATCCACCTGAGAGGATTTAGCTTTTTAATAAATTCAGTTTAAAATCAAAAGTGAATGATTCTGTTCTTACAGACCTTTATTTGACAACTTGTCTTTTCAGTGCTGCGTTCAGGAATCTGGCTCGGTGAGGCGCTCATGAAGGCGCGGCCCTAAAGCAGACCCTGCCAGGTCACGCTGGAATTTTCCAGCCCCCGATCAGGTTTTCCCACAATGCACTGGGTCACCATACAGTACTGCAGCTCCCACAATGCTTCTGGCAGTTGTTGACAGATAGGTGGATAGATATGTAGCTTTCCTTTTGTCACATGTTTCCAATCTCATAGATCTTTACTTAAAACATGAAACTGATTTTGTTTATTTCATGTTTATGTAAACATTCGTGCATCTGCCTCAGCATCTTTGACCTGGCTCTGGCACCACTGGACCTGTTTGCTTCAGCTCATCTTTTGTTGAATGTTTTTGCTTCATTTGTGACAGCAGGAAGCTGTGAAAGTTTGCGTGGCTGATGTCATTGATGCATTTGTTGATTTGACTTCAAATAAAATCTGAATGTTGAAACTTTTATGTTGACCTGTTTGAGCCATCTGTTCCTTGGTCAATACAAGATGTTTGTTTTACTCTGACAAATCCTCCTTCTGGTTAAGAACCATATTGTCAATGCCTTCTGATACAAAATTAAATCATAAATGATTTTAATCATCTCAGAATAAATTTTTTGATCACACCAAAATGTTTCAGTGGTCTGATCAGAGTTTTTCTGGACAAGCTCTTCAAATAAAACTTGTTGAAAGTTTAAAAAAAAATGCATATGTTCAAATGCGTTTTGACTATGGTTGTAAACAGTGATGGTTTAGATCTGGACCCCATGTGGTTCAGATGTAAATTCAAGGTGGTTTGTGAGGAAAATATAATCAGTATTTTCTGCTGTTGAGTTTACCATTTTAGGTTCAAAATAGATCTGGTGAGTATTTCTAATAATTTTAAATATTTTTGTATGATGGAGAACTTTGACGCAAATCACACTTCATTTTAAAAATATTATATGCAAAATTTACTGATATTATTTTTACTTTATTGATAACATTATTTTTGTAACAGAACCTTAGTCAGAGTGATTGTAAGTTTAGTCCTGGAACAGTTCTATCATGTTGGAGGCTTGATTTTGGCATCAATAAAATCAGTTTCAAACTGAACCATTAAATTTGTGTACTGCATTGATTATTCAAGAAAATGGAATTGGAGATAAATATATTACTATCAAATAATATGATTTTCTTAAATTTGTTTTAACACATTTTTAACGTTGCAGTTCCATCTGAACTTTGCAGGGGGCGCTAGTGAGCTCACCGTTAGAGTACAACTTCCGGTTGTAACCGCAGAAGGCGCAGAAAGTAAAAGCTAACATTACAATCGTTCGTTTCGGTGTTCTGGGGCAGAAGTAGATTTTCTTGGACCGCGAATTCTCCGTCTGAGGTGAGACGTGTCACGTTCGAGCCGAACACATGAAAACACCTGGTGGTGAGTGAGAGAAGCTAACTGCTAACCAGTTGTGAGAGAAGCTAACTGCTAACCAGTTGTCTGGTCGTGATGGTAAAACGAAACTCCATCCGTTTAGATTTTGGACCGAAGCCACCTGTTTTTGTTATTTTAGTGACACATTGACTTCCTTGAAGAACACTTTGAAATTAATTGCGCTTAAATGAATACGCCTGTAAACAAATACCATCCTCAGTACTGTATATTTAGATGGAAGTACTGTAGATTTAGATGGAAGGTATCAGGTGTGAGGAGTTTCTACAAAGGTGTAAAGATACTAGTGAGACCAGCCATGTCTGCTTTAGAGACAGCGTCCACAAGGTAAAGACAGGAAGTAGAGTTAAGAGGTTGCGCAGCTTAAGAAGAAAGGGGCAGCTTATTGTGGTGACAGAGGTGGTATGGGTGTGCTGGTACTAAACAGAATGTTAAGTTAAAAGATTAAAACAATGCCATCTTGGGAATTTCACCCAAGGAAAATAAAATGGTACCTTTAGGCACACATAGGTTCAATGCTCTCACAAAGGCGACAGAAACGAGGTGTACGCAAAGTCCACAATTTTATTTCGTGTTTTGTTAAAAGGACAGCAGTTTAAACTACTAATTTAAAAATAGAAAGGGAGAATTAAAACAAGGAAAGAAAATAATTAGTGTTACCAGGCTGGAGCTTACCAAGGTAAGGTGGACCCACTGGAGGTTCTAGCAACAACACAAACTAAATACCAATAGTCACCCAAAGCACCAGTGAACAGTCACACAGATGTGAAGGGGGGCCCACACCAACTCGCACACGGAAGAACCACCGCCACCACCCTTGGCTCCAGCCTGGACAAATAAAAGTTAAAAACCACAATAAAATAAACTCTGTTGAAATACAATAGTGCTCCAAAATCCTCATGCGTCAGAGGTGAGAAAAGGTCTCCCTTTCCACTCCAACCAACATGCTGGGCGGGAGAACGTCTGGCGGAGGAGCACCAGCACTGGTTAAAATCCTCGGTTATGCTCTGAGTTTACATGCAGCCAATATCCGGGTTATTATCGGGTTAAGGTCGGTATTCGGGTTTCTGAGTTGATCAGAATAACCCGTTTACAAGCATAATAAATAGAAAGAGTTACCCCTAACTTGCATAACCCGATTTAAATGCGGACGTTGGGGTAGCGTCAGGACGTATGGACTACGTCAAGACGCAATATGCGTCATATTTCGCTGTCTCTGTACTTTCGGCTGTCAACAAAAGACATAATGTTCATACTTTTCACCAGACCGATGAAGACAGGTTTCCTCGTCACTCCAAAAGTGTGGTGCTGTGCCGCGACTCGCCATGTTGCTCCCAACTTGTTTACTTCCAGTGTTCTGGCGCATACAAGACATCTCGCTTCTCAAAAGACCAAGATCCCTTGCGAACAGAGCATGCGCAGAACACACGCTTTGAAGGGGATATCCCGATATGTGTTTACACGACCAAACATTCGGGTTAGAAAAGGGTTACCCCAGGTGTAGTAACCGGGTTTTTAAAAACCCGGTTATGAGCATATCCGGGCTTTTGGCGGTGTTTACATGGCCGTGCGGAACCGGGTTATTGTGAATATTTGGGTTTTAAAAGGGTTACTGGCTGCATGTAAACGTACAGTGAGCGGTGGCCCAAACAGCTCCCGATAGGTCGGTCCGCTCCGTCGAACCGCTCCTCGGTTGTTGAGGGAGAGAGGGGAGGGGGGTCACAGCAGTGACTCAAAACACTTTGTCGTAGCATCACAACACCTCGGGTCCTAAACAAAAAAGGTAATAAACCTTATTAACCCAGAAAAGAATATTCATACTGAGCGTGCAGGGAGGGGGCGCACCGCACATACATACCACGCCGACAGCAGTAGATCACCTAGAAGGCAAGCACGCTTCTTTTCCAACAGCATGCGGTAACGTTACATTATGTTAGATGTTTTGGAGTCAGAGAGGACAGACTGAGTTGGTTTGGATATGTCCAGATGAGAGACAATGATTACATAGGTAGGAAGATGATGAGGTTAGAGTTAGGGGTAGACCGATATTGCTCATGTAACGGGTATTACAATTAAATAATATGAAATAGGTATTGAACTATTGTCTTGACAACTCTGGACCAGTATCAAAAGTTCTAGGTAAGATTATGGAGCCTTGAAAGGATCAGCAGAGAAGGAACCACACAATGACAGATAAGATATGATTTAAATAGAAACTGTATTGAAAAGGTGTAAAGTTTACAAACCCTGCCTGTCTAAGCCGGCTTCCTACAGTGCACAAACGCACATTAAAGGACTCAAAATAAAACCAAAACCCTCTTTGAGGAAATTCTCCAAAGAGTTTCAATTAAAGAGCTTCCACTCCTGTTGCTCAGTCCACTTCTCTTTGGAAAGAGAAATTAGTTTGTGTGTGTGCGTTTCTGTCCAGTGGATCTAACACTACCCGGGTAGATTTTTTAAAAGTGTCAGTCTTATCTGTGTCAAGGGATGTAGTGATAGTCCTGGGGTTCGCTGAAGATGGATCCCACGGCTGGCCACACCGTACTCTGGTCCGTCTACAGTCACTCTCTTGGAACTGGCTCGCCACTGAACCCACAAGGTTCAGATCTCAAATGATCCGGTCCTGGTCAAAAAACCAATCGGAGCTCGTGGTGAGATAGCTCGCCTGGCTGACGCAGCTTCCCACGCCCGTATTTCACAGAATTCAGATCCAGGATCTTTCAGTTAATCTGGCGGTTGCCTCGTGAGTAACGGCTTTCACAACAGGAAGTGCTGACTAACAGGAAGTCATCTCAAGGCATACTCGCCTCCTAGTGGCGGAGAGGGAAATTACACCTCCAACCTTATGCCGCAGCACAAACCACAATTCTGATGTGGGTTACACTCTCCCCTCCTGAACTCTTGCACGTCCCTGTGCATGACAAGGTTCACACAAATGTCTCTTGGGGGTAAAGGCAAGAGTAGAAGCATGTGCTTCACCTTCATTTACCATGTCATTCCACGCATCGGTCAACCCTTGGAAGAAGGACTTTACCACGGTGACAATTGGTTTCCCCAATTCAGTGTAGTCGAGCCTCATCGGTGGTTGGCGATCCCGCTCAGCCCTCCTAACATGGGTATCAGTGTCGGCTTGTTCCTCTACTTCACCATCCTCCTCCTGTCCTTCAGTTCTAGGATCATTCATCACATCCTCCAACGCTTCTGGGAGGACAGGGATCTCTTTAGGTTGGTCCTCACTTAAGTCCTTGACCTCGTTAAGCAACTCCTCCTCTCCTGAACTGCAGTCCAGCAGCATCCTTTGTCCCTCAGATTCAGTGGATGCACTATCATCCACCTTTGCTCCTCCCACAGACTCATGGAGTTCAAGTGCTGGTACGTTTGCAGCAGGAGGTGAGGTCTCACCATCGTCTGGAGTCTGCTCATTGCCACAATGATCTGTTCTGTGGTAAATTGATGTGACCTCAGGCATAACATTGGCACCTTCCAGATCGTCCGTTGACTCGGCAGAGATTGGTGTCAAGTTATGCTTGGCGTGACTGGAACCTAGGTCTCTTGGGGCATTTTGTGTTGCAGCACCCCCAGTCGTCTCAGAGAGTGGTTGTATTTCAAACCAAGCAATGGGAACAATGTCCTCCTCATCTGAAGACTGGTCAAGCTTCGTTGTGCTGCTAGGAGTACTCTGACGTGTCCTATGCTTTCTAGCTCGTTTGGGCTGAGTACACTCCTCCGTTGGTGCAGCAAGAAATCTGCATGGGAGTAGGAGGTCGCGATGCAGCGTGCGCTTGGGACCCTCGTTGTTCTCTGGTCTAACTGTATAGACTGGAAGGTCTCCAGCTTTCTTCACTACCACATGTACTGTGGGTTCCCACTTATCAGCGAGCTTGTGCTTTCCCCGAATTCGCACATTTCTGACAAGTACTCTGTCGCCAACGCCTAAAGCAGAAGGACTTACTCGCTTATCAAACCGAATCTTATTTTTCTCAGCTACCTTGGCAGCAGTCCTTGTGGCAACTTCGTAGCTCTGCTCAAGACGAGATTTAAGGTCCTGTACGTATTGGGAATGTGACTTGTGTCGCTGTTCTTTCACTGGTAACCCAAATGCGAGGTCAACAGGCAACCTTGGCTGGCGTCCAAACATTAGTTCATATGGTGTGAACCCAGTCACCTCACTCCTGGTACAGTTGTACGCGTGCACCAACGGCTTTACAAAGTCCTTCCAGTGAGATTTTTCTTGACTTCCCAGAGTGCCAAGCATGTCTAATAGAGTGCGGTTGAAGCGTTCCACCGGGTTGCCTCTCGGGTGGTATGGTGTTGTTCGCGTTTTACGGATGCCCGCAATCTGACAGAGTTCCTTGATCAACCGCGACTCAAAGTCAGGACCTTGGTCACTGTGCAGCTTCTCTGGGAATCCATAATGGACGATGAAATTGTCCCACAACCACTTTGCAACTGTTCGAGCCTTTTGATTTTGTGTCGGCCCAGCTACAGCATACTTGGTGAAGTGATCAGTGATCACGAGAATGTCCTTTGTGTTGCTTCTGTCTGGTTCAACAGACAAAAAGTCCATGCATACCAATTCGAGTGGTCGTGTAGTCATTATATTCACCAGAGGTGCAGCTCTCTCAGGTAGAGCTTTCCTGCACACACACCGGGTACACGTTTTTATTTTCTTCTCAATGTCTGAAGCCATTCTTGGCCAGTAGAATCTGGCTCTGACCAGATCCACGGTGCGTTCCTTTCCCGTGTGACCCATGTCATCGTGTAGGCTTCTCAGAACCACGTCTCGAAGTTCTTCAGGCAAGACTAACTGATGTTGTGTGTGTCCCTCTTCTAGGCGTGTTCTATAGAGGATGCCATTTCGGAGCTCAAACTTGTTCAACTCTCTCAACAAGAGAGGCAGATCTGGAAGCTCGGTTCTTAGACTAGGTGGTGGTTTCACTCCTTGCTCAATCTGGGAAATGAAATGCTTAATGCACTGATCAGCTCGT